AGGTCTCGAGTAGATCTGCTAAATAGTGCTCACTCTCTTTCATATTATAGGATGGAACAAACAGAAGAGTCTATCTATGGTGTCTCTGAGTCCGAGATTAAGTGGGAGCAGTCGCCCAAACCCCCTCTCTTCTGACGTCTTACTTTGATACGACTCTGATATTAGGAAGAATGGTCAGTATGGCCGATGACCACGCTCCTCTTGCCCCTGATATCAAGCTAGTATCTGCCTCTATCCCGTCATTGGCCTCGCCGTCTCTACAGAACAACAGATTAGTTAGCTTGAAAAGATTGATTAGCTTTGAACTTTGTCCCAGATATCCTAATTCATCATTAGATTCATTCTTAAGTTAAATTGATTTATAATCCCAGTTAGATTTCTACAACAGCTCTGATAATAATTCACTAGTAACTTGGTCACTAGTCAGTTTACCTGTTATTATTATTACTGCATTATCCATCCATCTGATATTTCTGTCATTCATTAGTGACTTTACCTGTTGATGTTATTACTGATGTTTATTCTGCTCACATTCTCCACTGCTAAAATACAATATATACATCTGTAAATACTTCTGAACCAAGTGCGATTGTAGCTCCAGAGTTTATTTTATTTTATTCTGTTTTACTATCTTATTATCTCATTTTAATTATATTGTCTATTATCTTAAATAATAGACTCTGTTTGATGTGTGCAATTATTTCCTTCTTTCTTTGCTGTAATGTGCGCAACAATGACACTGAAATATCTCCACTGTGAGACGAATAAAGGTATACAGTATGTTATCTTATCTTGCACACTGAAGTTGTGTTTCAGCTCCAATCTCCTGCACTCGTGTCACTATTTCTCCGACACCTCCTACTATCGCCTCCAGTACACGCCACTGTTCTCTGCGCACATAAAAGAATCATTTTTTCTTTAACTCTCATACACTGATGGACAAAAAGGAGGAAATAATATAAATTATTCTCGAAAAGCAACTGTAGAGGCACTGTATCACCTCAAAAATTTCCATTTCCAAGGCTGGGAATAACTACTCACATTTCAACAACATGATCTCTTTAATACATGTTGTCAGCCGCTGGTTCAAAACTACAGGTTATCTGGACATCAGCACAAACAGACAAGTTACAGACTGCACCAGTCTGGGTCTCTGCTAGATGGAAAGCAGCAGAGTGACAAAGAATGGACCAAAAGCTCTGGTCTTATACCCTGATAATTCGAAACACATTTGTCCAGTAACGCCTGTTGTAGACACGCCTCCACACCCCAATGTCTTCTGCAGCCAGCCCTGTCCAGCACCATCCAGCACAGCCCCATCATGTCCAGAAGCCTCTGTCCTGTTCACACACTTTAGAACCGACAGCAAAAACTGGAAACCTCCAGTCCTCAGATCTTTGCACAAAGGTGATGTCTTCGGTCAACCCAGTCTTTCAGATTTTTTGGAAATCTGCAAAATGTCCCAAAAACACAGAGAGTCAAGTTGTTGATTTCAGTCTGACCTCTGGATGACCCTTTGCATCATTGCTTCTGTCGTTGCAGCATTTAGCCGTTGGTTTGGCCTGCTGGTTTGGCTTAGTTTGGCTTGGTTTGGCCTGGTTTGGCCCGCTGATTTGCTGGTTGATGATTGGTGGGGGTGGGAGTGGGCGTCTCCTTCACAGGAATGAACTCTGAGCTTTTTAGCATCAAAAGTGGTGTTTTAGGTGTTTCCCTCAAACAAAACACACAAAGTACACATTTGTTAATACATTTCAAACTTACTCCAGTAAACCCAAAGGAAAACCTTAGCAGTTAATGAAAACTGTTGCTGAAGACAGTCCTATTACTGTATATTTTCTTGTGTCAGAAATGAAAACATCACAATTAACTATTGAAAAAATGTATAACTAGTTATATTCAGAATCAAACAGATTTGCATTTCTTTGATGTAAACATTAAACATGCTACAGTAACTTCCCTTACTGTTGAATTTAAACCCTTCAAATTAAACTAAACATATTTATTATTCAAATCTGAAAAATTAAACTGCTTATTTTCAGAGTGTTTTCCACTTATCTGATTGTTCTGAGTCAGCATCAGTCAGAGAGGACCTTCTTAGGCGTCTGATTGGTCGTTCCCAACCACAGCACATTAACTTGTAATTGATCTGTGAAGTTTAAAACACTCTCGTGCCCAATGGTCAAAAGAACCACAATTAAAGCAGATACGCTTCTTGCTGCCAATGCTTCGCTCCCTCCTCCCCAGCTGGGAGCACTCTGCTCCCAGACCTGTCTTCCTGGTTGGAGTGAAGTGAGGCACTGGCTGTGGCTGGGAAGGATCAGATGATCTGTGCTTCTATCTTTACTATCACCCTTTCTTTAAACATAATATACCTATTAGAATTGTTATTGATGACACACCAATAGAGCAAGTCCAACAAAACACATTCCTGGGTGTTATCATTGATGAAAAAATCTCCTGGAAACCACACATTTGTTACCTGAGAACAAAAGTTGCCAAATGTGTCGGAATGATGAACAAAACATGTAATTTACTGTACACCAAAGCTCGACTCCTACTGTATCATTCATTCATAATGTCACATCTATATTATTGTGTTGAAGTTTGGGGAAATTGCTATGCATCCCATCTAAAGCCTTTGATTACCCTACAGAAAAAGGCCATTAGGATTGTCTCTGGTGTACACTACAGACATCATTCTAATCCACTGTTTGTAGAGTTGGAAGAACTCAAACTGCTGGATGTGATCAACTTTAAAACTGCTCAAACTATGTTCAGGGCATCTCAAAACTCTCTGCCTCCTAAAGTTCAAAACTTATTCCACGATAGACACGATCGTCATAGTTACAAACTTAGAGGAAACCAAATTAAATATCTACCTAAATTTAGAACTACTCTAAAGTCAATGTGTATCTCAGTGCGGGGAGTGAAACTTTGGAATAACTTGCCGAATGAATTAAAAAACTGCTCAAGCATAATTCATTTCAAACAGTTGTTTAAAAAAAAATGTTTTAAAAAAATATAAAGAGGAAGGAGAGTGATGCCCTCAACATGAAGTAAAGGGGTGAGGGTGTAGGGTCAGAGAGTGTTTGGGCCTGTGTCTGTGAGGTGTTGTGTGTATCTGTGGTGTGTTGTGTGTGTGTGTGTTGTCTTGTTTTGTCCTGTCTCTGTAGTCATGTCATGTATTAGATCATTCTATGTACGGTATAAGTTTCCAGCTGTTTACGAATGATCCTGTATGTATAAGGTTCTTGTACTGTACTTTGTGTTGAATGTGTGAGGGGGTTGGAATTCAATAAGCATTTGCTTCATCCACCTCCTTTTCAAACCATGCACCTGTATATTTGTCTGTTATGTTGATTTTTGAGATGATGATGTTTGTGCAGGTTTTGAAATAAATAATATCTATCTATCTATCTATCTTTTTCCTTCCTGAAACTGACTCCACTCTCGCTCTCTCTTCCCACCTTTCCTATTCATCTTATAGTCTGTTAGTTTAGTCAGTTAAGTCCCAAACATAGAAGACAAACACTTACATGCAAAACCTGAAGTAACAAACAAACAAATACTACTCACATAAGAGGAAATGTTTGTCTGTTAAATCTTACACATATAGACAGTTACTCACAAAACAAACAAAAACTCCAAATCAGACCCAAAAATAAACATAAAAGTCTACTTGTGTGCACAAAATACCAGCTTTTGTGATCATAAGCAAACAAAAATCAAAAATCTGAAAACACTTTGAGTCTTATCTATCATCAATCTAATTCAGCTTCAGCCTAATCCTTTTGAGCTTGTACCAAATGTAGTAACTTTAAAATTGTCCAATCACAAAAATTTCACAGCTCAAGTCAATTCAAATCTATCTATGACTCTCTAATCTCATTACCAAATGTTTTCACCAGTAAAATGTTTATCACTGGTTCCACCCCATTTTAATTATTTTTGTTAATGTAGCTAGCATTAACAAAAGTAGTTAAACTATAAAAAACTTACTACTCCACCCAACTAGAGTTGAGCAGACGGGAGGGACAGAATTGGGAGCAAGGGAGAAGGGGGATGAGGGGAAGAGGGGGAACAGGGAGGGGGGGGGGAAGAGGGGAAAAGGCAGAAGGGGACACAAAGGATGCACCTCAAACGTGCACGCACACACACACTCACACTTTAGGCCTTTATATCTAAATTTCAATTTCCAATTTAAATTATTATTTAGAAAAATTGTTGTTGTCTTATTATGCAGGCTACCACAAAGTTCTACCAAAAAGTCACTAATCGGCTGAAGAAAAAATCACCACTCTCAAAATGTTCCATTTTCCCTCAAATGGCCAGATCTGGTTTTCCAACTACACGTATGCGTCCATAGTGCAGAATTTGTTTTCTCTTCTCTGAGGATGTTTATTCACCCAGTGGATAGAAGTTTCATCTATTCTGTCGCTTTGTTGGTACCGATGAACTAACCAACGGGGACTTTCACCCTTTTAAATTCTCCACTTTCTTAGAAGTGCGTGATATCTCACTGCCCCAATGCTTTTTGAGGAGATAAATTGGATTTCCTGCCTTCAAAGACGATTTAAATTTAGTTTCTTTTTTTAGAAAAAAATAGTTTTACCTTGTCCATGTGGATGTCCAGAAACTCTAGTTCTGCCGTCAACTTCAATCCGGAGACTGGCCATGCCTCAAAGATGGAGTCCTCAAAGCAGTTCTGAATGAAGAAGGTCTCACCGCTGCTCCAACTCCATGTTTGAGGCATCCTCAGCTCCGCAGAAAAGCATGTTGGCATCCGGCTCGAAGGACCAAAATATGTGAATAACTACTCACATTTCAACAACAAAGGCCCAGGGAAAAGGTTGTAAATCTCAGGCCTATACTTTTGAGCTATCTTACTAACCAACAAACCACGGTGAAAACATTGCCCCTGCAGAGATAGTGATGAGTCTATAAATACACAGTGAATATAGCTTTCAAAGTGTGCTTAGAAACTGTGTTTTTGTCTACAGCTGAAGACTGTTTATTACCAGTCTATTCCACCTCAGCAAAACTGCGACTTCGACATCAAACTGGAGATGCTCAAATCGGGCTCCAGCGGTGAGTCATTCATGAGTACAAACTGTATGTTTAATTATCTGATTGTTTACCATTTAATTTAATTACAATTAATATTTGATCTTTTAAATATAAAACGGTTCGTCCCCATTTGATCTGATGGGTCTGATGTTTTTGTACTCACATTGGTCACCAACTACAGTGACATGGGAGAATACAAACTTTCTTTCTTAGTTTTACGTTTATGATTTTCTTTATTCAAATGTAATTTGATTGTTTGTGTTTTCAGACCCAAGCCTGAGAGCTCCTCACCTGGTCGCCTGTGCACAGTAAGACTCTGTATACTTTATTTTGGGGCTGTCAAAATTATCACGTTAACACACGTTAACGTTTTCATTAATCACGTACAAAAATTAACGCATTTGGCGCATGTACCAAATGACCCGCCCATGCATCCCATAATAACACTCAGAATGCCATGGACACATGCGTGTGTAGGATGGCAACAGAGCAGGTAGGCCCTCTGGGAATTAAAGTTTAAGAAGAACACGCGTGTGACCGCGGGGCACTTGCTGTTGTTTGCCATGAACTCGAACAGGAATCTGAATCCTCCGTTGCCACAGCAACACGACTTACACGACTATTCTCTGCTTGTTGTGTGCGTGTCTTTATGTAACCTGTGCTTGCAATAAATATGCTGCTGAAGCCGAACTATGGAGCCTCAGGAAGTGTCCGTGTCTCCTCCCGATGTGCAACTAAACTTGCTAAATTAAAGCTGGGGTGCCTAATTTCCCTTGCACTACCAGTTCATGTTGGTTGTGCCCAAAAGTAAAAGGTTGTGAGCAAATCAAACAGATGTAATGACATTCTGCATTTCAGACTGTTTTGAAACGTCCCTCATCTGTTACAAACAATAGTTTTGGTCTAAGTCACTACAGAAAGACAGAAAGTTAATAATGTTAATACTGTTTTGTGTGGATTTATTGTTGTTATAATGAATAAATACAGTACATATGTACACTATGTTGTCATTTATCTTTCCATTCAAACAACCATTTACAGAAAAATTTGGCAAAATTTTGCAGATTCATGAAAATTTGTACTATTTGCTTTGACGTATTAGTACGTCAATGGCGCACAACGAGTTCATTTATGTGTGTTTCTGTATTTGTGTGGCAGGTACAAGCCGCCTCCTGGCCAACCCAAAGACTCTCTACTCACAGTGATGGAGATCCAACTGCCCACAGGCATCGAGTCCTTCCTGGACGACATGCGCCCTCAGAGGGATGGAGACGACCCCATCATCGCCTCCTACAGTCTCACCAACAGAACTGTGGTCATAAGAATATACACTGTGAGTTCACACAGCCAGAGCCATTCCATTGTCTGAAGTCATAAACAGCAAAAAGGATCTACAAAAATGTCACCTTAACAAACAGCAGATTTTACGACATACATTTACCGTCAAGTGATTTGATATCACTATGATAGGAGCAGCCTCTGGACACTTACCAGGTCTGGTTCACTCAGTGTGAATGCACCCTCAGTGAATGCTGGTGTAGGTCCTACATAGTTTTGTCTGTTATTTGGGCTTATGAACAATATGCACAAATATAGGCTTTGGATCTAGATTAAACACAGCACTGGCCCATATTGGATATTCAAGTAGAAGTTACAGATCAATTCCTCATGCCTAACTGAGCCCGCGTGTGTCGCTTTGTGTCTTTTCTACTCAGAGACAGTGTCTCAAGTTGTAGAACATTAAATGGAAGTTTAAGTGATGCTCAAGATCTTGAAATTGTGAAAACAATACAGAATATTTGTCCTTGAATGGTACAGAGGAGGGAAGAGCTAATGTCCCTGTTGTCCAGGTGCCCTCAGATCGCTTCATCTGCGTAGGATTCCGGATCAGAAGTGCCTTTGTTGTGGGAGGAACCAGCGATACTGTTTTTACTGTGTACGAGGAACAGAACAGAGGTACTGCTGAAGTCATAAGTGATTCACAAAAGAGTTCATATAACTGCAAAAATATGTTTATGATTATTTAACCAGCGGGAGGGACTGTATATGTGTTTTTTTAAACAAACAGAAAGATGCAGACCCTCCTTTGAAAGAATAACTTTTTTTTTATTGTTTGTTTTGTTGTTTCTTCTCAAGGGGACAAATGTAAAAAGGTGGTCACAGATCAGGAGCAAAAGATCCACAGGTTGTGTCACTTCGACCAGTGCCAGTGCATCACTGGTGAGTTTCCTAAATGTGATCAACTAAAGGTGAACATGGACATATGATAGTTTAAAGACAAACTCATGCACTTTTGTTAATTATTGGTTTAGTTATTTTATAATGAATTGGGAGCTCCAGTTAGAATAGGCTGTGTTGAGAATGGAAAATCTCTTAAACATCAGGATTGACTGTGTTAAACCAAACTCGGCTTTAGTGTTCAGCTCCTCACGTCAAAGAACCTGAATCCTGTATAAACAGGTGAATAATGTGATGTCTTTCTATGACAGCGGTTTGCTCAACCTTCAGGGGAACTGTAGACACTACTGTGACCTACGAGAAACTCAAACAAGAGATTTGCCGTCCGCAGGTCAAATATGGTAAGCTACAACAAAAGTAACAAAATCATACAATACTGTCTTGGACTTTGGGTCTGAGGGAAGTGTGTTCGGAGCATGAAGAGTCTGCTGCTGGAAGAACATGCAGTAGACACGTGTGAGACTGTGATACTCTGTGTTCACAGCCTACAAAGTGCAGGTGACTAACATTGCTTCAGAGGGAGACTTTTTGACTCACACAGCCACCGTAGTCGAAGTCATAAAGAGCCAATCAGGTCAGTGTTTTTGTTTTTCTCTGGGAATTAAGAACATCTGTTCAGTCTTCAGTCTACACTTTTTACCACTTCTCAAAAACTCAAAATGTTGTGCTCATGTGACATCACAACCTTCCAACGAGCCTTGTGGTTATGGCATCTGTCAAAACTCAGACTTCTAGTCTTAGTTAAGAACTAGTTTCTCTCAAACCCACGAAAACTGTCCCAAAGATCAACATCTTTGTCCGTACATGTCAACTATGGTCTCATTATTTTCTCAAAATGGTGTCTAGCATTGGTGACAATATTTAGCAGAAATTACTTTCAGACAAAAAAATAATATGATGTGTGTGTATGAGGTTGAAATGCTTTACGTGTGTGTTGATATTTATGTTGTTGATATACACTCTAAAATTGATGTAAAATGAATATGATCCATTAAAAGAAAACAGTAGTTTGTATGTGTCTGTGAGAAATCTGTTTAAATTGGACAATTTTCTAATGGTTTTCCTGATGTAAACATTCTGAGCGACCAGTCAGGGTGTGATCAAATCTATTTTAGAGACTCACTCATCCGTTCAACAATATTCTGGTTCTTTAGGATTTATTTTGTGTCTTTTCAGAGTTTGCTGCAGTGAGCGGAGGGGCTGAGGTGGACTTCATAAAGAAAACCACCTGTAACACTGTGGACATCCAGAAGGGGCAGCAGTACCTCCTCTCTGGCTCCTCAGGCATCGAGGTGGTCCACAACCAGGATTACAGGTGAGGGACCAGATCTGAGCCAGAACTGAACCAAAGCCTTACATAAGAAAACAGCAGACAGACTGTTTGAACGTACAAATAACCACTTGGTCTGTACGGCAAAGACCAAAAGTTTGGACACACCTTCTCATTCAAAGAGTTTTTTTTTTCATAATTATGAAAATTGTAGATTCACACTGAAGGCATCAAAACAATGAATTAACTCATGTGGAATTATGCACTAAAAAAAAAGACAGAAGTGATTTAAGGCCTGTGATATCAACTGCTTCAAAATAATTAATTGAAAGAAATATTGCATCATATACATCATGACCTTTTTTTAATTGTAAAACTGTTAAGTGAAAGTAAGCAATTTCTGGCTAAGTCCACTGGTCTCGCCGTATTTCATATGGATCCAAATCTCCGATCACTCTCAATGTCTCCAAGGATCTTGCCTCACAGAATACTCCAGTGTATCAATATGCTTAACGCTGTCAGTGTCGGCCAAATTCGTGGCTTTAGATGACATGGGGACAAATTATCCGTGACAAATGATATGTGCTATAGACACCCGCCTGACAACATGGCGTTTGTGCAAAGCATCAAGCGGGTAATAAGCATGTGATGGAAAAATATGTAGTTCAAGTTTTAAAAGAATACGCGCGTGACCGTGGGGCTGTTGTTTGTTGTGAACTGAAGTCCGCCTCCCCGAGCACACCCCTGGGGCAGCTGCGGCCGCTCTGGTTGTTGTTAGCGAACCAGAGCGAATGGTGCCGCAGTTACACCATACACGCACAGAACTATTCTCTGTCGTAACCTGTGCACCCAAATACACCGCGGAAGTGGCCGTGTCTCCTCCTGAAACTAAACTAAACTCGCTAAATTAAAGCTGGGGTACGTAAATGTTCCCCTTTTATTAATAGCTCATTTTGATGGTGCCCAAAAGTATAAGGTTGTGAGCAAATCTAACAGATTTAAGTACATTTGGTATGAATGACAATGTTTCATCACATTTGATGATCTCATTTAACTTCAATTGGAGTAGATTTGAAATAGAATGTTAAAAATGCGATTAATCATGAATTTACTCACCATTTCTATGCGATTAATCAACTAAAAAAATGTAATCGTTTGACAGCCCTAATATATATAATATGTGTGTGTACAGTACAGCAGGCGTAGGAGAAAACATAAGCAGTCATGCTCATTGGTTACTACTAGATGTCCATCAGTAATTATAATTATCCTGAGGTCACAACCCAAATCAAGGGGCATTTAGAATAGGGAACATGTGTTTAATCTTGAGTTAACTATAACATTAGTCACAATTAAATATTTTAATTGTTTAACAGTGCTAATAAATATCTCTATCTGCCTCAGTGTTATTTTTCAAAATCCTTATTCAAAACTATTACTGACAGGGAGTTTTCAAAGTAACTTTCTTTGATTTCTCATCAAACATGTCCTGGCTGAAGGAGTGGTTCTCTGATGTGTTGCAGGTTCCGGTTCCCCCTGGACCATGAGGCCATGGTGCAGTCGTGGCCCTCAGACTGTGTGGAGCAGTGTGCCGAGCTGGCCAAATTTGCCATACTGGCTCAGATCGACCAGTGCTAGTATCGCCTGTGCACACAAAAACCTTTTCTACAGACTTGGCCTAAATTTCTTTCCCATGACTTCTTCAAAACTATCTGATGGCCGTAAAGCAATATTTCTCCTCTATGGGGTGAGCATTTCAGCACACAGACTGCATCCAAACATGACTTTATATGAGCTGGGGAAGCTCAAGGTTTGGTCAAGTCAAATTTTATACATTTTGTGTTTGCTGTTTTACTGCCACGTAGGTCAAATTTAGAATTTTGGTATTTTCACTGACAGGAAATGATGTAGCCGTCAGGCACTGGGATGGTGGATGTAGCTGGTAGAATGTGCATCATTAGTTGCCCCTGATGGGTTTTTCAAATCTTACTATAGGACAGTGGTTCGCAATGTGGGTGGCGCAGAGCAATTGCAGGGGGGGCGTGGGATGAATGAATAAACAAAAATATAACAGGCTGCTAGCATAAGATGCTGCTCCACATAACAATCTGCAGTTAGGGCTTAGGTACATATTAATTACAATGTGTGAAATAAACTGTAATGGACTCTGAAAACAAAATGTGTATGTTTGTCCTTCTTTTTGGGATAAAAAAAAATCTTATGTACCAAAGGGGGGCAAAGCAGAAAAAGTTTGTGAATCACTGCTATAGGTTATATAAAAGGGTAGGGAAGCGCAGATTTTAATACTTTAGCTTTAGTAAGGGACAAAAGTAGGGCTCTCGGTATTCTATAATTTGTTTCTCTAAACAGATACTTTTTTTCTAGGAGAAAAATGCCAGAGTCTTTATAGAGGTGGAAAGAAATTGTGTCCAAATTACAGTATTGTTAGCTGGCCGTTCGTTAGATGCCCATAAACCAGTCCACTTAAAGTTAAAGTTAAAATTTAAATGGTTGTTGGCTCGTAGATCATTACTTTTGAAATACTCTGAAGGAAGTACCACAAATCCAGATCCATATTGCAATGCAAAAATCAAGCAGCAAAAGAACGAGAACAAGAGCAAAAACCTACAAACAATCCATACAGAAATACAAGTCGCTTCAGGGATTACTCAGTTTTGGTGGTCTGTCCGTCCTCCTGTCGCATCTAGTGCCCTGCTGTCCCCTGGTTCTTCTTTTAAATTACTTCTTGCTCTGACTTGCTGGCTAATAAAGATGATGGATACAAGATGGAAGGCCCCTCATTCTCCAGCTCGTTCGCAATGGGCCTTGACATTTGTGGACAAATGGAGCTAAGGATAGCTCCAACACAATGGATAATATCAAGTTTGTATTAGTATCTGTACACTCGAGTTCCAACGGAGACTGGGTGTTCCAGCAAGCTTTGTTGTTCCAGCAAACTTTGTTGTCTGACGAACACTGATTTGTATAAACCCAACAACCATGATTAATAAAGTATATTGTTGTGACAAAACCGATTATTTATTTTTGTGACACTGTCAAGTATCACAAAAACTAGATCATGCACTCGCACACCCCACCAACACTTCAGATCATCTCAAAATGTTAATGTTTTATGTCTATGGATCATGTGTCTAACAATAATAGGTTCTTCCTACCATCAAATTACATCTACACACCTGCTCAATAGTAATAATTCTGTAGTAAAAGTAACTAGATGATTATCATGTTTTTAATTGATATACACAATGTTTTTACATACACAATTTCAATGAGCTACTTTTTTAGACTTTACCTAATTTGTCTGGAGTATCTTATAAACATTGTCTCACATTTTCTAACACACAGAGCAATTATCAAGTTTTATATTTCTCCTTTATTATGAAAAATCCTTTAAAATATGAATTATGTTTTTATTAATATTTAATTTAGCTGATAAAAGTAATTTCAATTGAAGCTTTTTTTAAATCTTAAATCATTCTCACCATAGAACCATAGACTGTAAATATATAATTCGATGGCCCTCGTTCCCTCGGTTTGGGAAACACTTATTCTGATTTTCTCGCTGATTGGTGGTGCTCGTCCAGCGTCATGACCGACACGGGCCTGTGATTGGCTGGCGAAGGGGAAGCAACTCGTTTCAAACACTTCGCGGCTACAGCTGGAAAAGCGCCACGTTTTTCTGAAATAAAACCTTTTCTAGTGATTCTAAAAGTAGAGGACTGAGGAGAACTGTGGGTCCCAACCCCAGAGACTCAATTCAAGATGGAGGAGGAACACAGTAGCGGTGATGTGGAGAAACTTTCGGAGAGGATGGAGACGTGAGTAGCTAGCCTTCATGTGGCGTTATGCTAACACTTGAGCTAATGCTACATATGAATATTGTATGTGCGTGTGACTGATCACTTTTTCCGTTTTAACGTTTAAGACTTGTTTTCTGTTCTGACTCGTAAATATGTACAGTATGCTAGCCTAGGGTTACAGCTGTCAAGTCTAAAAAGCATGAACAAAGTAGAAATAATAATAGTTGACCATTTTGAATAGGTAAAGGTGCCGTATCAAATTCCCATAAATAAATTAGATGAGTTTGGGTTTGTTTTTTATTTTGTGGTTCCCATGGAAACTACGTCAAGCTACTCACATCTGCAGTCCATGTCCAACCAAAAAGTGACATTATAGACTGTATACACATTTTGCCAAAAGTAACCAAAAAATATGCATCTCTGACTTCTGTTATAGTGAAATAAATGGTCTAATATGTCATTTGGATGTAATGCAGTGCAATACTGTCATACTGATATATATTAGTGACATGTTAGTCCCATATGAACCAGCCCGGACTCTGAGGAGCACAGGGACTGGACTCCTGTTAGTGCCCAGAGTCAGAACTAAACATGGGGAGGCTGCTTTTCAGATTCATGCTGCTAAAATCTGGAACAATCTTCCTGAAGATGTGAGACAGGCCTCCTCTCTGACAATGTTTAAAACCAGGTTAAAGACAGTTCTGTTTAGCTGTGCATACAACTGAGGGATTTTATATTTTTATCTTTCTTTTTAATGTACTGTGATTATTTATGATTTTAATGCTTTCTTATTTTTGTTCAGCACTTTGAATGGCCTTGTGTATGAATTGTGCTATACAAATAAACTTGCCTTGCCTTAAATAACATATTCTATAGATGGAAACTGAAATTGCAGATCTATTTGCTGAAATTATACAAATGTGGCATAAACTAAGTATCAGACTGCTGTTGGAAACAATGGTGTTTTGTTGTTAAACTATTGTAAATGGATTTATTATATTTGAAGGCCCATTTTAAGATTTTCAATTCGGAAAAAAAACCTAGCTTGAAATTTGTGTTTAGGGTTTTTCATAGTAGTTTATTTGAAAAAAACTTATTAACAATAAACAATGTCAATTACTTTCACAAATATCTTAGGCCTAACTCTCAATGTCTTCACAAGTCTCCCAGAACATATAATAACAACAATATTACACCAGTAGGACCTTCGTTCGTTCATGTCGAGTCTGTGTCATGTTTCAGGTCTTTGTGCATGGACGCAGAGGACAGTTTAGAGATCTACAGCAGGTAAAGTTATTGTTAATGTAATTCCTATTTAATTAGTCATCATGCAAACTCTTTATACATTTTTGATCATGTATTAGATTAGGCAACAAGTGCTGTTCGCTGTTTGATAATTTTTCACTTTTTTTTTTCATTTTCACAGGTTGGTTCAGAAGGCCAAAGCCGCAAGTCGAGAAGGAGACCTGCACAAAACCCTGTCCCTATTTGAAAAAGCCTACAAAATCCAGCCAAGTGAGAAACTCCACTCACGCATCCAGACGGTCAAAGAGTTCTTAGCAGAGCAGCAAGAGGAGGACGAGGACGACGAGGAATATGTGGACGTGAATGGAAGTGGTCTGCTGCTTTTCAAAGACCTTTACGACAAATTGTACCATTATCAGAAAGAAGGTGTGGCATTTTTGTACAGCCTTTACCGTGACAAATACAAAGGAGGTATTCTTGCCGATGATATGGGCTTGGGAAAAACAATTCAAGTGATTTCATTCCTGTCTGGAATGTATGACTCTGAACTTGTCAAGTTCACAATCCTGGTCGTTCCCACCTCTCTAATCACCAACTGGACAAAGGAATTTGCTAAATGGACACCAGGGATGAGGGTGAAGGAGTTTCACGGGTCGAGCAAAAGTGAGCGAACAAAAAATCTAGAGAAAGTTCAACGACGAGGTGGTGTTCTGATCACCACATACAACATGCTGCTGACAAACTGGCAGGTCTTAGCAGCACACCATGGCCAGGAGTTCACATGGGACTACATGATTCTGGACGAAGCTCACAAAATCAAAAACACCTCAACAAAAACAGCCAAGAGTGCGTCTGCGATCCCCTCCAAGAATAGAGTGCTGCTCACAGGTTAGTGACATCTCAAAGTCAATTTCTAGTGTTTTTGTAGGTGAAGCCCGTATGGTTTAGCTATTATTCAATAGCTAAACCATTGTGCATGATTTAGTTTAGTTAGTAATGATTGATTCATGAAGCTGCAGATTTGGGTCCTAGATGCCAAAACTGTCACAGTACAATCAAACCCACTGGCTTGTACATAAGACTGTTCTATTACTATACCACTTTTAATTCTACCTTAGGTCATGAATTATGACTCATAATCCTAGAAGAAATCTTCTTTCTAAGAAGAGGTTCTTTCATGTGAGCAGTCAGATGTTGCACATATTTTGCCAGTCTGTTGTAGCTAGTGCTGTTTTCTTTGGGGTCCCGTGTTGGGGGCAGTCTGACCTCAAGACACAGTAACCGGCTCGACAGGCTGATCAGGAAATGTGTCTCTGTGATGGGGAGAAGTGTGGACTCTGTGGGAGTTGGGCTGGAGAGAAGGATGAGGGCTCTAATGCAGGGCATCCTGGGTAACTCCAGACACACTCTGCATGACACTATGGCCGCTCAGAGGAGTAATCAAAGCAAAAAGCTCCAATCACTGCGCTGCCGAACGGAACGTTTCAAGAGATCCTTTGTTCCTTTGGCTGTCAGACTGTACAACAAACCTGTATGAGTCTTCTGCTACCGGACACCTGAATTTCTCCTACTGGGATCAATTATCATGTATTTTTCTTTCTAGACTGCATATTGGGAATGGACCGACCAAGTTCTAAAATTACCAAAGTTTTTGCCAAATGGGGAAGAAGCCGATTTGAACATGAGCTAGCTGGAGCCAATATGTATTTGTTCCAGTAGAGTTGTACAGTAATGGGGTAGACCTAATGCTAGGCCAAGCTGGAGTTTTTCTCCCAAAGGAAAGCATCTGGTTGGTCAAGCCTTATGGCTCATATCTTGATTTCTAACGTGTCATAGTGGGCGCTATTATTGTCCAATCCCAAAAAGGTGAGTGTGACCCAACGAGTTACTGAGCTCGAGTAGTGTGTTTTTCAATGCAAGTCGCTATTCATTATCCCAATTTGCTATCCTTGAGCTAGTAGTTTGGCCTTGTCCATTTACAGTCTATGGTCATAATTCCAGGTTGTCTGCTTGTTTAATGTGTATCCCCAATAACACAGTGACACAAACGCTATTCTTTCTGGTGTGCATCTGTTGGCCCATACAGTTACATTGTGGTAACTTATGTTATCAATTTAACGGAATATTATATTCGTTCTTATCCCAGGTACGCCGGTGCAGAACAATCTGCGTGAGATGTGGGCGCTGTTCGACTTTGCGTGTCAAGGAGCGCTGCTTGGGACTGCAAAGACCTTCAAAACAGAGTACGAAAACCCGATCACCAGGGCGCGCGAGAAGGATGCTACACCAGGAGAGAAAGTGCTGGGTTCGCGGATGTCCGAGAATCTTATGGCCATTATCAAACCGTATTTCCTCCGCAGAACAAAAGCGGAAGTGCAGAAGTTTGCGCAGAAAACTTGCCCAGAACCGAATGTAAACGGGAATGGGGATGCAGAGACCGGAAAGGTCAAATCCAGTGCGACCATGCCTAAACTAACACGTAAAAACGACCTGATAGTTTGGACATATCTTAGCGCAGTTCAAGAGGACATTTATAGGCAGTTCATTTCTCTTGATCACATCCAGGAGTTGCTAATGACGACCAAATCTCCACTTGCACAATTGACAATTCTGAAAAAGCTTTGCGACCATCCTCGGCTTCTTTGTGCCAGCTCCATGGCCAAACTCGGGCTTGACGACCACCAGGAAGGAGGCGATTTAGAGGCTGATTCAGGAAACGATATTGCCAATGTGCCTGACGATACCCTGATTGCCGAATCGGGCAAAATGGTATTCCTCTTTGAGCTTTTGGAGAGGCTGAGGGAAGAGGGCCACCGCACGCTCGTCTTTGCACACTACCGCAAAGTCCTGGACATCCTGGAGCGGATCCTGAAAAACCGTGGTTTCAAAGTGATGCGGCTCGATGGGACAATCCTGCAAATGGCCGAACGCGAGCGGAGGATCACACGGTTCCAGAGAGACGAGAGCTACACAGTTTTCCTCCTGACGACACAAGTGGGGGGAGTCGGCATCACACTCACGGCGGCGGATCGTGTCGTCATTTATGACCCGAGCTGGAATCCCGCCACAGACGCACAAGCAGTGGACCGTGCATATCGCATCGGGCAAAAGGGGAACGTTGTGATTTATAGACTGATCACGTGCGGGACTGTGGAGGAGAAGATCTACCGCAGACAAGTTTTTAAAGATTCGCTGATCAGGCAAAACACGGGCGACAAGAAGAATCCGTTTAGGTATTTCAGCAAACAGGAACTGAGGGAGCTGTTCACTCTGCAAGATACAAAGTCCTCCACGACGCAGATCCAGCTTCAGGAGCTGCACTCGAGGCAGAGGTGCACGGACGCGGAGCTGGACCAGCACATCGCACACCTCCACGCCATGGAGATGTTTGGCATCTCGGACCACGACCTGATGTTCTCTGTGAACGTGAACCAGGACGAGGCGCCGGAGGACCAGGAGGAGCACCGCTACATCGAGGGCCGCGTGCAGAAGGCGCAGGAGCTGATGAAGGCGGAATGCGAGCTGCAGGTGCAGGTAGCGCAGAGTATGGGCTCCAGCACTGAGGCAGCCTGGCTCAGGATGGACACGCAACCCAAAGAGAGGAAGCCCCGGTACCCCTCACAGGTCAGAGTCTGGGGGGAGAGATCCTTTCATGATACAACATTTGAAATATACAGTGCCTTGCGAAAGTATTCGGCCCCCTTGAACCTTTCAACATTTTGCCACATTTCAGGCTTCAAACATAAAGATATAAAATTTGATTTTTTTGTCATGAATCAACAACAAGTGGGACACAATCGTGAAGTGGAACGAAATTTGTTGGACAATTTAAACTTTTTTCAACAAAAAACTGAAAAGTGGGGCGTGCAATATTTTTCGGCCCCTTTACTTTCAGTGCAGCAAACTCACTCCAGAAGTTCAGTGAGGATCTTTGAATGATCCAATGTTGTCCTAAATGACTGATGATGATAAATAGAACGCACCTGTGTGTAATCAAGTCTCGGGGATCGGAGATACTGTTGTGGAGAAGTTTAAAGCCGGATTTGGATACAAAATGATTTCCCAAGCTTTAAACATCTCAAGGAGCACTGTGCAAGCAGTTATATTGAAATGGAAGGAGTATCAGACCACTGCAAATCTACCAAGACCCGGCCGTCCCTCCAAACTTTCATCTCAAACAAGGAGAAGACTGATCAGAGATGCAGCCAAGAGGCCCATGATCGCTCTGGATGAACTGCAGATAACTACAGCTGAGGTGGGAGAGTCTGTCCATAGGACAACAATCAGTCGTGCACTGCACAAATCTGGCCTTTATGGAAGAGTGGCCATTTCTCAAAGATATCCAATAAAAGTCTCTTAAAGTTTGCCACAAGCCACCTGGGAGACACACCAAACATGTGGAAGAAGGTGCTCTGGTCAGATGAAACCAAAATCAAACTTTTTGGCCACAATGCAAAACGATATGTTTGGCGTAAAAGCAACACAGCTCATCACCCTGAACACACCATCCCCACCTCAGCTGTAAATATCTGCGGTTCGTCCAGAGTGATCATGGGCCTCTTGGCTGCATCTCTGATCAGTCTTCTCCTTGTTTGAGATGAAAGTTTGGAGGGACTGAAGTTCTGATACTCCTTCCATTTCAATATAATTGCTTGCACAGTGCTCCTTGAGATGTTTAAAGCTTGGGAAATCTTTTTGTATCCAAATCCGGCTTTAAACTTCTCCACAACAGTATCTCCGACCTGCCTGGTGTGTTCCTTTGTCTTCATGGTTCTCTCTGCGCTTTAAACAGAACCCTGAGACTATCAAAGAGCAGGTGCATTTATACGGAGACTTGATTACACACAGGTGCATTCTATTTATCATCATCAGTCATTTAGGACAACATTGGATCATTCAAAGATCCTCACTGAACTTCTGGAGTGAGTTTGCTGCACTGAAAGTAAAGGGGCCGAATAATATTGCACGCCCCACTTTTCAGTTTTTTGTTAAAGTTTAAATTATCCAACAAATTTCGTTCCACTTCACGATTGTGTCCCACTTGTTGATTCGTGACAAAAAAATTAAATTTTATATCTTTATGTTGCAAGGTTCAAGGGGGCCGAATACTTTCGCAAGGCACTGTATATACTGTTGAACGTATATTGTAGAAATCAGAACTGAACATCTTGAAATCACAGAAAAAACTAAACTGTAGAGAAATATAGTGTTGGGGTAATTATCTACAGTTCAAGACATGTTGAAGATGTTATATTGATGTAATACAGAATATTGCAAGTTTCTCCAAAATAGAGTTTCTGATGAATTCAACCGGTATAGAGCTGCACAATTTCAGATTCACTCACATTTTAGAAAGAAGCTTGTAAACTATAGTCAACAAGATTTATACTTTACTTAATATGTATACACTGGAAAAAATAAATTGCACAATATTGTTAAGTCTTTTTAAACCTCTACTATCTACTGCAGGTTTACCGATAGAATCAGCATAGCGTTGTCTTGCTTTTACAGGTGCACTGATTGATCATGATTATAATCGGCTTATCACGGTTTAATTTGCATGATTGTGACGGGTGAAATGTGCTGATCAAAAAGACCGATCATATAACATGAGGGTTAATGCGCACAAGTTACTTTCTCTCGTCAAAATTGCGTAAACAAGCAAGTCATGCTGCTATCAGTTAGGGTGACTACAGTGGCAACAACCAAACAGCAAAGACTGTAAGAAACAAAACGAAATATGCACGAAAGTTATGGAATTTATTTCCCACTGCCGCCAGTCCTTATCTATCGTGGAAAGCGCTGGGTTCAAACGACTCATGTCCTATATGGATCCATGCTTCAATATGCCATCGCGGGAATACTTGACTGATGTCTACCTGCCGCAGCTTTACCAAACTGTACACTCTCACATTGACACTCCAAGCCCAGCCAGAGTCACACAGCACAGGCACACACCGAACACACTCAGCAGCGAGGTGCTGAACTCCGAGCCACAGGCAAAAACGTCCTGTTTCGGGACTTTGCATGTTCACAGAAATGTTGGAGGAAGATGAGTGTAGTGGTAGTACAGTCCTGCAGTGTTGCAGATGCAGCTTTACCTAGCTTAACTAGTTACACCTCAGAGCGGACAGCCACTTAATAAAAGCGGCTGGAAAAAAAAAAAAGCCAGAAAATAAAATCTGCTTCTCTGCTTTTTAGCACAGCCGGACTATTCTGGATGATACACGTAATAAGCCCTACAAATGCTGAGATGCTAATATTCCTGAAGAAAAAAAACATTGCCTTAACTATCCCGTATAAATACAGCAATACCATATACAGTATTGCTGTATTTCATTGCATTTTTAATGTCTCAATGCTATGTACCCCTGGGGCATTTTATTTATACTTCTTGTATCTTGATGGTTTTGAAAGATTAGTTATGAAGGGAATAACTAGACATTAATTTATCACAAAAAATATTTATATTTGATCGTATCGGCCATGATCGGTATCGGCAAGTCAACATTTTAATGATTGTGATCGGCCCAAAAATTCCTGATCGGTGCACTTCTACTTGCTTTACTTTTTCACATTTTATCTCTTATTAATTATTAATATTATTAATTATGTGGAAATTGTACTGTGTTTATAAATTATAATTACCGTACTCGTGTCAGTCTGAAATATTGATTGGCCACTCAAGTCAAAATACGTTATCCCTAATTCAAGCTTTAAGTTTTTTTCTTTGCAAAGGACTTAAATAATTTGCCTATTGTTACTAAAAACACAATTTTGTTACGCTTAATCTTGCTGCTCTGGTATAGTTATTTTATTGACGGGAAAATAACTTGGATACATTCAGTATAATTGTATATTGTTGTTTGAAGGTAAACGCATTAATAACCCTGTTTCATTGTGATCTGTTATGCAGACTGAAAGATGTCTTGACACTGTATAGAATTATTTATTTCTCAATATAATTCCAGCAGCTTTCCAATAGAACTCCTTTGTATTATGTTTTGATTTATCAGGGAATTTTTTATTTCACCAAAGCTGTAGTTATATTGTATCATGATATCTGGCAGCAAAGGTTGTTCATATGGTTCAGCCCTCATTCTATAATCAGTCAAATTCAAACAGAATGTGTGTGAATCCTTGTGAACATAAAAAAATGTCTGGACTCGAAGCAGAGGACTTTCAGTTTTGTCCACTTGTCTGATTTATTCTAATTGGTAACAACCTCTGATGTTTTTTCTTTATCTTCAATCCAGGACTTGGAGAATGTTCCGGCTCGCCCCGTCCCTGCAGATGTGGTGCACCTGGACCAGTCCAGCTCTCCTCACAGAGTTTCTGAGGAGAAGAACACCGTCGACCTGACGTTGGAGCAGAGCAGTGACGACCGTATAGAAACCAGCCCAGAGCTCCGTGAAAAAATCTGCAAAATCAAAAAGGAAAGAGCTGACCCCGAGCTTCACTTTGTAGATCATGAACCAGTGGTGATTTCTGACGACGAGGCCCCACTACACGGTGATGTCTTCATGAACGATTTGGAAGAGCAACAAAAAGACAAAGGTTTTAACAGTGCATCAGATGTGCACAAACATGACCTTCAAGAAATGGAAAAATCCAACTGCTCCATGAATAACTTGGTGATTGAGGATTCCTTTGAAGAAGACATGAACGCATCCGGACAGAACGACAAATCTGAGTCTTTGAACGGAACGCAAGACGTCGTTGGAAATAACAAAACGGCTCATTCGACCGGAGACAGCAGCTTGAGCTACGTCACCGCGGACGACGAGAGGCCCCAGAGAGCGACGTCAGGACATGAAACGAACATGGACCTGGGAGAGTTTCACGACACGCCATTGAGGGATAGACGTCTGTCCGCAATGCAAACAAGTCTGAAATCTGGAAACCGGTCCAATTCCAGCTACGTCATGGACTCTTTAGAGGGCAACTTTAACCTCCAGCTGGACGAGGACAGCGATGTGACTTCAGATGAGAATGTTTTTAGTGACGACAAGCAGACGGAGGAAGAGGAGAGAGAGCTACTGTCCAAGCTCCAGTCAGACGGGAGTTTTGACGTCAATAAATCGTTAGCAGAAAGGCACAACAACACTTCTCTAGCCGACAATTCGGTCATCCGCACGACCCGAAAGAAGCGTGTGGCAAGGATCTACAGCGACGACGAAGATGAGGAGGAGGAGGAGGCTGAAGACACTCGGAGCAGAAAGGACCTGGAAGAGGGTTTCGATATGTTGGCTGCGTCCACGCCAAAAGCTGCTCACGGCATGAACCGGTCACGGAAAAGCCTGAACGCGTCCGTGGCCTCGAGAAGATCCTTGGTGCTTTCTCTGATCGACGACGTTGGAAATCGGGACGAAGGAGAAAGCAGACAGTCTGAAGAAGAGGAGTCTGAGGAGGATATCCAGGTAAAATCACTGGTATTTTAGAGACATTACATTTTATATTGTACTGCTTTATATATATATGGGGGGGGTTCTAACTTTAAGTCAGTCTGATTAGAGCTGGGCAATAAATCAAATTCAATTAATCAACCTTTTTGAAACTCGAGGGTGTGGGATGTGTCAAAATTGTCTTTTTTTGAGCTTTTTTTATTAAACAGTTTCACTTCGGACGATCCTATTTAAATAGGTTTTTAACAAACGCAGCAATAATTTGGAGATTTAACATCAGCCCCATGTCTGATGGTACAAAACTGCAATACTACTGTGATATAAAGTCATGAGCCAAATTGGTGTTTAGTGATGTAGGCGTGTACAACCCCACAATTCACTTATTGAACAATGGAAAAAGCCAAAATGTTCAATGCAAAGTAGCTAGAAAAGTGGTACGCGAGAGAAATTGCAATAATTGTCTCATAGTCTAGTATTGGGATGTATTGTATGTACAAGGCCATGTCCACTCCTTAAACACCCATGTATTTCAGCTTGCTCTAATTTTCAAAATATAGTCCAGAGGAGATGAGATGCATAGAGGGTTTAGGCTTTTTGGGAGAAAGGGGGGGAAATGATCCGCTATATTCAAATAAATCTGAATAGGTAATAATCATCCAAACCTCCCATGGATTAATAGAATAGCCCCAGACTTTGCAAACAGAAGCACAGTGCCTTCTTTAAAGATAATGGCCACCAGGGGACTCCAACCTACAGCTCGGGAGTCATCAGTAGCTCCCCAAAAGATCATTTCACATTCTTACTCTCTTCATACCGCTCCTTTAGCTTAGAGCACAAATACATTATGATAGAGTGTGTTGTGGGTATAATGGGCTCGACACACGGGAGGCGACATCGCATCGCCTCCATTCATTTTCAATGGGACGTGCGCGACATAGCGTCAATCGCTAGCGAGCCTCCTGCTCAGCGACGGGCGAAAAACGTGCGTGTGAAATCCTCCTGCTCGTGCATCGCGCAGGTCAGCGACGCGATCCCAGAAAGTTGAAATCGGCTCAACTTTTCGACGCTGTCGTCAAGCCGCATCGCGCCCCGTCTGTCATGTTATCTGAGCGACAGCGTTGAGTTTCGCTGATCGCTCTCATTTGTCGCCTCCCGTGTGTCGAGCCCATAAGACTGCATTGTAAGACAAAAATAGCCAAAAAAGTTAATGAATACATTACCCACATGGTTAGTCTTGACCATATTTTCCAATGGAACAATACAATTGCTATACGATGCTTGATATAAGACTACAGCTGTTTGTTCCATTTGTAAATCCTTGAATTTATTCTTTTAAGAACCCCGAAATGTATACGAATCAAGATACAAACTAAATTCATTGTAGCATTCCAATGCATTCTCACTTTCTAAAGGAGGAGCTCACTGCCATATGTGTCCCGAAAAGGTTGGAGACCCCTGCTGTACTCGCATAGAAGGAACTGATTATGTGTATGATCTCAGGATGTGAGCAATGAGGATGATGAAGAGGGGGAAGAGTCCAGGGGCAAACATGATGTGTCTGAGAGCTTCTGTGAGGATGAAGAGTCTGAGCCGAGTGGAGAGACGCTGAACACTGAGGAGGAGGAAGAGGTACCGTTCACAACTGTGCAGATAATAAAGCAAGAGTACAGCGTGAATGATGGCAAAGGTTTAGTATTTTCATTGAACGTTCCCGAGCAACCATTTAGTAAGAATGTATTGAGATGGTAATGAATTTAATGGGGGCACAACTTAAAAATCAACTTCCCCTGATCACTTGCACACAAAGCCTTTATTTTATATGAATCGTATGAAAAAGCTTGAAAATGTAACGTATACAATTATGTTCTTTATCTAGGTATGTCGTATCAGAAAAAGAAAAAAAAATACCTAGTGTTAATTGAAAATATGTATGCCTACAGGCCTTTCTGTGTGGAGTTTGCATGTTCTCCCCCAGGTCTCTGAAGGTTTCCTCCGGGTGCTCCAGTTTCCCCTACCGCTAAAAACATGTACAATAGGTCTGGCATGTGCCTCCTGTATGGCGACCCCGCTCCCACCTCTGTGTGGAGTGAGAGACAAAAGCCCACAACAATTGTAAAGCGCTTATTGTAAGTAAGTATTTTGTATTTTTACAGCGCCTTTCACAGACCAGCGTCACAAAGCGCTTTACAATTGTTTTGGCATTTGTCTCTCACTCCACACAGAGATTGGAGTATGGCAACTCCACTTTTGCACAAAGCCCCCAACAAAGTGAATTTGGATGTATGAGAAATACACGGTTCAAACTGTTTAATCTTAATTTCAGAATCCGTCAAAACCAGAGGGGCGGGTCCCGGCTCACATATAGCATCTCCTTACCTCTCAAACGTCTTTACAGGATGGTCCAAAAGTTGGCTCTTGGCCCAAAACGCCGTTCCACATGTGTGTCAATGCTGGGGGGGGTGGATTTTTTTGGACCACTCTAGTTTAGTTGTTGTGAAATTTTTAAGGCAGCTCGCGCTGGCTGATCCATGCGCAGATGCGTTTTTTCACAATTTTCTTGTGGGCGGGACCACTCGCGGCCATTTTGGATAGCTCCAGTAGAGCACATTTTTTGGCCCATTTGTTTGAACGGCGGAGATAGGCGTGACTACGTCCGTTGATATTTACAGTCTATGGTCATAACGTGATGTAATGTGACTTTGTTAATGTCTAGGAGAGCATGGAAGAGTCAACCGCAGACACAGAGCTGGCCTCCGACGAGAAGATGGACAAGCGCGCTCCTCAAAGCACGAGCCTGAAGGAGAAGGTGGAGGACTACGAGTATCTGGTGCTGAGGGGCCGAGAGTGCCTCACACGGGGCCAGCAGGAGGAGGCCCTGGGGCACTTCCTCAGAGCCATTGACATGAAACCCGGAGACCCCGAAATCCAGCTGCTCACCATCCAGCTCTACAGGCAGCTCAGCGACACCAAGTACTGAGCCACAAACATCTGGAAGGACTCGCATCTGTAGGAGACTAGGAGAATACCGCCACGCATTTGGAGGTCATTTCAGGTTCATGTGTGGGAAAAAACAAAAGTATTCATGTAAAGAGAGATGATATTTTTGTCAAAAACTACATCTAATTTTTCTCTTCTTAGTTTCAGTCATTTTTATCTACAATTTAGTCTTAAGGAAAATAAAGATTTGAATTGTAACTCGTCAGCAATATTTTCAAACCAGTGAAATACATCATGTTCATGTAAGCAGATCTATCCTTGTCATATTAGCATTTTATATTCTCAAATCAGAGTCAGCGCTCACTGATGTTTCCTTTAGTAGTAGAAGAACATGACATTTCCGCATGATGTATGAATGCTAATTGGAAGTGTATTGCCTCATTATGTAATTAAACTGTTTATAATATAATTGTTATAAAAAATATTTTTTATTGTACATACAAGTTTAAACTGTTGTCATAGTGCTGGTTCAAGTCTGGTTTTGGGGCGTGCAAGATTTAATTTGGTTTCTAGTTCTGTCAATGTGTAATCTTTGTATAAAACAAAGGATCGGTTTATTATCTGTGGAGTATTATTTACTTGCTCGTAAAGTGACAGACGCATGCGCACATGGATCATGATGTCAGACTGAGGAGGTGACTGAGTCCTTGCAGCAGTTCCGGTTTATGAGCAAGCCTTCACAATAAAGTTATCTGTAACCAAATTATGTATAGTGATTTCTGTGTGTTTAACAACTTGGCAACAATTTTATACCAAATAAACATTTGGAGTGTTATGACCCGAAGGACAACGTAAGACTGGTGGAGAGTTTTGAAAAGTATTAAGTTGTTTTACTTTGAAATAACTGATTTTGTAACAAACCAAAAAACCCCACCCCATGTCCAGAACACAAAAACGCAAAGTAATCAAAGCTGGACCTGGTGAGCCGGCCAAAACAAAGCATTGACAGCGAATCAACACGACCCAAAACCATAGACTGTTAGGAAGAAAAGGTGCCGAAACATAACGCTGAGACGCAACTTCAACTAAAAGTGCACGTTAATTGAAACAAAACTTGCATTAATATATCACACTGTATTTTACAAGATGCTTCTCACATGAGGCTCCATTTACTGTTGTCACTCGATACAAGTGTTACGAAGGACTGCAGAGCGGCTGGGAGGAGCTCAGTCAGAGGGAGCTTGGGATAGAGCTGCTGCAGCTCGTCCACATCAAGCTGCTGTATTAAGCCCTAAGTCTTCATGTCTGACCCAGGACACAAAACACACTGCTCTGTGTGAAGTTAAATCTGAGTCCCTGCCATAGACTGTATATATTATTGTCCCTGCTCAAACCCAGCCCTGTGTAAGCATTTTCATTATTTTATTTTTTTAAAACACAGTGGACTTTCATTTTATACAATTATAAGTAGCTTACAAAAATACCAGCCATAAGCCTTCAGTGTAAGTATTGTGTATACAAACTCGACTCTGGTAAAACTACTGAAATTGTTCTATTACTCGAGTACTTTTTAAACAGCAAAAAATATTTGTTGACAGGCAGCATATGTAAAAGTAAATAGTTAGGTCAAATAGAGGTACCAAAAACAGTACAGTAGGCGATTTGGGTAAAAGATACTTGCCATCTCTGCTAATAAGTATGTGCATGTGTTTTCTGACAAAATTATACTAGACTTTTATTGTGAAGGGACTCGGCGGAAGCGCTCGGGTCCGTCGCTCACTGACGCTGAAGGCGGATTCCAAACGAGTTCCAGTGTAGGGGTCTAATTGCTGCAGAGATTACCCCCGTAACACGTCCCCAAGCGCGGCCAAGAGCAGCGCCTCCAGCCGGCCTTTACCCGCGGAGACTCACCCAGAACTGTACCCGGACTGACCCAGGACTAAAGCTGGACTAACGCCGGACTAGGGCATTCCAAGGAGGGATGGAGGGAGCGCAGAAGAGGAGAAAACTGCCGTGATTTCCCCGGTAGTAGAGGCCAAAGGACGGGCTGGCTGTTAGCGCACTGGGGGCTGCGTAAAGGCGCTCGGAGCGGACTTTTGGACGGGTCCGCGCGGTGGTGGGGCTCGTGAACAGTTTGGAAACCGTAGAGGAGCGCGCGGAGGTTATTTACGGGGCACCGGAGAAACGAAGGGCCGCGGGGCATGATGGGAACTGTAGTCCTGGTGTGCGCGGTGCTGCTGTCCGCTCCTGCCGCAGGTGAGAGACGCACTCTGGGGTTGGAGTCTGTTTTTGAAACGGGTTCATTCAATTTAGGTATTTAAGTTTATTTGTCTGAGCAAACTTCTATACCATAACAAATGGAACCATGTAATAAACCCATTTACCTTAAGTTCTTTGATGGTTGTCACTTGCTTGTATGTTTGGCCTCTGTTTCAAATTTAGATCAGCTTTCTCAAAAGAAAAGTGAAAACGAGAGGACCACCCTCACCCCAACCAGCTCCCAAGAGTTGGTTGGGGTGAGGGTTGAACAAGATTGTATCTTGTTTTTCCACTCAGGCTTCAGATCCAAGATCCTAAGACACAATCTTAAAGCCCCCTGTGTCTCATAACAATAGATAGATAATTTGCTTAGATAAAAGTTTTTTTTAGCTTTTTTGAAATATATATTAAAACAAGATATGAACTTATTGAAGTATCATTGTTAAAAGATCATTTCAAAACCATGTCTACATTTGACATTTTTTTATACATTTCTTGTTAAATGTTGAACAATATCAGAAGAACTTTGAGTAAAAATGTGTGTGTTTTCTAAAATGAGAATTTATAAATAATTGTCTGTGATATCAAAAATTTTCTTAAATATTGAGGTTTTTTTTCTAGTCTCTTAAGTTCGAAATGTAGTATCGTGACATCACAAAATTTTAGCTCAAAATGTAATGTTCTTCAATCTGGTTTTAACTTTCTTTGTGCAACGTACCATAGTGTTACACACTTGGCACAATGTTAAACTTACACAAGATTTAGTCACGTATTTTTCTAAAAAACTGATTTGTCGCAGTGAGAGCAGACTCGCCTCTCTGCAGATATGACTTGTATCTAGTCCTGGTGATATCACTTCATATACAGATAAAGTATAATTTTGTGAAACATTCCAGTAACATTTAGACGGTCTGTGACAAAAGTTGCGTAGTGCTGTTTTAGGAGGGATTTCAATCCAATTAAATTTACTATTCTATAGCCCTATATCAAACTTGTCGATTCACCAACACAGATCAGAGAATCAAACAGGAAATGCATTGATAAAAAACACATATAGTCATTGGTCCGGCAGATGTCCATTATGTGAATAGATGATCTTACATGACTATTTTTAAATAGACAGTGACTGAGCTCGTCTTGTCTTTGAGGACGGCTCTGGTTCAGTGCTGCTTTGTCTTCACTTTGCTCCTGCTCTTGCTCCTGCCCTTGCTCCTTCTCTTGCTCCTTCTCTTGCTCCTGCTCCTGCTCTTGCTCCTGCTCCTGCTCTTGCTCCTGCTCCAGATCTTTAGTCCCTGACTCCCTGTTCTGGACTTTGGAGTGGTTTAGCTTCAATCTGCTTTGGTTCCTGAATAAACAATGTCTTTGTGTCAGAATGAGGACAGGTCATTTCAGCTTATTCTACTGGAAAAACCTCCAGTAGACTGTTTAAAGTACTCTGACAGGTCCCACCTTGGTTTAACTAGAGGTACATAGATCTGTGCTCAGAAGTTTGTATACCCAGGCTGAGCTTATACACTCATTGTAATGTTTTAATAGACATAAATTTGGCACATAATGTGGCGCAGATCTATTTTGTTGTTGTTGAAATTACTCCTTTAAAACAGTGTATCCCAACTAGAGGTACCAGGTATGGTTTTCCCTCAGCTTTTTTCATCCAAAAATGTATTGTACTTACTAGGGCGTTAAGCACTCCTGTATATAAACCACATTTTAATAGAAAATTGACTTTGTCCACACATAGTTATATATTAATATAAGCTGCAGGTTTTCATGTTATAATGTAACACTTGACCAACAGCTACTGGAGCAAAACTACACACTGTCGACTTGTGAGGATCAAAGCTTAGCATTCTCTAAAACTTGATGGAATCAAAATAATGAGTCCATAAACTGCTCCGACAACAGCCCTAATCATATAAAAACACGTTTTTCCCTGCTATTCACATAAACACACCAGGAAGCAGGAATGTGCATACTCTGGAGATCAACAGTTGTGTCTAAATCTTTCCTGCACTCCAGGGGGCGCTCTAACAAAATAAAGATACATAAAGATCAATACTAAACAGGGCGTTGAGTTCAGTACTTTCTGGCTCATAGTCCAGAAAGTACTTTTATACATTCCAAAAAATACTGAACATAATAGTGAGTCAGTTTCTCTTTATATATTGAAGACAATATTTAAAACGTTCATTTATTTCTTGCATGCTTTATATGACTGTCTTTATGAAGATGAGCAATGACTAATCATGTATTATAAATGTGAGTTGGGTGCATCTATTGCCACTCTTCAGACAAGGCATTACTGTCACCATGGATACAAGCAGGTCAGGAAAGTTCCACAGTGTGGTTTAAGTTGTTTGACATTTAAAGCTTTAGTTTGTGAGAGAGAGTCTGGGCTTAAGGAGATTATCTCTCAGACACCGGAAACTCTGCTGCACATGCTCAGTGAGGGCATGTGCTGCTGCAGGTCTGCAGCGGGGACTAAAGCAGGGACTGAAGCAGGGACTGAAGCAGGGACTGAAGCAGGGACTGAAGCAGGGACTGAAGCAGGGACTGAACTGAACTGTCACTGGACCAACCTCTTTCTCACTTTTCTGAATGAAAATTTTGTTCAAAACCTGGGAAAAAACAGCACATGTGTGTCAAAGGTAGTGATAGAACTGTTTTGAGAAACTATGGGTACTTGGATTTTACTTCATATTTCGAAAGTTAGATACACCAGCTGCAGCTCTTTTCACTGATCTCACAGATTTCAAAGACTCAGAGAATATTGTGTGCTATGAATATGTGAAATATATACCAGATTCTGAAAGACCAGACTTTCTGCAGCAAAAATAAGTTTGTTTCTAGCTTGCTTCGTTCTCTTGTGTCCTCCAGTCGAACAGAGAAAAACAAAAAGCTGAGAAAAGGAGGTGTTTGTGAAAACAGACGCACCATACACTCTTTAGTTTAACTTTAGTGTCTCCTCAAACATGTTCAGTATCTTTCATGTTAGAAAACAGCAACAAAAAGTTATGAGAAAGTGTTTTTGATGCATGTTTTATGGCACACATCCACATCCAGTGTTGCTCAAATATATATAAAAAAGTACTCACTTAGACTCTACTTTCAATATGTAAATGTTTGTGACAAACTATGCCAGAAATAATGGCCAGTATTAATCCATTAGATGGCAATATTTATGTAAATAACAGTAAGTCACAGAATAACAAAATTACAAGGATAAAAACTATAAATGACAATAAACCAAAGTAAACTATGGGTAGACTATACTTGTGCCTATAGTATAAGTGCAGTAGAATACTGTTGTGTGTCTTTGTGTGTTTGTGCGCGCATGTATGTGCATTTATGCACGCGTTTGTGTGGTTACATCTACAGAGTGTCGTTCTGTTTAGTCTGTTTAGAGTGCTGGACTAAACAGCCGCTGGCTCCTGGTGTGGGCTCGGTGATAAGTAGCAGCAATAGTCCACTTTTCTGTGGCTTTTTTTGGGGTGCACTGCTGGTCTGCTGCTCTGACCCTCCACGTGGTCTCTATCAGCTCTAGAGACACATTTACTCCTCAAACTGGCTCCAAATGAAGCCTGTCCCTGACTATATTCTTCCATTCCTGATTTTTCTCTATCTCTCCTGCTCACGCCGCTGACATCCACAGAGCGCTGCTGCCACCTGCTGGCTCAATAAAACACTGTCTACAGCCAAACCCCAGACATATAGGAGGACCTTTGTTTACACCCGCGTGCGCATGCGCCCCTCGCTGTGTGGTAGGAAGACAGAGCGGCGCATACTGAAGCATGGATGCTACTACTACTTTTAAAATACTCAGTGGGCGAATAGCACTGTATAAGCACTTTAACGCAAGAAGATCACAGAAGCCAGTTATGTTAGCTAAGAAACATAGCTACTACTTATTTGTATATATTGTGTGTGCTCTTACTACTGTCCTATATGTGCGATGCAACATCGAAATTTCCCCACTGTGGGACGAATAAAGGAATTCTTATCTTATCTTAAGATATAAAGACAAGCTAAAAATTAATATATGAGATCGAACTGAACAAATTCTAAGCCCATATGAGACCTGGGATGACGAGAAGAAACATTGCTCAGACTCACCTCTCTTTTTGCACCGATCTGCTGAAACTGGGACTCTGAGACATTTATTCTTACTTCATAGAAAACCCAGGACCTTTCACTCAAGAAGGGTTCGTGGTGAGAATCCATTTCTCACGTTTTTCACCGCGGTAAAGTGGCCCGGCATTTTGCCGTCGCGGTAAAGCACATTAAAAGCGGGTTGCCCCTGTTTGCTGTTACTTACGGTAAAGGTGGAACAGGAAGCCGCGGGGATGAGCAACAAAAAGGCAGTGTTTAAAATTAATCATCATTCATGAATGAATGAATGAGTGACTTGTTCACCCGCAGTGAAAGTAGTTCCAAAACTTAAATTTGTTTATGAATTTTTATCCCGGTCTATCTTCCCGGTCTATGTTTACCGCAGGTAACAGGATAAAAGGGCAACCACTTTACCACAACCGTTTTTCGCTGTTCTTTTCCGAACGAATCAGAAAAAAAACGTAATCTGTCCCCAGATACCGACCACACAACACGAACGGACCATTTGATTTAGTAAAACCTCTCTCAAAGCGTCTAAAAATAGCTAACTCTCTAGCATCCAGGTGGCTTTCTATGCTGTAGTGCCACACAGTCACGTGACCGCCACGGAAAAACTATAAACAACAACGTCACTCCAAGATCCTCCTATATGATACAGGGAAAACAGACAGAGTGAAAAACTATTTATTTTTCAATTGACTGATTTATCAGTCAATTTAATGATGCATATACGTTTAAAAAAAAAGCAGAATTAAAATCGTTGCCTGAATTAATCAAATTTGATATTTTAAACTAGGGCTGATTCCTTTATTATTTGTCCACGGGAGCAGCATCGCTGACAAGTAGAAGACCAGATTTCCTGTTTGAGCGATAACAGCCTGATAATAAACTGCTACCTCTGCATCCTCTGCTCCGCTTTTTAAGGCTGGGTTCAGTCAAGTGAATGCAGCCTGCTGTATCAAGTTAATTGAATTAATCACAACTAATCAAGTAATGAAATAGTTTAACATCCTTACATAGACTTAAGAGGTTGTATTATTCAGATCATTCTATAATGACTAAACCAGTGGTTCCCAAGCCGTGTACCAGTGTAGACAGAGCACAGATCCCTCTGGTGTGGAGGATGGGAATGGCACAACTGTTTTTAGGCTTTACTGTCATAAACCAAGGTCTGCTACTTTCTAACTAATATTTCTTTTTTTTCTTTTTTTTTTTTAAAGCTGAAAAGTAAGGAAATCTCTGTATTGACTTCCTTCCTCCTAATTGTGTCCTGAGCTCAAAGTTTAGAATAAAATAAATTATTTGGTTATTATCTCTGTAAAATGACAGATGACTCAAACATTATATCCCAGAAGTATAAGCAAAAAGATTTGAGCATTTGATTTGTTGGTTTAGTGCCTTTTTAGTACGTTTGTTTTGTCCTGAGATTAAGGGGAAGGAGCTGATGAGTCATTCAAGGGAATCACTTCCGCTTTGACTCTTACTTCTGTTGTTTCTGACACGCACACACAGACACACACACACACACACACTATATATATGGGCTTGTTCACACTAAAGGGCACAAAAGTGTGACAAAAGGCCAAAAATTAGATTCTAATAATCAGAAGATATTTTATGTTTTTCATGTTTCCAAGCACCTCCTCTGTTCATTAGAAGTTGCCAGAACATAACTGTTTTATACATTAGACAAGTTTCCTATAGTGGCCACTGGCCCTGTTTATTTTATGTAACGGACGAGGATGAGTTGACGGAATGAGCTTTGTGGAAGTTTGATAGGTATTTTCAGATGTCCACATTTGATTCAGAGAGTCTATTTTTTTTACACAAAGTAGATGCAAAGTGATACTTTCATATTGTCAAGCAATTAAATGTGAAAACAGAGCAGATTTTTTTTTCTTCTCAAGTTTAATTTTTAGAGAAAAGAGGACCGTCCTCATCACGTCCGTTATACATTTTTCAAGGGTCATGTAATTAATTAATTAATTTGTATTTTTTTACGATTCCTTTTTATATCAAGTGATTTCCTTCTGTTGTGTTAACCATGTAAATCTTGTGGGATTTCATCTTCTGCTTTTTCAGAATGAGGACATTGTATTTTCTATGTAACTGGCGTCACAGTAGAATGGTCCAATCAGAGGCTCATTTGGTCGTTTAAAATGTTGCTAAACATTTTTATGTCAATCTTTCCTTTTGATTTTTTCCACACTATCTCTTCAATGTGTGTGTGTTTGAAATCTTTTTTCCAATCTATGAAAGTAATTTTAGTTTTTAAGTTATAACCTTTTAAAGACCAGATACTTTTGTCACTTTATTGTGAACACACTCATATATTGTCATGTTTTTAAACCCAAAAGACAGTTGGTATTTAATCTTTATTTGTTACCAGTTGACTAATAAAATCCTAATTTGTTTACTGAACTCATGTTTCAATATTCAATTATTTATTGTCATTGTCACAAACAAAAAAAATTACGTTTTGAGCGTCATCCTAATAGAGCGTAGACGACTTAATAACAGAAGAATTTTTTTCAAAATGTGAAAAACTCATAAAAGATCATTGAACCGTTGTTTTATTCTGATTCTACATACAGTGCCTTGCGAAAGTATTCGGCCCCCATTGAAACTTTCAACATTTCGCCACATTTCAGGCTTCAAATATAAAGATATATATAAAAAAAAATGTTTTCAAGAATCAACAACAAGTGGTACACAATCGTGAAGTGGAACGAAATTTATTGGATAATTTAAACCTTTTTAACAAATAAAAAACTGAAAAGTGGGGTGTGCAATATTATTCGGCCCCTTTACTTTCAGTGCAGCAAACTCACTCCAGAAGTTCAGTGAGGATCTTTGAATGATCCAATGTTGTCCTAAATGACTGATGATGATAAATAGAATGCACCTGTGTGTAATCAAGTCTCCGTATAAATGCACCTGCTCTTTGATAGTCTCAGGGTTCTGTTTAAAGCGCAGAGAGAACCATGAAGACCATTTGCAAGCAATTATATTGAAAAGGAAGGAGTATCAGACCACTGCAAATCTACCAAGACCCGGCCGTCCCTCAAAACTTTCATCTCAAACAAGGAGAAGACTGATCAGAGATGCAGCCAAGAGGCCCATGATCGCTCTGGATGAACTGCAGATAACTACAGCTGAGGTGGGAGAGTCTGTCCATAGGACAACAATCAGTTGTGCACTGCAATCTGGCCTTTATGGAAGAGTGGCAAGAAGAAAGCCATTTCTCAAAGACATCCATAAAAAGTCTCGTTTAAAGTTTGCCACAAGCCACCTGGGAGACACACCAAACATGTGGAAGAAGGTGCTCTGGTCAGATGAAACCAAAATCGAACTCTTTGGCCACAATGCAAAACGATATGTTTGGCGTAAAAGCAACACAGCTCATCACCCTGAACACACCATCCCCACTGTCAAACATGGTGGCGGCAGCATCATGGTTTGGGCCTGCTTTTCTTCAGCGGGGACAGGGAAGATGGCTAAAATTGATGGGAAGATGGATGGAGCCAAATACAGGACCATTCTGGAAGAAAACTTGTTGGAGTCTGCAAAAGACCTGAGACTGGGACGGAGATTTATCTTCCAACAGGACAATGATCCAAAACATAAAGCCAAATCTACAATGTAATGGTTCCCAAGTAAACGTATCCAGGTGTTAGAATGGCCAAGTCAAAGTCCAGACCTGAATCCAATTGAGAATCTGTGGAAAGAGCTGGACTGCTGTTCACAAACGCTCTCCATCCAACCTCACTGAGCTCGAGCTGTTTTGCAAGGAAGAATGGGCAAGAATTCCAGTCTCTCGATGTGCAAAACTGATCGAGACATACCCCAAGCGACTTGCAGCTGTAATTGCAGCAAAAGGTGGCGCTGCAAAGTATTAGCGCAAGGGGGCCGAATAATATTGCACGCCCCACTTTTCAGTTTTTTATTTGTTAAAAAAGTTTAAATTATCCAATACATTTCGTTCCACTTCACGATTGTGTCCCACTTGTTGTTGATTCTTGACAAAAATCTTAATTTTTATATCTTTATGTTTGAAGCCTGCAATGTGGCGAAAGGTTCAAGGGGGCCGAATACTTTCGCAAGGCCAGTGTAACTTATAGCTTATTACCAATAATGTCTTTGACCGTGTGACCTCTCCTCAGCCCTGCTCCAGACCCAGCACTTGTCGTCTTATCACCTGACTGTCCCGCGGCCAATTGGAGGACGGCAGAGGCGGGGCTTGGACGGAGCGCTGCCCAATCAGGTACTGTCTTCTCTCACTTCAAGACTTTAAACTGGATAGATGCAACCAAAATATATATTACTTACAATATACGGTGCCTCACATACACACTGCCTGAGGGGTCTAGAGTTGTTAAAGGTGCCATATTTCGCTTTTCTTCATTTTTCACAGTCCATCCAATACACATAATAGGATAATAATTTGGGTGATACACCATACAACACTCAAAAATTGTCAAATTATAGCCATTTATAGCCATACAGCCGTGCATAGAGGTGATGCAGGTGGATCACTGACTTCCTGACGGACAGGAAGCAGCGAGTGCGTCTGGGGAAGAATGTCTCGGGCTCTCGGATTATAAATACAGGAGCCCCACAGGGCTGTGTTCTTTCTCCCCTGCTCTTCTCCCTGTACACCAACCACTGCACCTCCAGCCACAACTCCGTGAAACTCATCGAGTTTGCGGACGACACCACCCTCATCGGACTCATCTCCAACAACGATGAGTCCGCCTACAGGAGGGAGGTGGACCGGCTGGTGTCCTGGTGCAGTGGTAACAACCTGGAGCTGAACGCCCAGAAGACAGTAGAGATGATTGTGGACTTTATAAAGAGCATAGTCCCCCCCGCCCCCACCCTCCCTGATGGACTCCCCCATAACCTTGGTGGAGTCCTTTTGTTTCCTGGGCACCACCATCACCCAGGACCTCAAGTGGGAGCTGACCATCAACTCCCTCATCAAGAAGGCCCAGCAGAGGATGTACTTCCTGCGGCAGCTCAGGAAAACCAAGCTGCTTGCACAGATGTTGGTTCAGTTCTACACGGCCATCATCGAGTCCATCCTCACCTCCTCCATCACCGTGTGGTTCGCTGGAGCCACAGTCAGGGACAAACAGAGACTACAGCGCATCATGCGCTCTGCAGAGAAGGTGATCGGCCACAGCCTCCCATCGCTGCAGGACCTGTACGTCGCCCTCTCACCCTGCACATGGACTGTTCCAACCACTCCCCTCAGGCAGGAGACTGCGGTCCATCAGGACTAGAACCTCCCGCCACAAGAATAGTTTCTTCCCCTCTGCTGTTGAACACTTCATAACCTGTCCCCCCGCCCTCTAGAAGTCCCCTACTGCTCTTTATAATGTCACTTTACTGCCCATCATACGTCACTTTACTTCACTGTACTGCTGTCACCCTACATGGTGTGCACCATGTGCAAGTTTTTATATTGTATATGGTAATTGTAACTCTATTTTAAATGTATTCCTTAAAAGTGCTTTTTATTCTTTATTTTTAATTATGCCTTCTCTACCCTTACCTTTCTTTCTGACTGTTGCACTGTGCCAAAGAAATTTCCAAGTCTGTGACTTCCTGTTACTTACGTGCCAATAGAAATGATTCTGATTCTGATCTCAGCTCATGTGAAACGCTTGGATCAGTGCTCCTCTCTGCCTGCACGGTGACGTAGCCTCTTCCTGAGTTCCGAGGTAAAGAAGCGCTAACTGTACAGCTATTGCTGTTACAGTTATTTCACACCTGAAAATTAACTTTTTCCAACAATGGCAACCCGTCACATAGAGCCCTATGTCCTGGATCCAGAATCAGACCCTAATTATTTAGTTCACACTGACACACTGCGAGTTAGTTGCATTGTACTCACAGACCAAGGTTCCTTTTAGCGTCTTTTATGTTAGAAATAACACCAGGTTCAAGGTAACAGTAGTTCTGGAACAGTCTTTGCTGGTGCCACTGTCACTCTCAAGAAAAACATCTGCAAGTTTTGTCGCGGATTTCAGACTCACGAATACGAGGCAGATCCCCGTGAACAAAGTTGATCCGTCTTTGCCCCAAAAACTCTTTGTCACTTATTTACACCAGCGACACATTTTCTCCAAGTTGACATGAAGCTAACACAAAAAAAGCACAGAGGCTTATTTACAGTCTATGGACCACATGCTGGACTTGGAGAGAGGCTGCATGCTCTGACCATAGACGGCGCTGGTTCAGTTCAGTTTCTCCCCGGTGTCAATCACCTCTTGGAGGCGGACTTTCGACGTAACGGATTGGTGCACGTCACGATTTGATACAGCTCGTTTCTGTGCCTCCCCTCCTAGCAGGAAATAGTTTACAAAATAAATTATTTAAAGCTAGGGAACCTAAGCTTTTTCACCCATAAATAGTCACACCGAAACATGCTGTCGTCATCTTCATCTTAAGAATGTTACTTCTTGTCATCAGGGCTCAGAAAGAGCCCTGTTGAGGCACCAGCTGAGAGCTGATTGGCTAATTTTTGGTGGTCGTCTCTTTATTACTTTCCTTTCTAACAAAGCTGATCAATGTGACGTCAAAGATGTATGTGATGGATGTGTGTATCTAAACTTTGGTAAAGCCAGAAGCTACTTTTATTGATTGTATTATATAGTTCAATTTTTTTTGGTTTTTGGTTTGAAACTAATTAACCTCATTCAGTTCCTGGAGGAAAACGCCTTGTGTGTCACCAAAAGGTTTCTGGTTTCAGATTCATTTTATTTGCCATTTGCAGTAAAACCACATTGGAATTCATTAGCAAAAGTCCCCAGTGTGCACAAGTACAGACATAAAACAACATTAAAACTACAGAAAGAAACAAATAAATAAAACAGTAAAACAATTGTCACTGTGAAAACGATCGGCTAAGACAGTATCAAAACAAAGTGCAAGATCATTAAAGTGCTCTGTTCAAACTGATAACAGCTTGTGGGAAGAAGCTGTTAGCATATCGAGATGTCCTGCATCTCAAAGAACAATATCTTCTGCCAGAAGGAAGAAGCTGGAACAAGGCTTTTCCAGGGGCCAGAGGAATCATTGATCATTCTAAGAGCTCGGTTTAAAAGTCTGGATTTATAAAGAACCTCCAGAACAGGAAGCTCACAGCCCACAGTCCTCTTTGCAGAGCGAAGCACCTTGTTTAAAGCTCTCATTTCTTTATCTGTGATGTTACCAAACCACACAGACACAGAACCAACAAGCAAACTCTCAATGGTGCAGCGATAAAAGATAAGCACAATCTTAGAGTTAGTGGTATATTCTCTAAGTTTCCACAGAAAGTAGAGACGCTGACGAGCTTTCAGGTTCCACTGGAACCTGTGCATCAGCTAAAAAAATTCCCTAAGTCTGGAACTTTCCCGGAGTTCCTATTACGTGTGAGCAAAAGGGTAACAAGAACTAAAGATAGAAACAGGAACTGAAAAAGATTTCTACAGGTAGAAACACCGAGATGTAAAACAACTGTATGGATAGACGTTAGGGACAATGACTTTTATTTAAATCCATCCCTTAACTAAAGATAATGTGGCGTGGTGCACTCAGCCAGTCTGCTGTCCTGGTGCATTGTGGGAGCTGTAGTCCTCTCACTCAGATGCCAGTGCTATGAGCTCATCAGCTGTGGAGCCTCAGTTCCATGTTTGAGGAGGAGGTGTGGCGTGTTTGTGTGGCTGGAGTGAGTGGAGGTACAGCTGTGGGTGTGGTCCCTCCAGAGAGCAGGGGAAGTGTTTTCTGCTTTATTCATACTCTCACACTTCTGTGGAAAAGTCCAAAAACCTCACCCTTTGTTCACCTTGATGTCCACTAACTCACAAGGAGCCAGAGATTACTGTGCAAAAATCAACTTTTAAAAATGTCAACTGTATTACCATATTTTACCTCCTTTTTTTCCCCTAAATCTGATCTATTACTGATTTTATATTAAAGGCACAGTATGTTCAATTAAATTGATTCTTGTACATCCCATAATCACAACAGTAGTTATCTCGGAGGACTTCACAAAACCGGGGATTTGCCAACGCAGAACAGAGAATTAAACACAGGAAATCCAATGATAAAAAACACATAATGCAATTGGTCCATAAGGGGCAGATGATCAATGCCCATAAATGTTGATAGAGTCCATAAATGTTGTTGAATGTCCTGAATCATCACCACTGCCTTTAGACCCTCCTGCATCAAAGTAAAAACTCTAAAAACCCAGTGGGAGACAGTGATAAAACTCAGGGAGGCCCAAATTGAGGGAGGGATCAGCCCCCACTATACTGTAGATCCAGGATTCCTGCTGTAGAAAATGGTATACTGTATATATCCATCCATCCATTTTCTTCCCCTTAATCCATTTCTGGGTCGGGGGGTGGCAGTCAGAGCTGCAACCAGTTCACAGAGCACCAGCCCCTCACTGATCCTCCTGCAGGTGGTGAGTCCACAGGAGCTGAGATCTTTCAGTGGGGGCTTCAGGCAAAGTGGGGTTAAGTGTCTTGCCGAAGGACACAACGACAGCAGTCATCAGTGGGAGTTGTGAAGTAGGTCTTACGGTGGGCTCGAACCCACGACCTTCAGGCCCAAAGGCTAATGCTCTACCAACTGAGCTACTGTCGCCCTCATGTAGACATATATATATATATATATATATATTATAAATAAATAATATATATAATATATATATAATATATATATATATATATATATATAATATATATATATATATAATATATATATATATTAATATATATATATATATCAGGGCTGGGCGATTAATCGATTTTAATCATTAATTTTTTTATTTTCTCCAGCGCAGAACTACAGCGCTAACGCGCTAACCGCGGGTCTATGGTGTTGAGCAGTCATTTTGAAGCTAACCTAATGCTAACAGTCTCCCTCTGGCTTGATGCTCGCTCTCACAGTTGGTGCTGTTGCAATAACACTTCACACGTTCAAGAATCAGACTTTATTTAAATCGCCAAAACACACACACACACGCACGCAGGCTCCGGTCGCTATGTTCGTACGCCATGTTCGTACGCCACATCTTTCACGCTCTCTCACGCTCGTTATTCCAAAGCGCACTCCCGTGTCCGTGGCGCGCACACACTCGTGTCCCACTGAGCCGCTGCACTTTGGGGAAAGACACGTCTCACACATTGTTCTCATTGCTCTGATACAAACAACGTGTTCCCCGCTGTCTGTTAGCTACAGTAGCTGCTACAGTAGCTGCTACAGTAGCTGCTACAGTAGCTGCTACAGTAGCTGCTACAGTAGCTGCTACAGTAGCTGCTACAGTAGCTGCTACAGTAGCTGCTACAGTAGCTGCTACAGTAGCTGCTACAGTAGCTGTTAGCTACAGCATCAGAATGTAAACAGGAAGCTCTCACAATGCGGGAGTCACTGAAGTTAGTATTAGCGCCACCAGCTGGACCGAGCGTTGTACTACAGCACAGTTACTCAGGCACAGTTGAAAGAACAAGCATGAAAACCCGAGGAGGCTTTTGGAAAAGACTGTCTCTTACAACATTTCTATTTTGAGTAATCAGTTTTGAAAATGTGATATTTCATGTAAATAATGCATGTGTTTAATAGGATTTATATATTTGCGATGGGCCTTGTTTGTGTGATTTAAGTTATTTTGAAGGTGCATAGTGTCATTGTAAGTGAAGTTATTATAAAACTGTTAAGCTACATTTTCACTGTTTACAATGGCAGAGCCATCTCGTTTACAAGCATGTTTTAAGGCTTAATTCCTGTTACACTTATGCTCCATGGGGATTTAGATTAAACTGCATAAAGGAAAATCTATTTCTTTGTCAGTTGTAGTTTGTTTTTAAATAGAAAAAAATAAATCGATTAAAATCGAAAATCGGATTTGGTGTGAAAAAATCGGAGATTTTTTTTTTTTGCCATATCGCCCAGCCCTAATATATATATATATATATATATATATATATATATATATTTATTTATTTATTTATTATTATTTTTTTTTTTATTAGATCTACATATTTTTATTTATATACTGTATATGTTTACTGTTTCAAGCTAAACTTTATCAAGTGAATTGCATCTGTAAGTGATTAGAAGTGTGTGTCACAACTCACAGGCAGGAAGATTCTAGCAACAAACGAGTGAAGGATTGTAATGACCTTTTTACAACACTTGGACAACTCACCCTCAAATCCACTTTTTTTTTGTTGATAAACGGTATAAATGAGTGTCCAATAGTGTTGTCTACATATCCTGGTCATAATCTTGTCACTTTGGTGCAAATTAGTTGAAAGTTAGACTTTCTGCCTAAAACCGTCTGTGAGGCGCCATCTGCTGGCGACCTGTATTACTACATTTGAATTTTGACTCTGGCGCCAACACTGGCACAGAAGTTGGCACAGAAGTTGGACCTGACGTCAGCAGCCCCCGCCCAGAGCAATTTAAACGGCCCAGTCTCGTTCACGCCCCCTTTAGTCCTCCAGGCTACGCCCATTTAGAGGAAGATTTGAACAGGAAATGTGAGTAACGTAAGCACCGAGGAGCGGGGGGTGAGAACCACTTTAAATAAGATAAGATGGACTTAGATAAGATGATCTCACACAGGAGAAATTTACATGTCACATTTGGCATGGATAGAATCACTCAGATTTGTGCAAAATACAGAATTGTGCAACATGTTAGAGGCAAAAAATATAGTCTGTTCAGGATGTTATGTACAATATTGTGCGTAGTACACATATGGTCCCTTTATTTCTCGAGTGGTGAGATGTACTTGTTGTAATTTCTTATCCCCATTATCCCAAACCCTAAACATAGGAGAAAATGGTTCAACCCTTGTGTAACAGTTGGAAACATTTACTGTATGTTATTGGGTTAGAGAGTTTAAAAACACATTTCTAATTCTTCTTGACAAACTTCTTGTCAAGAAGTTTGTCTTCTTGACAAATATAAGATTATGTGTTTTCAACATTATCACTATATTTCTTTGTTTATTTGGATGAAATGCAACCATAAATGTTGTACAGTATGCAAATAGAGCTTTCGCGAAAGTTCACTGTGGTAGACCTGGCTGCTGCTCATCCTCGGCTCATCACACCAGCAACGCCCACATCCAGTCAACCAATAACCACCAGGACAGCAAGTTAAAAGCCGGAGACTCCCATTTCCCGGCCTTCTGAAGTCTGCAAGCCTCCGCCGCCCCACCTCCTCCTTTTCTCATCGAAGCGTGCTTACCTGCTGCCTCTGCCGCCACCAGTGCCTAGGCCCCGGGGGGGGATTATGCGCGCGAGCAAGCGCCGCGCTCAACAGCATCTCTCCCGGGCCTAGGGCGCCAAACATGCTTAAATCTAATAACTCTGACTGCATCTTCCTTATGGGTCTCTCCAAAGTGAAATGAGTTTTGCTTTGTTGTTATGTTGCAGTCCTGTCTTTAACCACGACACTCTTTGTTTCAGATATCGTACGTTATAAATGTGGAGGGACAAGACCGTGTAGTGCGCCTCCGCAGGAACACGTGAGTAATGCAGCACTCTCTGCGACAAATCTCCAGTAACCGTAGCATTCTTTTAATGCCACAGTATGATACTTTTTGGCCAAAATAAAATACTAGAATTAGACTGGGCTTTTTTGTTGAATTTTTGTTTCAAAACGCAGACAGGAACCAGTTGACAGTTGAAAGAATTCAACATAATGGTGGACTTGCAATGAATAAAGTCCTTTTTATCATGATTTTAATATTTTGACATTCTTAAAACATGTATTTCAATGTATTAGTGCACAACGCTAAAGTATACATTTACAGTAGTTGTGGACATGTGGAATATCCTTTGGGGAGCTCCTTTGAAGTGGGTGCTACAGGGCTCGGACTTAAACCATATTTTATTGTTAACTTTGTAAAAATAAACTACTATGATCGTTGAAAAGTCGTCCTTCTGAGTCTGTGCTATTATTTAAAAAACGTTATTGTAAATCAATCTTTCTCTCTCTGTAACTTGTGCACAGACTGCAAAGGAGAAAAGTATAATCTTATTGTTGACATGAACATGGAACTGTTCACAAGAGAAACTTTAACCAAACAAACGATAACTTATCAGAAAAGAAGGCAGTTTGATAAAAGAACAATTTGTTCATAAAGCGGCAGAATCTTTCCGTGATAAACTCGTGCTGTTTTATCTCTGATGGTAAATATGTCTCACCACATTGATATGTGTGAAATGAGAGCATGTGTGTTATTCTCATTGGCTGTACGTGTTTGGGCTTTAGGCCTGCTGTATTTCACTACTGACTCTGGAAACAACAAGACTCATGTGGCGCTCATTCTGCAAAAATAAACATTACTCATGTGCAAGGTTTATGTAATGAAGAAAATCAGCATTTAATCCGCGGCATTTAATAGCATTTAAAATATCGATCAACTGCCAACTAACGCTTTTTGTGGCCATACTTGCATGCAAGCCAGAGCCAAACGTGTGTGAAAATGCCCGTCACAACGGAAGACGTAATGTGACGCACAATATCAAGTCTCCACCACACCTCACCCCCCACTCCCCACCACCCGCCACACTGACCCCCCTCATCTGGGCTTTACAAAGCGTGCTGTGGCCCACCTCTCTCAACCGTACCCAAGCCCACTTGTTGCGGTCACATAGCTGGAATCAAATCGCAAAGTGGGCTCAGGGTTTTAGGGTGCGCAAGTGTGGATCTATAAATCCACATTTAGGCAAAGACACTTCACCCACATTGCCTAGAATGAGTCTGGTTTGTGTGTGTGAATGGTTGATGGAGGGAGAGGGCGACTGGCTGCCTCGCTTCTGTCAGTGGTGCCCCAGGGCAGCTGTGGCTACAATAGTAGTTTATCACCACCGTGTATGGACGCATGAAGCATCTTTGAGTGTCCAAAAAAGTCCTAATCACTAACAATTGCATATTAGCCCCTACCCCATGTTTATTTGATAGCAAAGTTTCTTTTTTTTTAAGCCTGCAAACTCATTCGGCCTGAGAAAGCCATGTCGGCTGATGTCTAATCAGCGTGTGCACTGTCTTTAAATACTTTTTGATTTATCTTGATGATGATGCTTTTTACAGGTTACTGTTGCCTTCAGACTTCACTGTGTTCACCTACAGAGAGGACGGCTCCCTGCTCACCTCCACCCCCAATGTACAGGTGTGTTCTGGCAGTACACACACACACACACACACACACGCACACATACGCACACAGAGACTACACGGTTTCAGTGAGTTCAGAAGGGGAAAAAGCAGATCGAGATGTCACATAATGATTTAATTGTATTATATTTCTCATACATATTAGAGGGTACAATAGATTTTTACAATAGACCAGTGCCAGACATTATTCCTAGGTTGGTTAGGATTACTCCTAACCAACACTTGATTAGGAATAATCATTTCTGATGAGGGATGATCTCTGATCCTGGGGCCTAGACTCTGCTGGCTGCACTTGAAGGATGTGGCGCTGTGCTGAGATGAAGCAGAGTGACAATCAGAGATGCCACCCAATAACAGAGAACTTAATTCTTTCATAAATGTTTCCCTTTTTTTCTTCTTAAATCCATCGGTTTTCTATAAATCCACACTTGAGTGCAACAAACTCTGCTTGTTTTCCTCCTGCTCTAACTCCGCTCTGATCAGCAGCACCTGATTGGTCATAACGCTGCTGTGCTCCTGTGTGCACTTGCATGAAAGCCACACCCACGTCTTCTTTAGTATTTGGCACAAAGCATCATGGGCGCTCGACCACTGCACAGAACCAGGAGGACCAGAGAAATGCCAAAATTTGGGTGGCCTCCTTTCGCAGTGCATGGTTGCTTCAGGCGCTACTGAGCACAAGCCATTGATTTATTTTGATTACGCTGCCATCTTGGATCACAGGGGCTTGTTAAACTGCATTAAAAACAGAGATGAATAAGTCACTTTCATGTGGGTTTACTTGGATATTCGGTGGGTGGGTGGGGGTGGTGCTCCGGATGTGAACGCAGAGGTCAGTGATTGATCTGCTGTGTTTAACCTCATGTGACTGATGAGAGCACACTTCCTGTTCCCTGCTGTCACTCCTCCAGCTTCCTGTGACAGTGATGAGTGCTTCTGCTCACGCTCTCAACTACAGATTTGAAATAAAAGCAGTGAAAGCGTTTTGTAGATTTTGAACTGCAGTTAACCTTTTTCTCATCGTTAGATTTCAAATGCCCCACTGTCTGGCTATAGTCACAATGTCAGTAACAAGGTTGGATTTTTTTGAGCATTTTAATTCACTTTAGTTTTAGGTTTCCAAATTCCTCTGTTCATCTTTATCATGTTTTGTTTGTCTGTTGTCTTTCCCAGGATCACTGCCACTACAGCGGGGAGGTGGAGGGCGTGGAGGGCTCCTCTGTGGCTCTGAGCGTTTGCAGCGGCCTCAGGTCTGGTTCACACACCTCTGTATTCTCTGTACTGTCTGAAGTGCGGAGGAGGTTAGCTTCTGTGCCTGTGCCTCAACAGAATCCTGTGTGAGGGCATGGCACATGCTGGTTCTGTAACGGAGTAAAAGAGAAATTTATGATATATCAGTAGATTTAGGACTGAAGGCTGCTGTTTCAAAATTATGATGATATGGCCACTTTAATGGTCTTTCACTTGTATCTGTCCATCGTCTGCAACTTATCTATACATTTTACGGGTCACGCCTTGACACAGACGAGAAAATTATCCCCTATTGTACCTATTTTAAGGGACCTCCACTGGCTTCAGTTCAGGCGTAGATTGATTTTAAGATCCGTGTGCTCGTTTTAAAAATCCCTTCACAGTCTGCTGCCATCACATATTTCGTGCAGTATCTACTTGTGCCTTTCTAGGCTGCAGCTTAGGACGTCTGTTTGTTCTATTACTATGGTTCTACAATATAGAAAGGAGAGATCTAAACAAGGTGGTCTGCTCCGCTAAAAGGACAGTGAGCTTTAAGCTGCCTGATCTGGAGGCTCTTTATAAACCTTGACTTTTAAATTGACTTTTATGAATCAACGTTTAAGTTGAGCTCTGTAAATTATCAATGGTATTATCAATGGGTCTTATGGCCACCCTGGGAAAGCCATCTTCCATCTTTTCTATTTTATTGTGACTGCAGTCTGACAGATATCTCAGCCACAAAATTAGCTCAAATACGTCAAAGGAGGGCCATGTTTTACTTCTGTGTGGCTCACTTCTCCGTCACACAAAAAATTGTTATTGTAGGAGGAGTTAACCTTTGGAGCAGCGTAGCAAGAATTAAAAACATGTTCAAAATTGAGTCTAAATAAAAATAAAACAACTATTCACACTGAAGAGTGATAGGAGGGAGGTGTAGGGTCTGAGAGTTTTTGGGGTTCTCTGGGTGGGTTGTTTGAGTTTTGTGTCCACTTTTTTGTAATCTGGTTCTTAGAAACAGAATAGTTATTGACAATAGTTTTGTTCTTGTGTGCAGAGGCATGCTCCATCTACACAACGACAGTTTTGGAATCGAACCCTTAAACCCGGAGCCGCATTCGGAGCAGCATCTGGTCTACCGTTTACAGGATGTGACCTCACAGCCCAGGGGGTGTGGCTCCGATCACCACCACCACAGGAACGCCACGGAGCATGCTCAGTCCGGAGCAGAGGAGATCCCCCACAGGCCGCATACCAGGGTCAGAACCAGAACTAAAACCAGGACTCAAGCCACGACTCAAGCCACGACTCAAGCCAGGACTCAAGCCAGGACTCAAGCCAGGACTCAAGCCAGGACTCAAGCCAGGACTCAAGCCAGGACTCAAGCCAGGACTCAAGCCAGGACTCAAGCCAGGACTAAAACCAGGACTAAAACCAGGACTAAAACCAGGACTAAAACCAGGACTAAACCAGGACTAAACCAGGACTAAACCAGGACTAAACCAGGACTAAACCAGGATGACACCAGGACTAGTTCAAGTTCAAGTGTTTATTTGGTAATTTGATATGAAAGAAAAACTACATCAGGACTAAACCAGGACTATCTCCTTTAGATTTCCATCCATCCATCCATCCATTTTCTTCCGCTTCATCCGTTGCCGGGTCGCGGGGGCAGCAGTCTAAGCAGAGACGCCCAGACTTCCCTATCCACACACACCTCCTCCAGCTCGTCCGGGGGGACCCCAAGGCGCTCCCAGGCCAGCTGAGAGACATAGTCCCTCCTCCTCCCGGTGGGATGTGCCCGGAAGGCATCCGGAACAGATGCCCGAGCCACCTCAACTGGTTCCTCTCGACGTGGAGAAGCAGCGGCTCTACTCCGAGCTCCTCACGTGTGACCGAGCTCCTCACCCTATCTCTAAGGGAGCGCCCAGCCACTCTGCGGAGGAAGCTCATTTCGACCGCTTGTATCCGCGATCTCGTTCTTTCGGTCATTACCCAAAGCTCATGACCATAGGTGAGGGAGGGAACGAAGATTGACCGATAAATTGAGAGCTTTGCCTTTCGGCTCAGCTCCCTCTTCACCACAACGGTCCGATACAGCGACCGCATCATTGTGCACGCTGCACCGATCCGCCTGTCAATCTCACGCGCCATCCTTCCCTCACTCGTGATCAAGACCCCGAGATACTTGAACTCCTCCACTTGAGGAAGGACCTTTCCACCCACCCGGAAAAGGCAAGGCCCCTTTTTCCGGTCGAGCACCATGGCCTCGGATTTGGAGGTGCTGATTCTCATCCCAGCCGCTTCACACTCGGCTGCAAACCGTTCCAGTTAGGGATGTAAATCGGTGACCATTTAACCGGTGGTTGACCGTCACAGCGTTAACCGGTCAAAGCTGTCGGTTAAAAAAAAAGAAAAGGGGGAGGAGGAGGTCTCTTAATAACGTTATTTTAAGCCCTATTTGCACGGTGTGGCGAGCGGGTCTGTCTCTAGCTGTGTGCGCCAATGTATCAGTAAACTCCGGGCCGACTCTCATGCCGTGTGCACACACACACACTTTCCCCCCTCCATTGATACGTAACATCCACACGCATTATCTCTCCCCTCTGTCCGCCAAAGTTGCACACTAGCGCGGGTTAGAACTACATTGGAGCTTACATTTACACACACATACATACATATACACACACACATACCGGTCTGTCACGCTCCTGTGTCACGCAGCCCAAAGTATCCAAATACGCGGCTCCAGTCAAATCACATGGAACATGTTTGTGCTGCTGGTCCTTGGCATTAGATCAGCTCCACACACATCACTTTATTTAAACTTTAGCGGAGATCTGCGAGACGCGGCTCGTCACTCGCTGCTCTGACCATGTGAACGAGCCGTTGTTTGCTGCTAAAAACTGTTAACCAGCAGCACAGAAGTATGGAAAGATTAAAAAAGCAGTTCTCTGTGCGCAAAGGTACCAAAGTTGTTGCGGGTTTTGACGCCGCTGTCTCGGCTCTGATCAAGTAGAACGCAGAGCTGCACTTATGAAAAGTATGCGGCTTGAAATGGCTGTTATTTCAAAGAACGTGGAATATTTTTAACTACGCGGTTAACCGGTTTCAACCGGTTAATGAGGCTTGGTGGTCGGTCATGAAAATTCATAGTTATTTACATCCCTAGTTCCAGTGCATGTTGCAGGTCCTGCTTTGTTGGAGCCAACAGAACAACATCGTCCGCAAACAGCAGAGATGAAATCCTGTGGTCCCCGAACCAGACCCCCTCCGGCCCCTGGCTGCGCCTAGAAATTCTGTCCATGTATACTGTGAACACGTATACGGTGACAAAGAGCAGCCCTGGCGGAGGCCAACATGCACCGGGAACAAGTCTGACTTACTGCCAGCAATGCAAACACAGCTCTGACTCCGTTCATAGAGGGACCGGACGGCCCTCAGTAGAGGACCCCGGACCCCATACTCCCGGAGAACCCCCCCAAAGGACACCCCGGGGAACACGGTCGAACGCCTTCTCCAAATCCACAAAGCACATGTGGACAGGTTGGGCGAACTCCCATGACCCCTCGAGTATACGATGGAGAGTGTACAGCTGGTCCAGTGTTCCACGGCCGGGACGAAAACCACACTGTTCCTCCTGAATCCGAGATTCGACCATCGGCCGTAGCCTCATCTCCAGTACCTTGGAGTAGACCTTACCGGGGAGGCTGAGGAGTGTGATCCAACGATAATTGGAACACACCCTCCGATCCCCCTTCTTGTAGAGAGGGACCACCACCCCGGTCTGCCACTCCATTGGCACCGCCCCCGATCACCACGCGATGTTGCAGAGGCGTGTCAGCCAAGACAGTCCTACAACATCCAGAGACCTAGATAGTCAGGACGGATCTCATCCACTCCCGGCGCCTTGCCACCATGGAGGCTGCCAACCACCTTGGTGACCTCTGCCAGGGAGATAGAAGTATCCGCCCCAACATCCTCTGCCTCTGCCTCCGGGACGGAGGACGTGACGGGGGGATTGAGGAGAACCTCAAAATATTCCTTCCACCGCCCGACAATATCCCCAGTCGAGGTCAGCAGCTCTCCACCCGCACCATACACGGTGTTGGCAAAGAACTGCTTCCCCCTCCTGAGGCGCCAAACGGTTTGCCAGAACCTTTTCGAGGCCGACCGATAGTCCTGCACCATGGACTCTCCAAACTCCTCCCAGTCCCGGGTTTTTGCCTCTGCAACAGCCCGGGCCGCGGCACGCTTGGCCTGCCGGTACTGGACAGCTGCCTCAGGAGTCCCCCGAACCATCATGGCTCGATAGGACTCCTTCTTCAGACTCCTTCTTTGACGGCATCCCTTACTGCCGGTGTCCACCACCGGGTTCGGGGGTTACCGCCGGGACCAGCACCAGAGACTTTGCGACCACAGCTACGAGCTGCAGCATCAGCGATAGAGGAAGAGAACATGGTCCACTCAGACTGGTCCCTCCTCCGCCGGGACCTGGGAGAAGCTCTCCTGGAGGTGTGAGTTGAAAGTCCGTCTGACGGGGGCTCAGCGAGACGTTCCCAGCAGACCCTCACTACATGCTTGGGTCTGCCAGGCCTGACCGGCATCCTCCCCTGCCAGCGGATCCAACTCACAACCAGGTGGTGATCGGTTGACAGCTCCACCCCTCTCTTCACCCGAGTGTCCGAGACACGCGGCCGAAGGTCAAATGATACGAAAACAAAGTCGATCATCGACCTCTGGCCTAGGGTGTCCTGGTGCCACGTGCACTGGTGGACTCCCTTGTGCTCAAACATGGTGTTCGTGATGGACAAACTGTGACTAGCACAGAAGTCCAGCAACAGAACACCACTCGGGTTCAGATCAGCGGGGCCGTTCTTCCCGATCACCCCCCTCCAAGTGCCATTGGCAATTCCCACATGGGCGTTGAAGTCCCCGGGCGGTGCACTGTCCAGTACACCTCCCAAGGACTCCAAGAAGACCGAGTACTCTGCACTGCCGTTAGGCCCGCAGGCTGTCACAACAGTGAGAGACTTGTCCCCCAACCGGAGGCGGAGGGACGCGACCCTCTCATTCACCGGGGAGAACTCCAACACGTGGCGGCTGAGATGGGGGGCAATGAGTATGGCCACCCCAGCTCGCCCCCTCTTCCCGCGGGAAACACCAGAGAAGTGGAGCGTCCAACCCCTCTCGAGGAGTTGGGTTCCAGAGCCCAAGCTGTGTGTGGAGGTGAGGCCGACTATCTCTAGTCGGTATCGCTCAACCTCCCCCACAAGCTCGGGCTCCTTCTCCCCCAGTGAGGTTACGTTCCACGTCCCAAGAGCCAGATGTTGGGTGTGTGGACTGGTCTTTGCCTTCAACTGCTGCCCAGTCCTCTCTGCACCACGCCACCACGGACCCCTCTGCAGGTGGTGGGCCCACAGGAGGGACTGCCCACGTCATCCTTTCGGGCAGAGCCCGGCCGGGCCCCGTGGGCTAAGGCCCGGCCATCAGGCGCTCGCTTGCGACCCCTGACCCCAAGCCTGGCTCCAGGATGGGGCCCAGGCTGCGCCATGCCGGGCAACGTCACGCCGGGCGACGTCACGGTTTTCATTGTCGTGCTGTCCATGGTTGGCTTCAGACTGCGCTTCGTCTGACTTGTCACTTGAGACCTGTCTGCCATGGGAGACCCTACCAGGGGCATGAAGCCCCAGACAACATAGCTCCCAGGATCACCCGAGTACTGAAACTCCCCCACCACATTAAGGTGGCAGTCCAAGGGGGATGAAATCCTTTAGATTTCATAGTGTTAAAATTACATAATGCTGGCAATCTTTTCTTTTGTTTATTATGATTACAATTTGATTATACAGTAAGTAAGTAAGTTTTTATTTATATACCGCCTTTTCACTGCAGATCGGAGTCTCAAAGCGGTTTACAATTGTTAATTTTGGGCATTTGTCTCTCACTCCACACAGAGATGGGAGCAGAGTCGCCAGTACAGGATGCACATGCCAGAACTATTGGACATATTTTTAGTGGTAGGGGAAACCGGAGTACCCGGAGGAAACCTACGCAGACACGGGGAGAACATGCAAACTCCACTCAGAAAGGCCCTAGTCCGACCGGGATTCGAACCCAGGACCTTCTTGCTGAGAGGCGAGAGTGCTATCCACTCAGCCACCGTGCCGAGCCACAGTAAATCAATTGCCAGTCAATTGATATAGCTCCCTATGTATTTCTTGTTTGTTTTTTATTTTATACATTCATATCAAGTTGAAAAAAATAAAATATAAAAATTAGGTTTTTAAAGTATTTTTTACTTCTGCTTACTCCTTTTGAGCTATACAAACATTGTCTTTTCTGTTGTATCACCTGTATGTATTTTTCTGAGCTGAGCTGAAAAGCACCCTTAGTATTTCAACATAAGAAGGGGGGACATTTTAGAAACTTTGAAAAAGGGATGTTAAAATGTTGAATTATACTTCCTGAAACCTAAGCTCCGCCCACTTTGCAGCTCCTTCGCCATGATGACGATAGCCTTCAGCAGAAAAGTTTCATGATGTATCTCTTTTTATATTACTGCTGTATTTTATTGTTGTTTTGTTTTCAGATGAGGAGAGCCGTGCTGCATCAGACGCACTATGTGGAGCTGCTGCTGGTGGTGGACAACGAGCGGGTATGAGACACTTTACCAGATTTATCTCTATTTTCTATTGAGATACATTGACAGTAGTGTCGTATCTGGTGTCAAATATGATGTTTCCGTCTGTTTCCAGTTCAACTTCATGAACAGAAATGACACCGCGGTGCGAGAGGAGATGGTGACCCTGGCAAACCTCATAGACAGTGTGAGTAAAGCTGTGGTCTTGGGTTCACATCCACACTGTTAATACAACGAGCAAGACACTATGCTATAAAGGTGACGATAAAACAAAAGTCCATCTCAACCCTTTATATACACCCTTTGTTGGTATTGACGGTTCAAACTTTTTCTGTGAGTCTTCACATACTCTTTCAGGTATTTTGGCCCATTTCTCCATTCTAGAGCAGTTACTGTATGTTAGGTGCTGCCACACTTTTTATTCAAAATCTCACAATACATGGCCCCAATCATTCGGGGCGTATTATTGCAGCGCAGGGACGCAACTTACAGTCAAAATACAAAGAAAGCTGCTTGTGCTAATGGTCTTTGACGCTAGATCAGCTCTACACGTCCAGAATACACGTCCAGAACACTTGTATTAATCTTCAGAAGGAGATGCAGGTTTGACAGTGATTCTTTTCATCTTTCAAGTCTCTCTCGCTCTACTCTTCTCCAATGACTTTACAGGGACAGCAGCTCCCGTGCTTTAATCCTTACATTAATCTTGCGATAAAAGAATGTATAATACTTTTGACCTTATGTAACGTGGCTGTATGGAAAGCTTATTCCAAACAGCCTGCAAAAGCCCGTGCTCTTCGGTATAGTGCAATTGTTTAATGAGCTCTGAGTAAATAAATAAAAGACAATGGAACAGTTTGTACGTTTGCCCCAATTAGCTCTAGAACGTTCAGGACAGCAGCTTTAGTGGAGCGGTGAGTAAACAAGAGCCTGTAAGCTGCTGTGGCGGACACTTTGGTTTGTGGAGACTGGATCAAAGACTGCCTCCATGTGGTCAGAGCGGGCTTGGTCACTCTCATACTCGCACTAAAGATAAAACTACAGTAAAGAGCAAAATAACTTCCCTGCTCACTCATTATTCTATCAATCAATCAAATTTTATTTATAAAGCGCTTTTCATACAAAAAATGCAACACAAAGTGCTTTACAGTTTAGTTAAAAACAATCCAATATGCCCAGCCCTACATACAAACATCAGGTAAAATATGTGAATCAATAAAAAGAAATAGGGCTGGGTTCAGATGTAACCGGCGCCATCTGCACCCAGAGCCGAGAGCCGCCTGCAGCCACAGGGAACGACACAGGACCCAGAGGAGAAAGGGGGCCCCAGACCCCACCAGGTCCAGGAGTCAGACCCTCATAGGACCCAGAGGAGAGAGGAGGCCCCAGACCCCACCAGATCCAAGAGCCAGACCCCCACAGCCACAGCAGACCCCAGCCCCCAGTGCAGAGGGCTCCTCCAGAGGAAACACTGGGGATACTAAAACAGTTCAATAATACAATAGAAAGTAGAACATTAAAATTTGACACAGGAAAATGGCATCTGCCTAATGTTGATAATAACAATAGTAAATGGGTAGATAAAATAAATAAAAACCCCAAAATAAAATGTGTCTAAAAAACATAAATAAATGTACTAAAACGCAATAATAAATACTAGACAAAAGCTAATCTAAAAAGGTGCGTCTTGAGCCTGCTTTTAAAAATATGAACGTTCTCTGCGGCCCTGAGCTCCTCCGGCAGACTGTTCCAGAGACGGGGGCCGTAGTGCTGGAAAGATGCCTCGCCGTGAGTGTGTGTCCTGACTTTGGGGATGGTTAGGAGTCTGCTGCCGGAGGAGCGCAGGGGCCAGGAAGGCTCATAGGATAAAAGCAGTTCTGAAAGATAAGAAGGCCCAAGACCATTAAGACATTTAAAAACCATTAAAAGAAGAAAGGGGCGACAGTAGCTCTGTTGGTAGAGCATTGGCCTGTGAGCCTGAAGGTCGTGGGTTCGAGCCCACCGTAAGACCTACTTCACGACTCCCACTGATGACTGCTGTCGTTGTGTTCTTGGGCAAGACACTTAACCCCACTTTGCCTGAAGCTCCCACTGAAAGATCTCAGCTTCTGTGGACTCACCACCTGCAGGAGGATCAGTGAGGGGCTGGTGCTCTGTGTGCTGGGTGGCATCTCTGGCCACCCCCCCGACCCAGAAATGGATTAAGGGGAAGAAAATGGATGGATGGATGGATAAAATAACCTTAAAAATCGATCCTGAAACACACGGGGAGCCAATGCAGCGATTTTAAAACCGGTGTAATGTGGTCCCGCCCCCTGGTCTTAGTCAGGACACGTGCTGCCGAGTTTTGGAGTAATTGAAGACTTGCAATGTTCTTTTTGGGAAGACCAGAGAGCAAGGCATTACAGTAGTCAATGCGACTGGTGATAAAAGCATGCATCAGCGTCTCCGTGTTGCCCCGAGAGAGAATGGGGCGGACTCTGGCGATGTTCTTTAAGTGATAAAAACCTATTTTTGTGATGTTCTCAGCTCAGAGTCAAAGATTACGCCCAAGTTTTTCACTTGTGATGATGGACTAAAAGTGATTGGAGTTTTGGTACAAGTTTCTCTTGTACCAGGACTGATTACTAAAACCTCAGTTTTGTCCTGGTTAAGCTGGAGTAACTTTTCTGCCATCCAGGATTTCAGGTCTAAAATGCAGTTAAAAAGAGCATCCATTGGCCTGGTGTCATCAGGAGACATGGAAATGTACAGCTGTGTGTCATCTGCATAACTGTGGAAGTCAATTCCATGTCTCCTGATGACACCGCCAAGAGGGAGCATGTACAGGTTAAAAAGGACTGGACCTAAAACGGAACCCTGGGGCACACCACATGTAATTTTTTTGGACCTGAGAGGAGCAGGTATCCGACCTCTTATTAACACAAGAGCTAAACAAAACATTGCCATTTTTATCCGGCTATTTCAATCCATTCCAATCCTCTTTTATATATAGCTTTTTTATATAGCACATTTTCTAAAACACGTTTCCAAAGTGCTGCACAGATAAAAGTAACACATTCAATTATACAAGTCTGCCAGCTTTAAATAAAACCAATAAAAATGAAATAAAAACCATTTAAAAAATAAAAATAATTATCTGCATAAAGAAACATAAATTAATAAAATTATAAAAACGTCAAACAATGAAATCAATAAAAGTGATTAAATATGAGGTAGTAATTGCTTGAATCGAGTGGTTTTGGAGGACAAGATTTGCCAACGCGACAAATCCATTTAGTGTCATGTTCAAGAACTGTTATTTCTTGTATCTTTTTAGTTTTGCTTGCCCCATTGGCAAATCTTGTTTTTAGGCAGTCAACATGTGCTCAAATTAAGATACATTTTGCCATATTTGAGCCATTTTTAACGTATTTTTCATCGCTTCCTTTGTGTGTCTGTGAAATGGTGACATCGTTGATCCCACGTGGCAAACTATCTCAAACCTGGACTGTTTTTCTCAATAGATCTACGTGCAGCTGAACGTGCGCGTGGTGCTGGTGGGACTGGAGATCTGGACGCAGCAGAACCCCATCAGCACAGAGGGGGGCGCTGGAGAGGTGCTGAGCCGCTTCACACAGTGGAGAGAGAAGGAGCTGGTGCCACGGCGACGACACGATTCCGCACAACTCATCCTGTGAGCGACGTCATCAGTAATGGGCTGGGTTTATTCAGTGTGGACCAATAAGATCAGAGATAAACTTGATTGATCTCACAATGGAGAAATTAACTCGTCACACTTGGCACAGATAGGATCACTCAGATTGTGCAAAAATACAGGAAATGTGCAAACATGTTTAAAAGGTTAAAATGTAGTCTCTTTTGTGCAATAAAAATAAAAAGTGGCTATAGCAACTGGTATGACAGTGGTCTCCCATCCGAGCACTAACCAGGGCTGCTTAGCAAGAGATGGGATCTGCACCAATTACATGTCAAATACGTTTTACATAAAAATTTACATAAAAAAATCCATTACATGCTGCTTTCATTTTTATTAGAAAATATTTTATCTTCACGTGTTGTAAGAATCAGCCCTGCGAGTCACTATTAGAGGCTTTGGGCTGAGTGAGGGTGGTCCTCTCTTTTTCCCTTTTCTGTCTGAAAAACCTGAAGATGTGACAGAAAAAAATGTGTGCATGTGGAAACGAGGATATTAAAGATAAGAAAAGATAAAGAGAAATTTCAATGTCATCGCTGCACATTACAGCAGAATAAAGTAGGAAATAAGAACACTCAGGCTGCATCAAACAGGATCTATTATTTAAGATAATGGATAAAAAAAGAAAATAAGATGATAAAATAAAACTCACTTGGTTCACTAGTGGAGTATACACTGTAGTCAGCAGGAGGTATTTACAGATGTTTAGATTGTACTTTGCAAGTTCATATTTAGCAGTTTGCATTGTACTTTAATGGAATAACTATAGTAATCACAGCACCAGGTAAAGTGAAATGAATGGAAAGTTATGAAAACCAAACTGTTGTGGTTTTGATTCGAAAGTTACATATTCCAGCTTTAAAGTCAGTTCGATTCTCGCCAAGATCTATTCTGCTGCCTCAACAAAGACCTGTCTCCCTTGTAGACATAGTCACTGTGATGCAATGAAATGAGTAAAAATATGGGGGGTTTTTTTTTGGTTTTGTTTTCAGGAAGAAGTCGTTTGGAGGAACTGCAGGAATGGCCTTTGTGTCCACCGTCTGTTCACGGAGTCACGGAGGAGGCATCAACGCTGTAAGAACTCACTGTCAATTCATTTAGCTGCAATAAAACTATTTCAAGTGGTTGCTCCTGCTTTACAGTGCAATTTTTATCCAAGGCAAAAATACATGTTCTACAAAAAATAGTTTATAGACCAGAAAATAAAGCTTTGGCAAAGCTTCTATTCTTACTTCTTATAATAAATGCAGCAAGTATTTATGGCTAGATTGGCTCGTTATAGTTAAAGTTAATCTTCTGAAATGCATCATTCATTTTATTCTAAACATTGAACTAAATTAGTTTTAGTTTAATCATATTCAGTCTTATCTATATTTGATTTGGTCCGGCAGCAGATATTTTTTTTTTTTATTTTTTTTTTTTTTCCTCATTTTTATAGTGTGTTTTAATTGGTTTTAAATGAAACACTTTGGGTTGCATTATGTATGAACTATATAATGAATGATATATATGAAAATGTTGGTTGATTAATCAATTGTCCTTGATACTCAGATTTTTTCTCTTATTGATTCAGACATAAGACACATATTCCCAGAAACATCTCCCAGAAAATATTACAATATAACAATAACTAAGATCCTTTATTCGTTCCACAGCGGGGGAAATTTCAGTGTTGCATCACAAGTTACAATAGTTGGAATGATGAGCACACAAAGCAAGATGGGTAATAAAGATGATGAATGATATTGACAACAATTAATTAATGTATTACTATTATTATTATTATATATTATGATAAAATTACCACAATTTTATAAACCAGAAATATAGGAAAATGCAAAAATTTTGCTTCAAACAAACTTGTTGTGTAAAAGTGTAGCCAAAAAAAGGTTGTGCCCCCTGGCTTACTGATATAGATATAAATATTTTGAATTCAGCCCGCTAACAAAATGCCTTTGACCCCACTGCTCTAAATACAACTTGAGTGTGTTTCTGTGCTCATCGATTGCAGTTTCCCAATAACCACGTGGCCTCGTTCGCCTCCATCGTGGCCCATGAGCTGGGACACAACCTGGGGATGAACCACGACGACGGCCGAGAGTGCACCTGCCCCACCCAGGCCTGCATCATGAACTCTGGAGCCACGTAAGCCTCCGCACACACTGCAAACCCGCCACCAGTACACAGGGTAAGAAAGGCCCAGGACAATATGGTAGAGACCAGGTGGGACAGTGGTTAATGGCCAGAAAAGTCACAAAGTATGATCCTCTGATGCTGAGTGGATAGCACTCTCGCCTCTCAGCAAGAAGGTCCTGGGTTCGAATCTCGGTCGGACCAGGGCCTTTCTGAGTGGAGTTTGCATTTTCTCCCTGTGTCTGCATAGGTTTCCTCCGGGTATATAAATAAAGATTACTTACTTACTTACTTACTCTCAGAACGAATATCAATCTCAAAGCCAAAATTGAGTCCATTTTACCACCTGCTGTAGTCTGAGCTGCAGTCTCATACATTTTGGGTTCTCATTCCCCAGTTTTTCAGGATTTACTTTATCAATATGTTTCTCCACAAATGTTGATTACAACCTACAGCAACCCAGACTGAGACCAACTCAAAGCACCTTGATAAGAACTTATTTTTCTGTTTAAACGTGGAGAATAATCATGGAAAAAAATCAATGACTCTTCTGGCCACCATTGAAAAGCCATGTTCCAGCTTCTTCCCTTTGGCAGAACGTATCGATATACTAACAGCTTCTTCTCACAAGCTGTTATCAGTGTAAACAAACCGCTGTACTGATCTTGCACTTGTATGGAAACTGTTTTCGTTGATTGACTTCACAGTGACAGATGTTTCTAGTACTTTTTAGCTTGTTTTATTTTATATATTTGTCTGGTGTCTGGTCACACTGGGGACTTTTGCTCAGGTATTCCAATGTGGTTTTACTCCAAATGGCAAATGAAATGAATCTGTAAAAGCAAAGTTACAGCACATTTAACTGAAGCAAGTGAACAAACGGATCAGTGCAGAGAAGAATCCTGTAGAACTGATACAGAAACTTGTGTGAATATAGGGTCAGATGCACATCCATTCATTCATCCATTTTCATCCGCTTCATCCGTTGCCGAGTCGCAGGGACAGCAGTCTAAGCAGAGACTGAACAAACAAGTTTTAATCAAGTAGATCTGGCTCAAATGGATCCTTGAGCTGCTACAGTGTGGATCTATTTAAAAACCTCGTCTTGCCTGTATTTCCATGTGTTGTGACAGTGGCTCTCGAGACTTCAGCAGCTGCAGCGCTGACGACTTTGAGAAGATGATTCTGTCTGTGGGCGGCTCCTGTCTGCTTAACATGCCGCGGCCTGACGACGCCTACAGCGCCCCCTTCTGTGGGAACGGCCTGGTGGACCACGGTGAAGAGTGCGACTGCGGCTCACAGAAGGTCACAAGTCTCTCCTGTCGATACATGCTGTCTTTGATTCACAAACGTTGATACATGGATTCCACAACACGCAAAGAGCAAGAACAGGGCTGCAACTGTCTGAGGGCACGTTTACACTTCAACTCTCTGCTCCACCTCAGAAGCAAAGCATAACGTCCTCCGGAAGGTCACTAAATGGTTTCAAAAGAAAAACTGTTCATGACACGTGGACCTTTGTTCACGTCTCCACAAACAACGCATTTCCTGTCTCCAGTGAACCAGAATTATTCCAATTAAAGTGCACTCTGGTTGACGTGGGAGTATGTGTGAACCATAGACTGTAAATATTAACTGACGTAGTCACGCTCCGCCGTTCAAACTAATGTGCCACCACTTTCGCCGTCTATGGGCAGTTTCAAAATGGCCACGGGGGCTGGAAAATTTGTAAAAACTTTCATTTGACGAGTGCCTTCAAAATTCCTCCGCGACTAAACTAGACTTGTCCAAATAAAATCACTCCCCTCAGCATTAACACACATTTGGAACGTAGCTTTGGGCCAAAAGCCGAGTTTTGGACCATCTTGTAAACCCGTTTTCGAGAGCAAAGACGATGCTATACATTAGCATTGGTTAATTCTTATTCCGGGTACACCCCCATTGGCTCGTTGTGGTATTACAAGCTCTGCCCAGAGGAAGACAAAACAACGTGTAGATTCAAACCGTATTACGTAAAGACTGATTCCTAATCTCCGGTCTCCGTGCAAGTCTTCTATCAGCTCTATGTTGTATCCGCTCACACACCTTTTGTTTGTTCCCGCGGTGCATTGTGGGTCATGTGCTGATGAGGGGTCATGTGTCTTTTTGCAGCAGTGTGAGTCAGACCCGTGCTGTGAGTTTGGAACGTGTCGGCTCAGGTCTGGAGCTCAATGTGCCTTTGGAGAGTGCTGCCGCAGCTGCCAGGTCAGACACCACACAGACACACACATGCACGCACACACATGCACTCACACGCACACACAGAGAGACACACACACTCACACACAAAGATATCCACACACACAAAGACATCCACACACAGATATACACGCACACAAAGACATCCACACACACTCAAAGACACACATGCCTTTATGTTGGAAAAATGTAAACATTATGAGAAGACAAAAAACTACAATATTTAGAACAAGTTTGAACATGTTTTAATTTTAACACAAGCATTCTCTACACATTATGTTTTACTTTATTTGAAATCAGAAAGTCCTATGATGACATCACACTAGGGACATGCAACCAATTCATAATTCTAAGACGTTTAACACTAGTAGTAGTCTTATATTTTTAACTAGTATAACACGTTTTTTCACACATATATGTTGTGTCATAAATATTGCGCCCAGTGGGAGGCAGTAGTGAGGGAGGTGTGTGTGTACCTGTATCATATTTACAGCACTGTCTCTTGGTGTAAATCACATTCAGCAGAAGTTTCTGTATGAAATGTGCTATACAAATAAAACCTCGTCCTCCTCAGTTTCTCCCTGGAGGAACCGTGTGCCGCGGTGCTTCTGATGAGTGTGATCTGAAAGAGTACTGCAACGGCTCCTCCCCCCTGTGCCAGAGCGACGTCTTCGTACAGGTACTACTACTGCTGCTGCTGTGACTGGTACTGGTACTACTACTACTGCCAATACTAGTACTGGTGGTACTACTGCAACAATTACTACCACTGCTACTAGTACAAATGCTGCTGATACTGCTACTGTTATTGCTACTACTAATAATAACAACTGGTGCTACTCCTACAACTACTGTAGTACTACTGATGGGCTGCGGCCGCTACTTTTAAGAATACAAGGGATACTTTTTTACAACTGCTACTACTACTTCTGCTTCTACTTGTACTTCTATCACCCTCATGTGTGGGGTTTTCCTCCAGAATGGTCAGCCGTGCAGCAACAGCGAGGCCTACTGCTACAACGGGAAGTGCCAGACGTACGATGGACAGTGTCGGGCCATTTTCGGACCCAGTGAGTGGGCCCTGAACACACCTCACAACACGCATCACATCTTTCAGTTTTTGTCCAGTGTAGGAAGAAATTAAGAGAACCACACAATCATCTGAAGATTGTAACATGAAAATAGAATGACTTTTCACAAACACTGCAGTTGAATAACAAACGATGTAACGCTACATAGACCTGTGTTGCTCTGAGCTGAGACACGGTTTGGTCCTGGTTTTGTTTCCTGATAAATGTCTCTCTGTGGGATGAATAAAAGTTCTCTTGTCTCATCTTTCAGAGGCAAAAGCTGCTCCTGACATCTGCTTCAAAGACGTCAACAGTAAAGGAGATCGCTTTGGAAACTGTGGCTTCTACAACTATGGCCACAAGAAGTGCGAAAGCAGGTACTACTACTACTACTACTACTACAGCTATACTACTACTAAACAAAAAAACATTGTACTACACTACTACTACTACTACTACTACTAGACTACTAATAAATTCTTAGATCTGCTTTTGAAAGTTTACTCCCTCTTTTTACCATTTTGTAGTTTATGAATGATAAACTTCTCTCAAATGACCCTGATTGAAATCTCCATCCCCCAGTTCTCATTAACGTGTATTTCTCCTTTAACACCTATGCCAGCTTGGACTGTTGTGGTAGTCGTGGATGAGGTTCTTTATCCTCTCTGATGGTAATGCTGCCTATTATTCTTGGCAAAAAGTTGTCAATGTTGTTATAGTTTTAAATTAGAAAGCACATTCATTAGACAATACACAAACCATCAACTATAAGTGGGGAAAAAAAGGTTTTTGTTTTTAAGATCGACGACATTTAAGATAAGATAGACTTAATTGATCTCTCAATGGAGACTTAAATAGGATCAGGTTGTGCAAAAGACAGGAAATGTGCACACATGTTTTAAAAAGTGAAAGATATATAATGTACAATTAAATCGAAAGTGACTATAGCAGTGCGAGTTTTTTATCAATTTAAAATCCGCCACCACAGATTTCAAATACCGGTATGAGTCTTGTGTAACAGCGTGGTGTGTTCGCAGACACGCTCTCTGTGGGAAATTGCAGTGCTTGAACGTCCAGTCCACCACATCATTCGGGATTGAACCTTCCATCATCTCCACGCCCATCGGAGGGACAAAGTGCTTTGGGGTGGACTTCAGACTGGGCTCTGACGTCCCAGACCCCGGGATGGTCCAGGAGGGAACCCGCTGTGGGGAGAACAAGGTGAGACCGGAGAACAGGCGCTGGCTCAGGCACGCACCATTGTCGAAGTCAGAGATTCTATACTTAATTCTTGCTTCTTCATTACACTAAAGTTGGAGATTTTATACATGCTTCTTTATAATGCTAAATCTAGAAATTTTATACTTGCTTCTTTACTATGCTAAAGTTATAGTTATTTTTTTATTTTTTATTTTAGCATAGAGTTATTGTTCATTAATTTTGTGTTGTGTGCTCCACATTCCTTGCGCTTAGGTGTGTATGAACTTTGAATGTCGCAGCGTTGACATCCTGAACTACGACTGTGACGCGCAGAACAAGTGCCATGGACACGGGGTTCGTTTTTACTACATTTACAACAATTACTGTTTTTACAGTTGTGCCTGAAAGTTTACTCTCTCCGGTGGCGAAACTGAAATAAACCACACAACCACAATTTATATTTTTTGTTTTTCTATCATTAATGATATCTGAAATATGGCCAAAAGAATTACATTCCTGCCATGTCGTGCAAACTTTCAAACACAACTGTATACTATGAATACCACTGTTACTACATGGGGCCATGTGTTCCCTTCAGGTGTGTAACAGTAATAAGAACTGCCACTGTGAGTCCGACTGGGCCCCTCCCTTCTGTGAGTTCAAAGGCTACGGCGGCAGCGTGGACAGCGGCCCCACGTGGAACGGTGAGGAACTGCTTCACTGGACCAACACCGCAGCAGTAACTGCATCACCTTAAAATGACTTAAGTGTTCCCACGTCATTCTGATCCTCACGTGTTGTCACGAGAAATCCAGTCTTGCCAATCCACATACACACACCCATTTGTCTTGGGATTATTACAAGGATTTTGAATCTAGGTAAAAAATAAATGACGTTGCAAATCAACATTATGAACATGATGAATCTGAGAAGGTTCATGACCTTCAGTTTTGAGAAGGAAGTCAATGAACATAACAAAGTTTCAATCTTATCGTTTCTCACAGTAATTTACAAAATTATTTAATGTCTGTCAAAGTAGGCTTTCATATCAGGCCCAGTTTAAACAAAATGCCAGCAACGGTCTTTGAATGTTTTTCCAGTAATTATTGCAGCCTCTTCCTTTTCCTACAGATAAAGACACCTCGCTGAGGGACGGGCTGCTGGTCTTCTTCTTCCTGGTTGTGCCGCTCGTGGCTCTGGGTGCGTTTGTTTTCCTGCGCAGGAATGAGCTGCTCAGATGGGTGGGGCTCAACCGGAGAAAGAGGTCCCAGGGATACACGTGAGTCCCACACCAGACAACCCAACTGGGCTGAGATAAAATAACCAGACTAGTCTGGTCTAGATGATAACATTGAAACCTTTCTCCTGTGGATTATTCCTGATTTATAATCACAGTATTCTCCCTAAAATGTTTGTGCACTATACGGAATAACTTTCTTTCTTTTTCTCTTTGTTATCATTGATATTCTAATTTAAATATTCTCTATCCATTTTCTGAGACAACCCACACTTTGGAGATCCCAGTTGTGTAACTTAAGAACACTTCCAGCTCTTGCACAGAGCTCTTTCAACATGGAATCATTATTGTTTATTCTTCTCTGTCCAGGGCTGATGGAGCTGCGGTTGCAACAGCCAATCAGAGCAGAGCGCCTCCTCCCAGAGCTCCGCCTCCTGCCGTTACCCGTGGAAACAACAACATTGTCAGAAATGAGGTGATTGACAGATGACGAGGAGCAACAATCAGATGACACTTTATTACTGATATAGCCTGATCAGTGTTCTATATACTGAATATTTGAAAGCACGTGATTTGTCAAGCACTGATGGTCAAATTTACAAAGGAACCTTTACCATTTTTTCATTTTTCTTCAATACTTTGGTTTATATCTATAGTAATTGAACACTATATAATATGTTTATATTTAACACGGTATCCTGACCTTGATTTGATTCACCTAACTGTGCGATACTAAAGACCGGTTCTGTCCTGTTTCAGCATCAGACTCAGCTGCTGCCTTCACATACACAGGTACAAATGACAGAATACAGTAACACTTCACACACACACACGCATAGACACACACATACTACACACACACACACTCCACACATACAGCGGTGGAATGAACTGAAGACTTTTGCTCTTTTTCGAAGGTGGTGGAGACCAAAGGAAGCGCTCCGTCCTACTCCAGACCGCCGCCTCCTCCACTGTAAGAACTTATGTCTACATTGTATTGTAATTGTTTGAAATGCACTGCAAAAGCCAATTGTGGACAGGTGTTGAAAACTAAAAAATATTACATTTACGACTCAAGCTAGGGGCAATAGTCTCACGCAGAGGGACACTTCAAATCTGCCTAGAACTGTTTTAATAAAAATGGGAGTAAAGATACTGAGACCCTACTTGATAAAATGATAAAATAAAATAGAACGACATCAAAATACGTTATTATGCTATTTTCATAGTGTGAGTTTGGAGAACAAATTCACCCCAGAATGAAAATAAGTGGGACAAAGCTTTATTTTTATGTTTATGTTTGATGTGGTTAAAAAACAATTATTATTAAATGTTTAATGGATTGGGACAGAACAATAAACATTGTTACAAGTAACCATGACTGTTCCGCTGTTCTAAAGCAGATTCAAAAGACACAGATATCTGCATCTAACACTAAACTGTTTTTAGCTGTGAACCAGAAAGCAAGGCTGAGGTGCTTTTATATGATATTATCATATCTCGGTTGTATCCCTTCCGACCATTCAGAGAGCAGGGGGGGAGGGGGCGGTGTTGTAGGTAGGTGTTGATGAAGTCAAGAGTTTGCGCCTAATTGACTGATGGTAGTTTGGCAATGGCGGCGAATGCAATAGTAAAGGAATCTCTTCAATCTGTCTGGTTCGGCTCCAAATATCAAGAAATTAAAGCCGGAGCAAGAGGAAATTATTTCATTACTGCCAAATATGTTGTGGCTCTACTCCCCATGGGGTTCGGCAAAAACCTTATATTCCAGTTAGCTCTGTTAGTGGCAAAGGAGATGGCTTGGCTAAATGCTAGCGAAACGTATGTCACCAATCACTGTTGATTGAGTAAACTCAGATCCAATTGTTTCAATCTGCAAAAGGAGCTCAATGGAGCAAATCCAGACCTAAATACAAAATGAAATGAGTATGATGGTATGGTAGGACCAGGCTTATACCAACTCAGTTCTGGGACCGAAGCTGTTTATAATGAGACACCTGCACTCTTCTGTTTCTGTCTGTCATTCATTAATTCATTAAATTATATATTGTTGTTGTCTGTATTGTTCAGACCGGACATATAGCTACCAACTCATTTTCATGCAGCAAAGTGACCTCAGATCTACTGTCTGTAAATGATTCATAAATATAGTGGCCTAGTTAGCATTTAAGATACAGGTAAAACACAATACCCCAAAAACATTGTAAATAAAAACGTATTTAACACATAATTCTTACATACTTTAATATCTTTATGTTTGTGTCAAATTGAAAATATCCACGTGTTTCTTCTGTTTCAGGAAACCCAAACCGGCCACTGCAGCTCAGCCAATGATGCCTCTACGCCCCGCCCCTCCGCCACCCCATTAACCAATTAGGACCTCCAGCATCTCCAGCCCTTTAACCAATCGGGACATTGCACCCAACCCCGAAACAGCTCCAGTCTAACCAATCGAACCCAGCTTTTATTTGCATTTTTTTTTACAAATCAGGAAGCAGCTGATCTAATCAAGATGCTTCATCTGCACTTTTTAAACCACTAGAACCTGTCTGAGTCTATGACATTGTAGTACTGGTGGGTTTGGGCTCGGGACTCGTTGGACTTTGTTTTTCTGAATGTAAACGCACCACTGTTGCTATAGGAGACGCTCAAGGATCATGCAAAAATTAAGAATGACATCCGTGGAGAACGCAGTGAACTCCATGTAAGCGAGGGATTATGGGAGACTTTGCAAAATTGACTTTTAAAGGATATGAATTATGCTCTTTTCTGTGTTCCGACACCTACGTCAACACACATGTGACCTGGAGATTTGTTTTATCTTCATCCACACAGCGCTCAGTGTTAAATCTGGCCAATCTAGACTGTTTGTAGAGTTTTCCCACTTCTGCTGCTTAAAGCTGGAGTGCCTGACTTTTCCAGTTTGTTCCTTAAACAGAGCAAATGTAAAAGTAACATATTGTGTAAAAATCAGGCTTCAGCATCTGTCTTTATGTAATTGTACATACTGAGAGCTGGCTGGGTGAGGGCTGGTCCTCTCTTTATCATTGAAAAAGCTGATCAAAAGATGTGACAAATGCCAAAATAGAACCAAACCAGGAACTAGTTATATGGATTGTATATTACATAGTTAATGTTTTGTGGTTTCAAAGTTAGGTACTCCAGCTTTACAACTATAGACTCTACAAGGAGTGGACTGAGTGTCACCAGAGCATTTATTCGTCCTGAAGATGAAGGGTTGGCAACCGTGTGGCAGTGGTCCCTCATTTATCGTGGGGGTTATGTGTTATAAAAATATCCAGAAATTAGCAAAATCAGAGAAGAAGAAGTTTGATCTTTTAAGGGTGTAAAACCCCTCACACACACTTTATACACATGTCTAACCTGAACTCACGACTGCTAAAGTGCGTTCGCGGAAATATCAAACCTGTTCCTTGTATAGGTCTGAGTGCTGCTGCAGCTGTCAAAAGCTGTGCGTACACTGTAAAATTCAGCTGCAGAAGGCACCGTGCAGAGGGGCAGGAGCAGGATTGAGGGCTACGGGAAGACAACTGTAGTCCTCTGCAGCTGGCCATGTCCACTCCTTCTACAGTCTATGCTCATAATGATGGTCGCTAAACTGCTTACAAGCGTTTCTGCCACCAAAAAGCATTCTATACAACTGAGAGCGCGTCCGAACATGTTTGAAATGTCGAGTTTGAGGTTGTAATTATTTGAGGTTGAGGTTGTCAGACACGGAATTAGACAAAAGTGCTACTGATTTTTCATATCACATCTTTTCTAAACGCATACATTAGTTCCACTTCCCAAACATGAAAAGCCAAAGCCATATTGAAGGACCATGAGAAAAAAATGAGGGACAATACACTCATTTTGTTAAACGAATGCACTGTCAGAAATGTGTGTCTCTAAATGTATCCCGTTCTTTCCTAACTTGTTCGTAAAGTTCTTGGCACAAACCAGAAATATTGACCACAGGTTCGGCCCTACAAAACAGAATCAGAATTTTTTTATTTGAACAAATCAACAATATACATAATCCAAGCTTTTGCAAAACTATATGTCGTCTGATAAGTTGATACTGTGTGGCTCTTTTCCCTTTACTCTGCTGAGCTCGGAGAGACTGCAGCGAGGCACCTCACAGGGCTAAAAACTTGTGCCATTTCAACATTTGCTGATGCCAAATGTTGTGGATCATTTCAGAGTCAGTCTTTGGTTTAGATGAGGATGGGAGACTGTTGTCACTAAATGTGTGTGCACTTTTATCAGTTTTGGTTGTTGTGTGGGAAAAAGTATGTTATTTTGTCATGGTGCAAACTCATCAGGCACTTTGAGTTACTGATTTATACACTGCATATACTTAAAAATCTAGATAATGAGTGCATTATATTGAATTGAGAACTTTAAGACTGTATTGTTACATTTACCAATGGACAATAATGAAATGTATCGTTTGGAATGAAATAGGAAAAGTGTTCTAACCTGAAATTAGGAAAAATAATGGTACACATATAGTTTTTTTTATCTCTTGTTGAAACCAAGCCATAATACTGCTTTCTCCCTTTTTCTATCCAGTGTAAAGATGCACTATATAACTTTACTAGTGCTGCTTGTCTCTGGCGATGTTACTTCATTCAACATCTGTATTTATAGAGACAAGAAATGCCCACTGTTACGGAGAAAATAGACTGAAAGATTTGTTTTATTCTATTTTTTGAGTGTAGATATTTTTGTTGCACATAGATAATATAAAGACAAGCTGCCTGTGAGTGGGCTTGCATTGCCACAAACCTAACTGATACGGTTGTTGTCCTCTGGTTTCTTTTGGCTTTGATCCAGAATGGCATAAAACATATCAACCTCATGCATTGTTTCTAAAAGTCTCATAAACCTGTAAAGCTGATTTAGTGACAACACGGTATGAAATGCAGCAGTGTTTGGGGGGAAATCTAAAATTGTAACTGATTATGCAGAGGTCTTGTATTTCAGAGAAAAGTCTGGAGAAGGTCATCCAACGTAAACGTGATGAAGTGACTTTTTGTGGTGTGGATCCTGACAGTCCAAACTCAGGGCTGAACTAAACCTGTGTCACCTTCTTTTCTATGAAACAAATTATTTTCTACAAAGAGTTTGAAAAATGGCCTGCTTTCAGCTGCAGCGGAGACGAACAGACGAGCTGAAAGGAGAAGACTTTTGGTGTGTGGAAAATAAAAGGACTTTTTCTGCTCTGTTAATATTTAATGAAATTATTGCAGTGAATTGTAATAAAGGTCCATTGGAATGTGTTTTAAACGTGTGTTGTTTGCGTGCCTCTTACATATAGTGTTATTTTATGTAGCTTGTTTAGTTGGAGCACCAGCAGTTGCGTAAGTTGGTTTGTCCTGAAAACCGTGTCACATACACAGTGTTCCATGTGTGGTCACTAAACAAACTCCACAAACAAAAAGTGCCATATAATGTACATTATTACAACTTCATTATTTTAAGGAATTCATAAATCATGCACATGGAACACTGTGTATGTGACACGGTTTTCAGGACAAACCACGTGTCCCATTGTTTTCTTCTGAAATGTAGTCCCTTTTTTTTTTAAATGTGAATTTGCTCTATGGATTTAAGTAGCCTGACTACGTCATCTTCACAATTCTGGTCAGGATCATAGACAGTAAATATCAAACTGCCTATTGAAACATGTCTAACGGCTGAACCCTAGATCCTTGTGGGTGAAACGTTTTGTAGGCAGGGTTAAAGTTCGGTTGCAGGATTCAATCATGGGATTCAGTACTTTATTTTTAAGTATAGCTTCATCTAGATTCTAGTGGTTTACATTCATCATACATTTGAATCAAAGGGCCTGAAAGAAGCAGTCACTGATTTTTTTTCAGACACATTTATTTAAATATTGTGGGAAAATGTCCCTAAACCCTAAAAGTAGTCAAGTTGTCATGTGTTTTCAAATAGTAAGGTAATTGACCAGACGCCTATAGTCTCCAAAAATTAATGACAAATATTTTGGAGCGGACCGATAAAAATAAACCAATGGGATTCGTTCATCCCCAACGAACCAATGGGATCTTTAAATGGGTATAATTTTACATTACATAGGCCATTCGTGGAGTTCCTTTTTTATACCTGTTTTTTACTATGTTACAAAGGCAAAAAGAATTCTGAGACAATTTGTATTGGATTATTACATTTTTACAAGCACAGCATCATCAATTTTTGTATTTTGAGGCACCTATTTTGTTTGTATTATGTTTATATATATATATAAATAAATACAAAAAGAGGATTTTCAATATTATGTTTTAAAAACTTTTAGTGACCCAGTCGTCAATGCTTCCGAGCATGACTTTAAAGATATCATCAAAGAAATGAGAAGAACTCCCAACCAGTAAAAAAATAACTTCAATCAAGCGGAGTTATTTCACAGCCCCTTCGATAGCTCAGTTGGTAGAGCGGAGGACTGTAGAGTTCAGCAACAGACATCCTTAGGTCGCTGGTTCAAATCCGGCTCGAAGGAGGAAAACCTTTTGTGCATTACATCTAGCAACGTTTGTGAATCTCTACTTGTCTCGCAGAAGTTAAAAATGCTAACAAAGATGAATATGACTAGATTTAAATTATTAAGATCAAATTTGTAGAAAATGGCTGAGCGCTAAATTCAAACATAGCTCTTTTAATAAGCAGCCCGTTTTGACATTTGACGTTAGGTAAATTATTTCGAAAGCTTTTAACCCCTCAGTTAGCTAACTCGTATATTATCTTGTTATACTAGTATATAACCTGTTTTCGTATTCAAAAGAACCAGATTATGTGGGCAATCGTTGCCTGGCCACATCTGTAAACTCCGGTCAATCCCGACATGTACGATCGGTGAGCAACCGAGTGCAATCATTTGTGCGAGTTCTATCTATCTATGTTATAAAAATTAACATTGGGACGCTCAGCTCATATCGGGGGATTAGCTCAGATGGTAGAGCGCTCGCTCGCCCCCCCGCACACGCGAAAGCGGCGTAAATGGCGCGGAAGGGGTAGAGTTTTCACTGAATGATGAAAGGAGGACCCTCAAAGAACATTTTTGCATGTCGTGGTTCTGAGATTAAAAACACTGTAAATATCAGTGGCAGTCCAGGGCTGCCTCGATCTCACAACCCTAGGGTTAAAGCAGACACGTGCCTCATCCTTCCGCAACATTGTATCCGTTATATAGTCCCGCAGGAGAGCAGATTCTTTCATCCATCTTATTAGTTATGTTAGATATGTTTAGTTCTTGGATTGTTTACACTATTACATTGTTTTGGTAATTTCCTGTGCCCAGACCTTTATTTATATGTGAATTAATAACTGGATATTAATATTATAAATAAATAATATAGCTTTTATGTCAATATATATTCTACATATGTTCCAGGCATTGTGAAGTAACTGCACACACTGCAAACAGTGTATAATGCTCATTTTTAAGTGATTTATTTGTACTGTTTGGTCACATAAAAGTATAAATATATCATTTTTGCAACAAAACTATGTAGGCTATTACTGTTTATGCTTAACATGTAATTAATGTACCAAAGATGTAACTGCATTTGAGACTGAACTTGGTAGCAATCAGGAGTCATAAAAGAACACAGGGGTCACTGAAGTTCGTGTGATGTGCACCTGCCCTGACCCCCCACGGACCCCCCGGACACGTGTTCAAAGACAAGCTGCTGTGAGGCCCTGTTTATACTGAGACGCTGCGCATACTGAGACTGCCCCCCCCCCGGCAGTGTACTCACTTCCTGTGCCAGACCCTCAGAGAGTACCAACATCATTCTGCATTTTAACAGCAGCTGTGAACATGGGAACTGAACCTAGAGCTTCGCGTGGTCTCGTTTGGACGAACGAAGGAGTAAAGTTATCCTCTGTCCCGCGCTGGAAGCCCACGTAGCTAGTTTGTGTGGGCAGCGCCATTGTTGTGGATGTTTGTTCTCCGCTACTGCGCATGTCCAAATTTACGTGCGGGGAGCAGCGCGGAGGCGGGGGTCAGAGCAGAGGGGGATTTCACACCTTTCCCCTCTCGCGGGTGTGAAAAAGCTCCCTGCTGTGCAGCGTATCTGAGTTGTCCCACTCTGCAGGCTGGATCTGAACACTTACGTTTTCACCCCCCTGAAACACTGTCTCCGTATGAACGGTTGGTAGCAACCGACATCCAACTATACCGTTTTACTGCCACATTGTCTCCGTGTAAACTCAGCCTCATCACACTGCCTCTGACCTCAGTTAAGTAAACATTGCACATTCCAGTCCCAAGGCAATTTAAAGCAGCACAATGAATAGAAGTGTGAACAAACCGTATTTATTTACTACAACTAAGTATAAGACATTAATAGACAACAATAAACAACTAACAATGTAGAAATAGAATAGCACATTCTGTAATATAAATGAAACTAAGACATAACACAAAGATGGAAAAATATCAATAAATTACTATCTACACATAGATACGTATTTACAAGTATTTACAAACAATATTTACAAGTATTTACAAACAATATTTACTAGTATTTACAGTAGGGCTGGGCGATTAATCGATTTTAATCATTAATTCGAGTTTTACGTTTAGGGCGATTTCTTTTTTTAAAAATTCGATTTTTATTTTCTCCAGCGCAGAACTACAGCGCTAACGCGCTAACCGCGGGTCTATGGTGTTGAGCAGTCATTTTGAAGCTAACCTAATGCTAACAGTCTCCCTCTGGCTTGATGCTCGCTCTCACAGTTGGTGCTGTTGCAATAACACTTCAAACATTCAAGAATCAGACTTTATTTAAATCGCCAGAACACACACACACACACACGCACGCAAGCCCCGGTCGCTATGTTCGTACGCCACATCTTTCACGCTCTCTCACGCTCGTTATTCCAAAGCGCACTCCCGTGTCCGTGGCGCGCACACACTCGTGTCCCACTGAGCCGCTGCACTTTGGGGAAAGACACGTCTCACACATTGTTCTCATTGCTCTGATACAAACAACGTGTTCCCCGCTGTCTGTTAGCTACAGTAGCTGCTACAGTAGCTGCTACAGTAGCTGCTACAGTAGCTGCTACAGTAGCTGCTACAGTAGCTGCTACAGTAGCTGCTGCTACAGTAGCTGCTACAGTAGCTGTTAGCTACAGTAGCTGCTACAGTAGCTGTTAGCTACAGTAGCTGCTACAGTAGCTGTTAGCTACAGTAGCTGCTACAGTAGCTGTTAGCTACAGTAGCTGCTACAGTAGCTGTTAGCTACAGTAGCTGCTACAGTAGCTGTTAGCTACAGTAGCTGCTACAGTAGCTGTTAGCTACAGTAGCTGCTACAGTAGCTGTTAGCTACAGCATCAGAATGTAAACAGGAAGCTCGCACAATGCGGGAGTCACTGAAGTTAGTATTAGCGCCACCAGCTGGACCGAGCGTTGTACTACAGCACAGTTACTCAGGCACAGTTGAAAGAACAAGCATGAAAACCCGAGGAGGCTTTTGGAAAATACTGTCTGTTACAACATTTCTATTTTGAGTAATCAGTTTTAAAAATGTGATATTTCATGTAAATAATGGATGTGTTTAATAGGATTGATATATTTGCGATGGGCCTTGTTTGTGTGATTTAAGTTATTTTGAAGGTGCATAGTGTCATTGTAAGTGAAGTTATTATAAAACTGTTAAGCTACATTTTCACTGTTTACAATGGCAGAGCCATCTCGTTTACAAGCATGTTTTAAGGCTTAATTCCTGTTACACTTATGCTCCATGGGGATTTAGATTAAACTGCATAAAGGAAAATCTATTTCTTTGTCAGTTGTAGTTTGTTTTTAAATAGAAAAAAATAAATCGATTTAAAATCGAAAATCGGATTTGGTGTGAAAAAATTGGAGATTTTTTTTTTTTGCCATATCGCCCAGCCCTAATTTACAGTATAGTATTTACAAGATTATATTATTATGGAGGTGGCTGTCCATGTGTTTTCTGCTGGCATTGTTCTACCAGCCACTCCTCTAAAGATTTGCCACCAGAGACACTGGGGCAAAAGGTGGCACTGCCAAACCGGCTGTGGCCGAACTCCTTTGTTTTGGGCTGGCCACACTTGGAGCATTTGTTAAATGCCGCTTCACGGACATATCGTCTTTTGTGAGCTCCACTGGCCTCCTCTTCTGCCCTGCGTCGTCTGTTTCTCTGCGTGAAGCGGGACACAGACACTGGGGCAGTGGGAGCAGGAGCCTCGGGCGCGGCAGGAAACACAGGAGTTGGAGCCAGGAGAGGAGCAGCTGAAGGGCCACCTGCAAAACAAAAAACTGGGGCAGTGGCGCAGGAACTAAAGGAAGAGGAGCAGCTGGGGTGATGGGCCGCACAACTGTAGCACTGGCAGGTCGTTTGCCAGGCCGCAGCTTAGGAGCCTGTCCCGCTCGGTTTGGAGGCAGGACAAATTCGTGCCGGGCCCCTGATGTGGAGGGAGCCTCATCCAGGCTTTCCCGCGGAGCAGGAAGCTGTGAGCTGGCCACAGCGAGGCGGTCCTCTGCAGCAAGGCCCTGGGAGAGGACAGTGACTTCCTGGGTGTTCTCTCTTCGATTAAACCTGCAATAAAAAAAAAATATTTATTATGAATAACTGCTATCCTTTTCTTTCAAATGTCAATGTAAAACATTATGCTACTGTGCTTACCACTGAGTGAGAGTCCTCTGATTCAGCACAAACAGCTGAAGTGACGTGGCCTCCATCAGAGTGTGGCAGTTCAGCACCAGGTCTCGGATGTGGTGGTAGTCGTTGAGCACCTTAGTCCAACGAGGAAGACGGACTCCATCCTTTTTAGTTGGGGACTTGTGCAGTGCACACAGTTTGATGCACATGGCCTCAACTAAACGACTGGTGCTGGGCCACTGAGCCGGCCCCCCAGGATGACCGATCAGGCACCTCTTCACACTGTCCACACCTGGTGTCACTCCTGTATTTTTCGGCGGCTTGAAGCGTCCATGGGTCAGCTTGGGCTGGTGTCTGGGCTGATAATGGATCCTCCTCTTGTCCCCATCAGGAAGAGCAGTCCACAGACGGATGACCTCTGTGACCTGCTGCTCGTCCAGATAGAGTGCCTGACGGAGGGACACCAGGTACTCAGCCAGATCCTGCACCTTATCCCAGCCTGCGACGCCACTGGGTCCAAGAACAGGAGCCTGCAGGGAAGTATTACAATAACAATACACAGCATGTTAAATGTCAGAGTGTAAAAGCAAATAGAAACTAATAATGAGCAGCTTACTTACAGGAGCCTGGTCTGCAACACTGGACCCAGTTGATGTTGCAGGACCAGAGGCAGCACTTGGCTGGGCAGAAGGCTGTGGAGGAGACTGCAGAGGAGGCTGAGCAGGGCGCAGCTGAGGAGACTGCAGAGGAGGCTGAGCAGGGCGCAGCTGAGGAGACTGCAGAGGAGGCTGAGCAGGGCGCAGCTGGGGAGACTGCAGTGAGGATGGTCCCGGTGCGGAGGGACGGGTTGAAGGCCTGGGAGCCACTGCTGTGGACTGGGACAGTCTCAATGGCGTCATAGAGGACTGGCACTGTGAGGTCCTCTGGTTCCTCCTCAACAAAGCCTTCGTCCTGTACCACCTCATCGTCCTTCTGCTCCACCAGCCGATCCTCCTCCTCCGGGTTATCCATAACAGACAGGGATTTCCCAGACTGACTGTACAGATACTCCATCCCGAGCAGCTCTCCTGCCATAGAACACATACAAAGCACAATCACATTATTATAACCTTCTTATGTCAATTAGAACCTACCAGTGACCAATAAACAATAACGTAAACAACCTTCTAAATTAGCCAAAATAATAAACAAGTAAATAATAAGCATAAACGCAAAATAAAGCATCAGGTACCCCAGCTTTAACATTAATAATTCTCACCCGTGTAAGCCCCTGGAGGCTGGTAGTGCTCATCCAGGGACGTCTTCAGCACTTTTCGGCTGAGCCGGTCCATGGCCTCCCTCTCAGCGCTGCTGTAGGTCCTCAGGTCAGTCTTTCCCCCCACCGCTTCATCCATACGGTCCTGGTTCCAGCGCATCAGGCCTTCCAGGAGATAGGCCTGGAAATGCGCATCACTGGCACTGGTCCCTAGAGGTAAAGTCAAATATATGTAATAGATGTATTCAGAACAAACATTTTTTAAAACTGTAGTCTGCCTTAAAGTTATAACCTACCTGGGATGAAGCGGTTCAAGTGGAGGTGAAAAGACTCCAAAGAGGTGGAGCCACGAGCGCACCGGTAGCATCTGAGCTCCACACCACCCTTCTTCAGTGTGCCTGTCTTCTGGTACAGAGGGAAGCCCTCTGGATCCTGAATACAGGCAATGTGCCTCTGCTGGTCTATCCAGACCTGTTGGATGCGCTCGTGGTCCAGCAGTGGTACGCCCAGAGTGTCCCTCCCCTTCTCACTGTCCATCTCTTCAATGAGCGCCCTGATCCTCCTGGTGGTCTCCTCCACTCCTCTGGTGCGCTTGCGACAGTGCAGCGACAACTCCTTCCTGGTGATCAGCTTATCCAGGGCCTTCTCTGAGACTGGACCAGCTCCTCTGGCCTGCAGCTCCCCCTGTTTGGCCAGCCGAAGGGCAGCGACATCCTCTGGATCCAGCTCAAAGATGCACCTGGAAAGCCGAGTCATGAAGGTGCCGTAGAGCTGATGAGCCTCTGTGATGACGCCTGCCGCAAAGCGCCGCATGAAGTGCCAGATGTCCAGGCGCACTTGGAGCTCATCCCACTCTGCAAACATGGCTCTGACCTGCGACTGTCCGTGTGCGTGTGGGCTGCAGCAGTCTCTGTCCACGTACATGATGGCGGGCGGTGCCACTCCCGCCTCCCTGTACCTCTTCATGAGCCCCGCCGCCATGGGCCACAGTCCATGCCCCTCTGCCGCTGTCAGCACTGACACCAACACCTGGCCGTGCTCATTGCCCACATTAGAGCACCAACCAGCAGTGTTGGCAGCAGCACCGGCCAGTTTTTTAGTGACCTATGTAAAAAAAAAAGAACAGTAGAATAATCTAATGTAAGAACAATAGAAGATAATAACAATTATTATTACTCAAACTTTACTTTTTATACCTTTTTGGTGGAGTCCATCTTGAGGACAGACCCAAAGACCGAAGTTATTTTGGCCTTGACCTCCGGTAGCCGTGAGAGGACGTCCCTGGCATACACAGACAACAGCCACTTGGGTTTGGGGATGGGTGGGAGGGGCGGGGGTGCAGAGAAGACTGGAGGCTCAATGATGGAGGAGTCTGTGAAGGGCTCACAGACAGTGAGGTACTCCAGCGTCCGCTGTGACCACGCTGAGGTGTGCTGCTCCTGCAGCTTTTTGTGAAGCTGCGTGACGCTGTTGCCCCGGGTCCTCTCCCGCATCATAATGACTACACGGTAGTCACACGAGTACCTACAGACAGTCAAATCATTCTGTTCAATGTCTTGTTATTTCAATGTTAATGTCAGTAAAGCAATGTATTTGATTGTATACAGTACAACAAATTACAGTGCATTGCTTTAATTATGAATGTGTTCTACCTGTATGTCAGGATGGCGGGGAATTTTCTGCGGTGTCCCATGTCGAGCTGTCCCAGGATGTCTTCAGACCAGGCTGGATACTTCTTGCACCCTTTGCACTCCAGATACTCTGTGGCCATGTCATACCACCCGTCTATGTCCAGGACCTTGCGCACAGTGCGGTAAATGCCAGCAGCTGTCAGCTTGTGGTTACTGCAGGCTGGCTGGACACAGACAAGTGGAATGGACCACATCTTCAGCGGCATCCAGAGGAACAGGGGGCGGCAGAAGAAGATATCAGGAGAGGCAGGGGGCTGGGTGAAGACGGTCGGGGGCTGGGGAGGGTACCACCAGAAGTTGGGATGTGGCGTCAGCTCAGGCTTCCCTGTTCTTGTGTTGGCCCTGAACAGAGTCTTCCTGATCCAGTCCTGCTGGAAAGATGGAAGTTGCTCCTTCCAGTGCACAGGAAGCTCTGCAGGCAGATGGGACACCTGGCTAGTGGTCCACAATTCTGGAGGAGCAGGAGCAGCAGCAGGGCCTGGAACACGAGGTGGGGCCAGGGCAGGAGCACGAGGTGGGGCCAGGGCAGGGCCTCTCGAGGCCGCAGTGGCTGGAGCGTAAAAAGACACCACATTAACATCTTATTGTTTTAGACTTTCATAGCATTAATTTTTCAGCTCTGCGATTACAAGGTTTAGTGCAAAGCATGTATGATTAGTAGACAGGCAACATGATGATGAAACGATGGAAGGAAGCAGTGAAAATCATCCTGTTTTTCACCCAAGCACCATTAGGAGAAATACAAGAAGAAAAATTAGATGGGATCAGCCAAAGGTGAAGCAAAGCAGCCCAAACACTGTAAGGACCGCTAACTACAACAGCCACTTATTCCAAGGGGAGTGGGGGACATGTGAGATGAGAAGAATGAGCTTTAGTCAGTGACTATGATTAAAAAATGAAATAAAAACCTTTTACATACACCTTTAAATTCCCTTTTTGCTTTGAAGATGTTCACTCAAAGAGTGAATGTAGATTGACACCTGAGAAGTGCCATTCCAGTGCCCGAAGTTTGTTGTAAAATAAAAGAACATGATATGTCATTTTAAAAATACTGTTGTCACAGAATTGTTTGTAAAATATTGTTTGAGATTTACATACCTTGAGGAAGTTGCTCCTCAGCTTGTGAGGCTACAGTTGCCATCTCCTCGTCATCTTCCTCCTCCAAAAAATCCCCAGCAGCAGAGTCTGTAAAATAAAATAAAGCACTGAGCACATGTCACCAACTCACCTGTATGCGTTAACTGATACTCACCACATGTAAAGAGCTGTCTCCGGGCTGCGGGCTCAGACGCAGGATGGCAACGTGGTCCTACAGCTGTTTATAAAACACGTCTTGTCGTTACACATATATACTGCATTAATACTGTAATGATTTGAAAGCTGGTAAATAACTTACAAGGTTTGGCTGGCGACAAAATCTTTTGTGCCAGTTGTGAAGCAGATAAATGCTTCCCCCGCGCCAACAGGGCCTTCACATTGCCAACCAGCAGTGGCCTGCTTTGGGTGGCAGCAGGTGGAGGAGGAACAAACACAGTGGCAGTGGGCACAGCAGCAGAGGGGGCAGATGCAGCGGGCATAGTGGTGGTGGGCAGGTGGGCTGGAGCCTGCCTCTTCAGCACGTATGCTTTGAAAAGGGCCATGTTGGTGTTGGGCCTGGCCTTTGACTTCCTCAGGTAGGTGATGAGAGACTGAGCCTCCTTACTTGGGTCCTCATACACCTCCTTCATTGACCTACCCTTGAAGTCACCAAACTCCACCATCAGACAACCAGAGTCTCCCGTCCTCTGGGCGTCCTGCAGCATGGCCTGTTTTTTCTGGTACACCTCCACAGCCTCCCTCCTGATCTGCGAGGTGTATCTGAGGAACAGGTGTTTATTGGCCGACAGCGGGTTGTCCCTCTCCTCCTCCCCCATGATGCTGCTGACCAGATACATTGCATACCCCAGTGAGTTCTCCAGCAGCCACAGGAACCTCTGGCCCTGGTGTTTTCCAAACTGGATCTTGCAGTGAGCCAGAACCAGGGACTGGTCTCCAGGATTCCCTCCATTCTGCCTCACAAAGGCAGTGGCCTCAGCCAGGACCTCCTCCTTACACCTGGCTCTCCCCGCCACCACGATCTCACTCCTATTAGCCTCCTCAGTTGGCCCCATGAGGAGTCGACCCTCGGAGGTTTTGCGGAAAACAGGAAATGCATACATAATCTGAAAGGACACAGGCATAAACAGAACGTTACATAACTGTCATATTACAACTGAAAGTATTTTACTACACTGTTTGGTTTTAATGTAATTAATTAATGATTATACTATGTTTTATTAATTGAATTTACCTGTATTATTGTTATTGTATTCCACTGTGAATCCCTTTGAATTGCCTTGTGGTCTTCCGCCTCCGTCGAGCAAAGACGTGTCTCAGACGCTCCTGCTTCTGACTGCTTGCTATCTCCTGTTTTTGTCTTTTTCCTGGAGTTTTGCCACAGACAACTTTTAGCAAGAATGGAAATGGTAAATTGGTCCCTCAACGCAATTGATTCTATCTTTTCAACACGTAAGCGCGGGTCTGGAGAGCCCGAGTGCCCGGACGGGACTTCACCAGCGGGTTATACGCTTGACAGCTGGAACAAGTGGCAGCCCCTCTGTCTGTCGACCCTGTCCATTGAAGATTCGGAAGACGTATATATCTTTGGCTTTTTGGTGGTGGGGATCCTCCTGTTTGGGCTTGGAGCGGTTCTATTCTACCATAAATTCGGAGGCATGGCAGTTCGCAAGATTCACGACCTGCTGGCCAACAAAATTGATGGGATGTACAAGGAGCTTAACCGAGTCGTGGTTGAGAGCGCTGTGGCTGGACAAAGAAGAGTGGTGTTAGTGGAACAGTTGATCAGAGATCTCGCAGCTCGTTCACTTGATGGGCATAAAACTCTGGAATTGAGATTGAATGACATTGTTTGTCACGCTTGAACTCTCTGACCCGGCTTGGATTGGCCCCTGTGTACGGGGTCTGAGGGCGCCGCAATTCGGTTTAATTGGATTTAATAGAATATCTGCCTGTTTTTGACTGCTAAAATGCATACAATATTGTCCCTCGTTACAGGAAGATGTGTTTTTCTCCTTGCTGTGTCTTCCCTCCACTCTTATCTCACATTCCTCGGGCCAAGGCCATCATAATAAATCTGGACTCTACAACAATTTCACACTCTTTCAGTCAGTTCCAGCTTGGATCCCGCTCCCCCCGCCTCCCTCTGATCTCTCCCTCCCCTCCCCTCCTCACTGTGTTTCCGGCTCACCCCCTCCCTGACCCCGCCCCCCTCTGACAGCCACATTGGGCCGGCTGCTGAAGGTGCTCATCCCGAAAAAAATCCGTGGTTTATACAAAGCACAATGTTTTCTATCCAACTGTCTGTTGTAACCTGTATGTTATTGCTCTCTGCTGTTTATTCTACTGTTTGTCGCATGGCGCCGGAAAAGATGGCGCCGTGGCAAGAGCTCTGGTGTGTGTCGTCTCTGTCTGGCGCACACCGGGGTAGTCTTGCACAGTTTTTCCAATGTGGTTTTACTGCAAATGGCAAATAAATGAATCTGAAATTGTGCTCTACAAATAAACCTTTATTCACTAGCCCTGGCTATATGACTGTAAATCATTTAATAATTGAAACACTGGATATAAAACCTGTCAGCACTCAAATGGGTTTTATTCACTTACAATTCATTCACTGCTGCCCTGGAGTCGCTAATTGTAGTAGTATTTATTCATATTAAAATACTGTACAGTCTTATCATATTTAGCTATAATGTATTACCAACAGCATCTTGACAGCATCCAGCCCTCCGAAAATACACCCGCATATTTTTAGGCTATTATTTTATACATAAAATAGTGCGATGAAATTATTAAGAAAAAAACACATAAATCGTTTTGTTATGTTTAGCTTTTGTAGCAGAGATTACTAGGAAGCACACAATATAACGTTAAGGCGCGTTTATGATCATTCATAAAAATATGACCATCAAACATATCTAAAACGTGATAGATTCCGCGGGGAAGAATCTCCATCAATCACGGATATTTATAGAAGCATTACGACGAGAATATGAAGGCAAAATTCGCCAGATTACATTACGAAAATAAGAACTTAGTATTAATATTATTACTACACCATTACACAAGCTACGTTACGCGCTTCACGCATGCTAGAAACACTTATGCAACGGGTAAAATATGGATGTACAACTCACACAATGTCAGTATCATGTGCTGTCTCTGTGATGAACACAATAATAAACAAGCTAGTTAGGAAGTATTAACGTGACGCTACGCATCGTCAAAGAGTTGTTTTTCTCCGCAAAAACACATTTAGCTGTTAAAAAAGTAAATATGTTTAAACCTACCGCTCGCTGAAGAAGTCCATACAGATGTCGATGACTGATATCTCCGCACTTTCCTCCGGGACTTTATGAGGGAACCGGGAGGTGCAGCGTGATTGGTCGAAAGTAAGGCACCAGCTCGCGACGTGATTGGCCCGAGGGAGCACGAGGCCGTGCGCTGATTGGTTGGTGATGGCCTTACTTGTCCTTACTTTGGGTCTTACTTGAGTAGCCCCTGACTGCAGTCCGCAGATCGGGGCGGAGCTCAACGTGGGCGGAGTCAAACGTTTGACTCCGCCCACGTTGAGCTCCGCCGAGCTGGAGCTAGGCATTGAGGACTGTGCGTATGACAGAGAAGGAGAAGAAGAGCGAAGTAGCTGGCAGAATGGAGGTACTGTAGGCCAGTTTTTTCATTCTGTTTTAACGTGCAACTTTGCTATATTTGTTACCGACAAGGAAGGTGGTAACATTATTTTTATTTTAAAATAAGTTATACTTGTATGTATCTGCATTCTGCACGGTTGGACTTCTAATCTAGTATACCTAGCATTACTGTTGCAGCGAAAATTATATAAACCTGGACTTAAAAACGACTTTTCTGGGTTTTAGATTCATATTTATCCGGCACGACGTACTGGGAAAATATTATACCTTTGGGGAGAAAATGTTATGTGATCGTTATTACTTTTGGGGGGGAAATATTATACTTTTCGCGGGGAAAATACGTTACTTTTTTAATCGTTGTTACATGTTGAATATAGAATAATTAATAGTTACTTAATGTAACTTAAGTTCTACGAATAGGTGCGTAGTCCCTTAGGACTTCGCTAGTGGGATATCACGTGACCCCCAGGTCACACGCCAGAGAGATCAAAATAATTTGCTCCAATCACCAGCCACCCTCCTCTATAAATGCCCCTGCACAAGGCCCGCACCCCCTCTCCTTTAAGCCGCGGTCCGTCACGCTGCGTCTTAAAGCCGCGTCGTCACGCTTGCGTCTTACGCCGACGTCGTCACGCTGCGTCTTCTAAACGCCGCGTCCCCCTACGTGCGCCGACGCCACTAACCCCAACGCTGCAACCGAAACTACGAAGGGATGGAGGAAGACACGAATTTCAGGGCCCTGTACCTCCAAAACCTCCACCCCAACCTTAGCCAGCTACTAGGCGTGTACGCCTGCCCCCTTACACAGGACATACGGCAACTGAAGACCCTGGTGGCACGAGCACAAGGCAAACATCTGCTCAAGACACAGGCGAAGCCGCACACCCAACCTACAGTGTACAGCGTGGAAAACCACATGGAACTGGAAGGCGCACCAACGGCCCGGAAACACAAATGGGGAACCGACCACGGACCCCAGAGGAATAACCACAAACACACGGACCCGAAGAACGGACAGCCACGCGACCAGCACCTCCCGCAATACGGCGAGAGACGCGCCGGCCAGGCCGACGGGAAAGACCGCGCGCCACAACGGTCCCACCAAGACCGCACTGCCACAACCATTAATAAGGACAACCTTTCTAGGGAGGAACAATCCCTCCTCCGCACGCTCCTGCGCAAAGCCAGAGAGAAGCCAGACAACGCCGACGTGTTCGCAGTGTCCGTGTCGGATGACGCCGAGAACGCTCCCTACCACATGGACGACGGCCTCGGCGGACAGGAGCTAAATGACGACTACTCAAACGCACCAACGGTGGACACCTGCTACGACCAGAGGGATGTCATGGTAATACAGGTAAACTCCATCACAGACCCACGAGAGGACGGCCCCTCGACAACCATCTGCGAACCACCGTTCCACCAATTCATGGGCGACCTACAACAAAGAGGTACCTACGGGAAACTCTACCTGCCCGTAACACTCGAAGACCAATGGGAACACGAGGCGCTCGTGGACACAGCTGCCGATATCAGCCTGATTGGCAAAGACCTCTTCGGTAAGTTACAGTCTATGGCCAGTAAATCCCACAGACACCTAAAAACGCAGCCATGCGACTTAGAAATAACACCCTATTCCCAGGTGGATACGACCATACGTAAAATGGCTCTAATGCGACTGACCGTGGGCCCCATGACACTGGTCCACCCGGTCTACATCTCCCCATTCAACACGCATCCGCTCCTATTGGGCCAGGACCTTCTAAATCGGTTTAAGCCCCTAATAGACTACCAACGTCTAAAGATCTGGACACAGGTCCGGGAGCCCTTGCCCATCCCACGCCCGTTGGGCGAAAACCACCGCTACTCCATAGACGCGCCGCCCACGAACGGCCCACAGCCCGCCGCGGCACAACCTGAAACCGATCAGGGGACGCCCACAACCGGCACGAACGCCACGCGCACGGCCCCCGACCTCGACAGGTCGGACTTAGCCTCCCCCCGACATGCAGACCCCACACTGGAACGCCCCTTCGACGTCATGATCGACACGACGCTCGGAACCCCCGGCCGTGATGAAGAAATACTGCCGATACGCCATGGGCTGTTAGATTCTGCTTCCGATACACTCACTTCGTCGGTACTCGTGGTGCCTCGAAGCATGAGGGGGGTAATGTTGGCACACGCCCATGACGCACCTACCGCGAAACAAACAGGTATAAACAACACACGTCAGGCACTACAACAGGTAGAAACGACGGACCGGACGGTGACCGAAACACCAAGGTACGTATCCCCAAACCGGAGTGACGAGAATGTGAAACTCCCCCGGCTCCTGAGGACAAACCAATACAGGACCGACCCGCAGGACCACCTCCAGGTCAAAAACCAGGTATGGTATTACACCTTGGCACATTCCCCAGGACACGTGGGAACCGGCCCCACCAGACTACGCCGGAAACCGCGACCCCGCTGGTCAAGACCATACAGGGTGGGGAAACAAACTCTCAACCGCAGTGCACCAAATCGAGGTCACAAAAGGTAGAGAGCCCACCCTCAGATGGGCCCGTTACAGCCAAACCAAACCACACAAACAAAGCCCCATGGGACAAGCAGGGCACACTACAAACCCCAGTTAGGAACACACCACGTGACCTCAAACACGATTAGCCCAGCACTCACCAACACTCTTCTCGGCTGCACTAATCGACTTTCTCTTTCTCTGTCTTTGTCTAACCCCTAACAGTTGTTTCACGCCTTGCAGAACATGTGGCCCACTTTCCTTCTCGTGCTGACCTGCATACTGGGTCTCGGCACCCCAGAAATTATTGAGACCGGACCAGCCTCCGGGATCGTTTTAAAGGAACAACCCGGGCTCCTCATCACGGACGTCCGACTCCACACACAGCGAATCTTTGTCAGACTCAATCCTAGTGAAGTCTGCCGCAAGAACCTGCCCTTGAAGGTCACACTCAAAGATTGGGCAGGTGCACGCTGGACCCAGACGGTCGTGGAACATGCTGAGGCAGACATACAACACATGCTGACGCAACTAGAGAAGTTCACGATCACTAGGACAGAGCTCAGTGACCCTCGCCCCAGACCCAAAACGATTTATTGGGGCTCTCCTCGGCGCGGCGTCCGCCCTGGGCACCCTCTTTAGTTTAGGGATGTCCACGGTAAACGCCATCAGCCTATCCTCCCTCAGACGCCACCAACAAGAAATGGCCTCTGAGCTCGAGGATGTCAAAACCAGACTTGACCAACAACAGAACGACGTGGTAACCTTGGGAAAATCCCTAAAAGGAACCATGCTAGTACTTAACACACACGAGGTTGCGATTAAACGCACCTCCGCTGCGGTCAACCAACTCTTAGACGTCCTCCAACTAGACTACGCCCATACTCAGCTGACCACCCAACTGATGGAGGACATGCTACGTCACCTCAGTTCCTCGATCGAAAACCTAGCCATGGGCCGTATCCCGCCATACCTCGTGCCGCTATCGTTAGTTGAGAACATTCTAGCCGTAGCCACACGGGACGCCGTAACCCCCATGCAAGCCCACTTAGCGTACACGCTGGGCGCTGCAGTCCCCATCTATGTTAATCCTCTGGACCGCGAGGTAGCCTTTCTAGTCACCCTACCGATAGTTCCCGGCGACAAAATCTACCGACTAAAAGGGATCACTAACCTAGGGACTTGGAGGGACAATGCCCACGTCAGAGTCCAGACCCCAGACATAGTAGCCTACCACGACAGTAACCCCAATTTATACCTAACGCCAAACCTAAGGATGTGTACCCTCACCAAGGACATCCATTACCTCTGCCCCAGCAAACCTTTCGTCAGGGACAGCACCGATGGCATCTGCGGCCTGAGGCCCATGACTCCAGGGAGTCGATGCCCCGCGACGGTCACCTCTCGGAAACAAATAACCGAAACTAGAGCAGAGATTGTAGGGGCACGTTGGCTAGTGAACACTCCCCTTAGAACGGCGACCCTGACCTATGACAAACACGACACCTCGTCCCGAGTAAGCCTCCCGGACGAAACCTTTTGGGTCGACGTCCCAGCCGACGCTATCCTGCACGTAGGCGACCTGGCATTATACCACCTGTATCCGAACCAGTACGAGGCAGAGGTCGAGATACCAGAGTTCTTTGAGGAAAGGGCCTTGGAACTTCAACCCTCTACCCTAGTCCAAGCCACCTACGAGGGGGCACAAACCATTGACGTTACGGTCGTAGACAACCTCCTTCAAGAGATTGCCAAGCGACCGACCATCCACCACCAACCAGTAGCCTACTCCTGGGCCGCCCCCGATACAGTCATGGCCATCGCGGTAGGACTCGGGTACGGCCTGGTCGTAGCCATGGCCTTCGTCCTAAATAGACGGGTTAGACGACTCCGCGATAGCTTTAACAGGTGCACGGAGGCAATGACGAGACAGATCCGTAGACGACCAAACCGGGGCGACAGCGCCGTCGAGCGTGGCAATTTGAGTTGGCGTCCCCAGGTCAATGAGTCAGAGTACGAGGACCTCCAAAGTCACCCACTCGAGGCGGTCACCCTTTCTATCACGGAAGGTGAACCAAGGGCCTAAAACCCCACTAAGAGTCACCAGCTCAGATCCAAACATATCTACCTCGATACCTAATCAGCCCCCTAGACAATCATACCTGTCATCCCCGTTCATATACAGGAAATGTCCCTCGTAATTAAAGCCCACTTGCTACGTCATATATTCGTGTAACCCTTACACTCCCCTTTTAGAACGAGCAAGATGGGAACCCCTCACCATCGAGTGCCTTAAGGACGCCCCTACCCGCTGCCAAGACAGCCACCCTTTTTGATTTTTGAAGTTTCCCATTTTTGTAACCTAGTCCCCTAAAGTAGAAACTCCTGCTACCCTCTTGGCTTGGAACTTTGAGTCTTCCAGACCAAGAGACCCAGGAGCCAGGCGCACCGGCCCAAACCTTAGAGTTCACGGCCGGAGCTCACTCCCTAAACCCCTGATCCCGGTTAGAACTAGCCTGCAGGGCCAGGACTCGCCTTAGAGAAAACCCGGCCTCGACAAACCAAGCCAGAGGCCCGAGACCCAACCGCTACGAGCCTGCCCCAGTTAGGCGCTTGCGAGCTACTGAGTCACATTGAGACGGGAATGTTGTAACATGTCACCACAAATTGTACACTAACACCCGAACAGGCGAGAAGACCGACTGAGGACAACCCCACAGCATATCCGACATGACATGCACCTTGTCGGAAGGTGCATCTCTGCCGTGGGGGGGGTATGTAAGGTTAAACTTAGGACAGGGCCAAGCCTGTCCACTCTGTTTACCATTGACCAAATGGAGAGATACAGCTTCAAAGGAGCCATGGGGTCAGCCACAAGCCGCCATCAATCATGAGGATTACAGACGCCAATCGGACCCATAAAACAGCGGGATACCCATCTGGTGCCCTTTTTCACGTCAACAGAGGATCTGATACAAATCAGCATTGTCACAATGCATTCCACGGACCAAGAGGTCCACCCGCGGCCCTCTGGCGCCCCCCAGTGGATACTGGACGCCATCACACCCGAGGCGGACGCTCAAAGGACATTATTCGATGACATTATGATTGATAACCGTTACAGACCTTACATGTGTGTATCAGCGTCAAAGTAATGAAATACGGTGTGTGTTTGTACATGTGTTATGATCATTGGCATCAATCTGATGTGTTTCCTCTGAAGTATGTCTGTTGTGAAGGGGTCTGTCCACAGAGGGGGGAGGCATGGACACGCCTCCCCTGGGGAAGTCTATATGAGCACCCACACGCCATTGTTCTTTCTCTTGCCTTCTCCTGAAATCACTATCGCAACCTCCCTATCGACTCTGCGGCGGCACCAGTACGGGCCTCCAGCAACGACTGTGCCCGTCCGCATCGAGACTTTCCCTTCCAAGCAAACCTATTTTCTGGTTGGGATTTATGAACTCTTCATCACCAGCCGGCCCTGGCTCTGGACTCTGCGCACGTGACTCATTCCGGACTGAGTGTGCACGCCTGGATCCAAAGTTGGACTGCCGTCGCTGGCTTCATAATTCCTGCCTGCCCGGACAAAGAAACCACGTGGACGACATCGCCTCCACCCCATTCTTCATTCTCATCCTCCACTCCATCCTCATCCCAGTCACCCACTTCCCTCTACGCTCCTTCAAAGTAAGACTGTTCCTTTGTTAAATGTATGATTTGAATGATATGTGTACAACTCCTGCTTTTAATGTGACCAGAAATCCCTTTTCGTTATATTTTTACCCTCATTTTTGTAATCAATAAACTACTTTTCTTTAACTCAACCCCTTCAGAGTCGCGTTGTTAGATCTCGGAATATCACTGGCCGATAAAAGTACTCACTACCTATTAGATTTATAAGACTGACTCGAGGCAAAGTTGGTTTGGATCTGTGCAGTGTGTCATACACTGCTGGTGCCTAAATAAATATAAAGCAGATCCCCCACTCGAATAGGACGGCCAGACTCTGATTTGAAGACTAGCCGCACTATTCTTCTCATAACATAATCTGTAGTATTATTACCCTAATATATATAACTAGTTACCCTACATATGTTATACACTTGAGTGGCAATTAGGTTAAGGAACATTAAGAAACATTCAAGCTTCCTTTATAAGACCTTTTAGCATAGGTGAGGGCAGATTGGTGTGCCTGGGGCTTTAGGTGCAGGCGGCAGCAGATAATCAACCTATTTGGTGGTTTGTCTTGTCTTGCCACTAGAGGGCAGACAGCGATTCCACAAGTAATGTTGTAATGTCAACGAAATTGTCAAACATGTTATTGTGATGCTAATGGAACAGAATCGTGGTGGTACTAATAGAGTTTACCGGGCCATGGTGAGTCCAGCCAGTGCTTGATGTGAAGGATCTTCTCGTCCTTGGAGCGTGCATGGGCCTCCTCACAGATTTTATCATACTTCGCAATCTCCTCCTGCAGAGACGTCAAATTCCCAAACAATCAGACACCCGGCACATGCAGAAACAGCACTTCATTGAGCACATGTTTGAAATACATTAAGTAAAAGCAGATGGGTGGTTCCTGTGACTAAAGTGGGGACTGAAAGGATACATAAACTTCATACGGCCTGTTTTACCTCGTACTCCTGCCTGGTCACTGCTCCCTCAGAGATGAGTTTTTCTGCATATTTCTGCAGCACTGGCTTCTGCTTCTTGATCTGTTTGTACATGAGCGGCTGCGTGAACATGGGCTCATCCATCTCGTTGTGACCCATGCGGCGGTAAGACACCTGAAAACACACAAGATACTTAACACATACAAGTTCCAAGTTGGCACCAGCAGAAAATGGAAATCACCTAAAGCCTAAGATTAGGAAGGTTCATTTTGTGCTGAAGTATTCGGGGTAAAGTTGGTCAATTTGACTTCAGTAAGTGTGCAATTGAATTGTAAAAATAAAAAAAACTTAGTACTGTTTTCAATGTGTTTTTCATAGTACTGTATCAATGTGTTATTTGGACTCATTTAATTTAATGTACACATACATTTGTCAAACACAGTGAAAAGCTTTTAACATTTTAACTGAAAATTGACTCCAGCTTTGCGTCTGAATTAACTCAGTAGACAAATTCAGCAGCTAAAAATATAGTCTACATTTTGAGCACATTATAAATTGACAACAAAACTCAAACACAAATAAAAACCTAAAAATGACAATCTAACACCAGTAATACCAGGTCGACCACGACGTCCTTGTGGAACGTGGCCCTCCACTCTGCCGCCACGTTGCACACGTACATGACGGCCTCGGGGTCGTCTGCGTTCACGTGGAAGATGGGAGCGTTCACCACCCGAGCGACGTCAGAAGGGTATGGGGACGAGCGGGACATACGGGGGTCTGTGGTGAAGCCGATCTGAACACAACCAGAGGAATAACTTATTATCTATATAACTCTATATACAGCATAACTCTAACCCTATATACAGTTGTGCTCAACAGTTTCCACACCCAAGCCGTGTATCAGGGATTATGAATGATGATCCACTCATTGTTATGTGTGAAGACATTTAATATGTCTTCAAATAAACTCATTTTCTTTTTTTCAAATCCTAATGACAACAGAAACTCCTCTTGTGACCCTGACCAGAAGTCTCCATCCCCCAGTTCTCAATCTATGACAGTTTGGAGTCTTTTGTAAGTAAGTGTCTTGTGTGATAGTCTTGGATGAGGTTATTATTCTCTCTACTGATTAACCTGCCCATTCTTCTTGGAAAAAAGCTCATGTAAATTTCTGGGCCACATTGCATCCACTGCACATCGCGTTATCCACAGATCGTTTAATGATGTTATCAATTGAGTCTTTTTATGCTTTGTGTTTTGAGAGTCCTCATTTGTAATCTCTCCTAAATATGGCCAAAACAATGACATCTGTGGCTGGGTATCACTATAACCTGAAAAGTATTTTTTTTAAGAATTGGGAGGATTCGACATAAGAGAAAAAGCAGAAGTACTAGTCATCGCGTCTCACCTGGTTGTTGGCGACCACGTGGATGGTCCCGTGGGTGGTGTACGAGGGCAGGTCCGACAGATGGAAGGTTTCATACACTATTCCCTGACCAGCAAATGCAGCATCTCCGTGGAGCAGGATGGACATGACCTAAACACACACAGCCTCAGGACATCAAACTCTCAAACTGGCTGCAGACTGTTTTGCTCTTTAAACATTATTCATTCAGTGTAATTTTCATATTTGTTCCAGTTTTATGAAGTGAAAGTTAATGTCATGCTTTCTAATGATGTTGCCAAAGGGCAGCATATAAAGTTTGAAGACTACCAATCCAAGTACCGATCCCTGTGGCACACAGAATATTACTTTGGAATAAGGGGAGAAGTTTTGGTTGAAATTTACAAACTGATACCAATCTGATAAATAGGATTTAAACCAGTCAAGTGGAGTTCCTATGAAACCTATGTCACATTCCAGCTTTAGCAGAAGTCTTCAAACTGCGGTTCATTTACCCTCTTGCCGTCGTTGTCTCCAGAGTAGAACTGTTCTGCCTTGGTCTTTCCCTGCACCACCGGGTCCACGGCCTCCAGATGAGACGGGTTTGCCATGAGAGACAGAGTGATGTTTCTGTCTGTGACACGGTTTATGCGCCTATGGTACATCCCCAAGTGGTACTTCACGTCTCCAGAGCCCTACGAGGAGGCAAAAGAAGAGGTCAAGGGAGCAGAGGAAGTCAAGGGAGCAGAGGAAGTCAAGGATGCAGAGGAGGTCAGGGGAGCAGGGGAGAGAAGCAAAGGAGGTCAGGGGAGCAGAGGAGAGAAGCATAGGAGGTCAGGGGAGCAGGGGAAAGAAGCATAGGAGGTCAGGGGAGCAGAGGAGAGAAGCATAGGAGGTCAGGGGAGCAGAGGAGAGAAGCAGAGGAGGTCAGGGGAGCAGAGGAGAGAAGCAGAGGAGGTCAGGGGAGCAGAGGAGAGAAGCATAGGAGGTCAGGGGAGCAGGGGAAAGAAGCATAGGAGGTCAGGGGAGCAGAGGAGAGAAGCATAGGAGGTCAGGGGAGCAGAGGAGAGAAGCATAGGAGGTCAGGGGAGCAGAGGAGAGAAGCATAGGAGGTCAGGGGAGCAGAGGAGAGAAGCATAGGAGGTCAGGGGAGCAGAGGAGAGAAGCATAGGAGGTCAGGGGAGCAGAGGAGAGAAGCAGAGGAGGTCAGGGGAGCAGAGGAGAGAAGCAGAGGAGGTCAGGGGAGCAGAGGAGAGAAGCAGAGGAGGTCAGGGGAGCAGAGGAGGGGGGGATGATTGTTGGATGGCCTCATTAATGCAACATTTGTTTATTCACCTCATCTGCAGCCTCTAGTTTGGAGTCAAACTGACAGAAGATCTGCTCGAGCTCTTTGCGGATGACGTTGGCGAGTACGTTTAGGCGCCCCCTGTGGGGCATTCCCATGATGACGTTTTCCACTCCGTTCTCAGACGACTTGTCAATGATGGTTTTGAGAGCAGGGATCATGGCCTCGCAGCCCTCCAGCCCGAAGCGCTTCTCTGCCGACCACTTTTTCTGCAGGAACTCCTCAAATCTGATGATGGTATTTACACATTATGTTAATGTGATTTATTAAAGTTTCTGGCATTCTTGAAAAACTTAACCACGAAGGATGGAACTCAATTGTCTTCAATGTCTGTTCTAGTTTAGGAATTTTCCCTTTGCATGCTTTCTGAACAATGAAAATAACTGCTTACACATAGTCCTTTCTGTCATGTACTTGCACTGTAAAACTTCAACTGCAACTTATTTCCCCCACTGTCAGATGAATAAAGGTTTTCTAACCTTATATGAAGTGCTCTCCCAAATAGAATGCGTAACTGTTTCAATATTGATAATTCCCTAATAAAGTAACAGGAAAAGCGCCCCCTTGTGGCTGTACCTGGTGGAGCGGACCATGCGGGCGAGCAAGGTCCTCTTCTCCTCCAGCGTGAACTGCATCACTCCTGGAGTCTCAAACTTCTGTCGGATCCACTGGCACTGCTCCAGGTCATTTATAAACATGAACTCCACCCCGATGTGCTGACAGTACGCCATCTATAGGACAAAGCACAGAACAATGGAGTCAGAAGTAATAGGTCAGTTTTGAAGCACAAGGACACGGAGGGATTCTGATTCAATTCAGATGCAGCCTCGCTTTGCGCAAAGTCCAAGATGGCGACTGATTTTTTGATACAGACATGAAAAAATTAACACAACTCGCTGTGAGAAACAGCTGAAGCCATGTGCACTTTTAAATCTGTGACAAATGTCTGTTTTGCCACTTCCAACATGTCCAAACTTACAGAGCCTGCCTACACGATACATATCTCTATACAGGTAATCTATATTACCTGTAATCTATATTACCTGTATAGAGTAATTTTTTACTTTTTTAGAGTAATATTTCTAAACGATACAATACGGTTCAGTAAACATAAAAGGCCCCTTATCAAAGACACCCCATCTTAACCACAAATAAGGTCTGGCTGGCCAAACAAGTTTTTACTCACATCCGACAATAATTTTCAGTCTGAATAAAAATCACCAATGTTTGGCAAGTTACTTTAAAAATGTAATTAGTTACACTACTTAGTCAAAATGCTTTAATGTATCCTCACCTCCAGTCTGCGGATGATCTCCTTCAGAGGCAGAGCACTCTCAGATCCCCCAATAAAAGTTGTCGTGGGCAGGCGGAAAACCTTATCCAGGTCCGATTCCTCCAGGCCATAGAAGCCTACAAGTCCCAGCATGCAACAAGGCAGAGGAACAGCAACCGGGTTGACAGAGAAAGCAGGTAAGCCAACAAAAACATTTGGTTAACGAGTTACACAAGATACGAACTGGATGTAATTGTAGTTTACGTGCACAGAAATCCACCTCACAATATGTTTCCATGAACATGAGAATCAACTGTAATTGTAATTTAGTTTAGTCGACTAAAAATGAAGAGAATAGACTGTGTTCTGTGCATGTAACTTCTCCAGATTTAATTAAAAGGCTGTGTTCAGACAATATCTTTATTCTTGTGTGAAAACTGTTCCTGAACAAACACTACAAATTATGATTAAAGCCTAAGTGCGATGGATCTAGATTAGAGTATAATTTGACTGCTGATACTGCCACTGTAACACTTAGAATAAGAGTTTATATTATGGCAAATAATCAGAAAATCAGGACTAGCATTGGACTGCTGGATTGTTAAAAAAAAAAAAAAAAAAAAAATACTTTCTTAGTAGAGGACCTTAGAGTCCTTTTTTTAATACGTATTTCTTGTGAGCCAATTTGTATTGAGTAAATATAGCAGTGAATAACATGAACCTGAACCCAGCCTTTAATGCATTGAAGCCTTATTTTATATTTTTGTGCAACACTTTTCAACCAAAAAAATATCCACAGCAGTCTACCAGGGGGAAATGGGCCAGAACCATAATGCAAGTTAAGCAATGAAGCAAGTGTTTAGTGAAGAGCAAAATGGAGGGAGAATAGAGCGGGAAACATGGAGCAGAAATTCAGAACTGACCTAAAAACAATGATAACAAAGCTCTTTAGCCAATCAGCACGCAGCGTTGATGTTGCGGAGAATCATAACTGAAGCCTCCTCAAACCACACAACACACGACCGGCCGCTGATGCAAAACTGATGCAGAACTGACGCAGAATCGGACAAATGGACATTCCTCTCCTCTCAGAATTCAGAATAGTGTTTTCAACATTTCAAACCATTTTGTTTTTCTAGCCGTGTGTTTCCCAAAGAAGGAAACTGTTGAGCTTTGCAACGGATCAATGGCTCTTATGTGTTTCCAATTGTTGTATTTATTGTGTTCTAAATGTTTGATTCTCTCAGTCCTCCAAGACGAGTCGACTGTTGGACAGCACATAAGTTAGTTTCATTTAGGACAAAATGTATGGTGGTTTTTCTGGTTACAACAGGTCCTAAATTATTTAAAGAATAAATATTATGCCTTAAATTTGGTCATTAAAAATAATAATGAGACCATTTATTCTGTTTGAGACCATTTATTTCCTTGAAGTTGGATGGATCTAAAAACAACTCGAGATCCGGTTTGTACCCTTTAAAGATTAGACCTCAAATTAAGTGTTAAATTACAATATTATAAATAATTACAATAATAAATAAATTGTACTAATTTCACGTCAAGACAAATTACGAGATTGACACAAACAATTGATTCCGAGTGAGGAGAGGAACAAACGGCTACATGACAAACTCCAGCTCAAACTCAGGCTTCCTCTAATCCAAACCCAACGGAACCAGCCGAGCTCAGGCTGCGTTTACCGCGTTGAATGATGCCTCTGTACTCTGACTCTGCAACAAACCACAGAGCTGCAGCTTTAGCCACCGCAGCATTAACACTCCACACAGGCTAAAGGCTCAAAAGCACGGGACTAGCAAACAAAACTAAAGGAGCTAACGCTAAAGGCTAAAAAGCTACTAAAGCGACTGAAGCTAACAGGAAGCACTGTGAAACAGCTGGAAGTGAATTTTGTATTTGGTCTGTTCCTTAAGTGCTTCTTGGATCAGCGTGATATTTCACTGGACAACATCTCATACACAGTTTACATGTAAATAGCCTGAAATTTATATATTGGATCCTTTTGACTTTTGAATTTAAAACAAACACACTCGAGCTAAGCCGTTACAAATGACGCATTATAATTTAAATAATCTCTTCTAAATTTTGGAAGACCCCTAAAGTAAACAAGTGGTTTAACTTCAGCGGTAACACTGATTCAGACGATTCAGTCAGAATTAAATTCTGAGCTCCGGAGGGGACGCATAAGATGTTGATATTGATTAAAGAATGTCTGGGAATATAATGTTTGGACTAGGGATGGGAAGGTAGGGTATGATATAGGGATAAGATGATATATTCTACTTCTACTACATTTCATTTACTTTAAAGTGATAGTAACTCTAAATGAATTACAAATTTTAGGAAATGTGTTAAATAGACCTCCTGGCCTTAAATGTTGATATAAAATAAGTCATTTTATTAATTATAATATTACGGGCAAGTCCCGCCTTCCCTGCTCTTAGCTATAGTTCATAATCCACGATGCCGTCGAGGTTAACCAATCGAGTCATGCCAAGGGCTGTCAATCATCGGCGCTGATGCTCGCAGCTGCGCGCATGCTCAGTTGTTTGTTTTCGCGGAGCCTCCGAATCAAGCCTCTATTAGGCTCTGGAACTACATGAAAACTGAACAAAGAATTCTGAACATCGGCGCTGAGTTACCCATTTATATACTGAACCTATATCCATAATCAGATCCTCTGCAGATGTGTCCTATAATGTGCGATTCATAATAATAGCACTTCCTGGTTTGCCGCGATCAATTTTTTTGTGCATAAAAACATTTTTTTCATTAAAACGTTCACAAATAATTCTGAAAACCTCCGTGCATGTGTATTAATAATGTATATGTATAAAGTGTTCTCTGATTAACATTTCAAAGTGTTACGAAAACGTAGGCGTAGACCAATCAGAAAGGAAGGGGGAGGGAGCTTGCGTCGTTTTTTTTTCAAATCAAGTACCTCTCACTTTAATTAAATTTAAAAAGGTTATTAGAATATTGGCTGATACATATATATATGCATTTCCCAACTACAATGATAATCATGGCTAAGAAAAAAAACAAGGTGTGAGGGCAAAGAGCCAAGAAGGTTCTATTCTAATAATGGTATGATTTAATTTAAAGCATATTCGACAAACATTATGCCCAAAATGCTTTTCCACAAAATCCATTGAGTAAAGAAGGTTTATCACAGTGTACCGATTACTGCCCTTTGCCTCCATTCAACCACAATTTTAGTGATTAACGATACAAGATTGTTTTGAAGTTGTCCCAGTGAAACATCGGTCTAAAAGCAGCAGCAGTGGTTTCTGTTCTCGGTGAGGAGTCCCTACCTCCCACAGTCAGAACTCTGATCCTCTCGTTGAACACTGACACGTCTGGTCCAGCGGGGGGCAGTGGAGAGACACCAGGACCATTAGAAAACCATACAAATGACACAAGAGCCAGCAGACACCACAGCAGCCACCACAGCAGCCACAACGTTTAACTCATGGATCTATTATAATAACTGGATAGGGTATTACTAGCTTGTAGCTGAATAACTCATGTGCTCGGGGGATTCTCACGGTACTGCAGCTTGAACCAGACTAAATTCACGTGGGCTACCCAGAAATTTTCCCCATAGAACTCAATGCATATTAAAACAGCTCGACCTCAGCTGACAGAGAACCTACAGCTTTCATAAAGGTCGGATTTTGTGTGGATTTTAGTGTCCCTTGTCTTCCTGAACTTTTTTTCTTCTTAAATCCTTCGGTTTTGTTTAAATCCACACTTTAGTGCCACAAACTCTGCTCGTCTGGCTCTCGCTCTAACTCCCGCTCTGATGAACTGCTCTGATTGGTCAGAGCGCGGCCGAGCCCCTCTGTGCATGTGCGTGAGACCCGGTGTGAGACCCACACACGCGTGTTTGGCGCAACGCATTATGGGAGATCATCCACTGCGCAGAACCGGGAGGACCAGACGATGCCCAAATACAGGCGAGTTTCCCATAGATCTTTGCGAGTTCCAGGCGACTTCCGCTAATCTTTCAGCCCCCATGCCATCACAAAGCGCCACTGAGCACAACCATTCATTTGAATAGGGCACCATCTTGGATCGCCGGGGCTTGGTTTAACTACAGTGGACCACAAGTCACTCCAAAACCATCCTGACAGAGACCGGAAGAGCTGTTTTTGAGCTGGGGCGCTGAACAGAAGTTGGTAACAGTGGAAGTAACTTAATAATCCATTTTAACTATAGGCTTTCTTCGCACAGCCACTAAGTGATTTTAAGATTATGAAGTAATTTACTTAACACACAGACAAATAACTATGATGTATTTTATCTCTTACCACGTTCCCCAGTTTGAAGAAGTGTAATTTGGGTTACAGAATCAGGAGCATTTATCAATAATGATAGCATTTCTAAAATCTCAAATTCTCAATACTGGCACAGGCTTCCATCAAAACAACAAGCCCTTGCATAAATACTTCAAATGATAAAATAACGGGACGTAATTAATTACAGTTTTAGGAGTGTTCATGTTTAACTACTCTAATTATTGTACCAATAGGTTGTAGGTTCTGTTTTACTTAACAGGTTAACTGCTTCTTACATAAGCCATTTTCACACAGGCCTGGTTCCCCATTAACAGAAAAGCATGAGCAGCACAAGAGTATGCTTTGCTTATACTTTAGAAACATGTCTAGAACTCGAACACCCGGGTTAAGGATGGGCATTACTGACAGCCTCGAGAAATACATGAAAGAAAAAGACAGAAAAGAGCATAGTATTGTTGTTATTTGGGCACCGCCACCTCTTCAGGATTGGAAAACAGAATTCTTATCTCAAAAACCTACACCAGGACTTTGTACAAACTTCTGTGGCCTTGGTGCACTTTCACAGATCAGAATGTTGGATCCCACATCCAGAGTTTAATCTGTTCTGCTCTTACCTTTTCCTTGTATCCGCAGCTGATTATGAGACTCTGTAACCCAAACACAGCTCTCAAAAAGCCACTAACTGTTTCATTCAAGTGAAATACAGACTGAGGGACGAGTTTAACCTGCCGTCAACTCAGGCGGGAAAACAAGAAGCAAGCACCAAAGCCTTGTCCAGAACCTTTGTGTGAAACCTGAGGCCTGTTTCCTCATCAACACAAACCTGCTGTACCTTGGTTTGCATTGGAGCATGTGGACTGCTTGCAAACAGGATACAACAGGAGTTTTTGAGGGGAATACATTTTAACACGACAGAAGGTAGTTTTTCACACATCATACAATCAATAAACTACATCAGAGACAGGAACAAAAGCAACAAACCAAACTCAAACTCTCAAGACCTTAAAAGCTGAGGTTTCACCTGTTTAGCGTGTTGTTTAGAGAAGGTTTAAATCAGACATGACTAGACTCACAAAGCCCCTTGTGTTTTATTTGTAGCCTATATTGAGTAATCATTCACCTATTATTGTTTTGCAAATTATTCTATCAAGACCATTGGATCTGTGGACAGGTGTGTTATAGGTGCGAAAGTATTCGGCCCCCTTGAACCTTTCAATATTTCGCCACATTTCAGGCTTCAGACAAAAAGATATAAAATTTTAATTTTTTGTCATGAATCAACAACAAGTTGGACACAATCGTGAAGTGGAACGAAATTTATTGGATAATTTAAACTTTTTTAACAAATAAAAAACTGAAAAGTGGGGCGTGCAATATTATTCGGCCCCTTTACTTTCAGTGCAGCAAACTCACTCCAGAAGTTCAGTGAGGATCTTTGAATGATCCAATGTTGTCCTAAATGACTGATGATGATAAATAGAATGCACCTGTGTGTAATCAAGTCTCCGTATAAATGCACCTGCTCTTTGATAGTCTCAGGGTTCTGTTTAAAGCGCAGAGAGAACCATGAAGACAAAGGAACACACCAGGCAGGTCCGAGTTACTGTTGTGGAGAAGTTTAAAGCCGGATTTGGATACAAAAAGATTTCCCAAGCTTTAAACATCTCAAGGAGCACTGTACAAGCAATTATATTGAAATGGAAGGAGTATCAGACCACTGCAAATCTACCAAGACCTGGCCGTCCCTCCAAACTTTCATCTCAAACAAGGAGAAGACTGATCAGAGATGTAGCCAAGAGGCCCATGATCACGATGACGAACTGCAGATAACTACAGCTGAGGTGGGAGAGTCTGTCCATAGGACAACAATCAGTCGTGCACTGCACAAATCTGGCCTTCATGGAAGAGTGGCAAGAAGAAAGCTATTTCTCAAAGATATCCATAAAATGTCTCGTTTAAAGTTTGCCACAAGCCACCTGGGAGACACACCAAACATGTGGAAGAAGGTGCTCTGGTCAGATGAAACCAAAATCGAACTTTTTGGCCACAATGCAAAACGATATGTTTGGCGTAAAAGCAACACAGCTCATCACCCTGAACACACCATCCCCACTGTCAAACATGGTGGTGGCAGCATCATGGTTTGGGCCTGCTTTTCTTCAGCAGGGACAGGGAAGATGGCTAAAATTGATGGGAAGATGGATGGAGCCAAATACAAGACCATTCTGGAAGAAAACCTGTTGGAGTCTGCAAAAGACCTGAGTCTGGGACGGAGATTTATCTTCCAACAGGACAATGATCCAAAACATAAAGCCAAATCTACAATGGAATGGTTCACAAATAGACGTATCCAGGTGTTAGAATGGCCAAGTCAAATCCAGACCTGAATCCAATCGAGAATCTGTGGAAAGAGCTGAAGACTGCTGTTCACAAACGCTCTCCATCCAACCTCACTGAGCTCGAGCTGTTTTGCAAGGAAGAATGGGAAAGAATTCCAGTCTCTCGATGTGCAAAACTGATAGAGACATACCCCAAGTGACTTGCAGCTGTAATTGCAGCAAAAGGTGGCGCTACAAAGTATTAGCGCAAGGGGGCCGAATAATATTGCACGCCCCACTTTTCAGTTTATTTGTTTAAATTATCCAATACATTTTGTTCCACTTCACGATTGTGCCCACTTGTTGTTGATTCTTGACAAAAAATTAATTTTTATATCTTTATGTTTGAAGCCTGAAATGTGGCAAAATGTTGAAAGGTTCAAGGGGGCCGAATACTTTCGCAAGGCACTGTATCTAACTGGATGACTTGGTTAGAGGGAACAATATTGTCAAAACAGTACAATATCACCGCTCTGAAAGCAGATTCTGAACAGACTTGATTGAGGTGCACGATTTGAGCTAAATACAACTAAAATTAAAAGTTTTCACTGTATACAATGTTTGAAATTATACATGAATGAGACATTTTTTACACGGTTTTTTCTGTCACTTGTTTGTTTTGGCTATAAACTATACACTCATATACAGAATTTGGCACATCTTCAAAGATAACAAAATGGTATACCAAAGTGCCAACAGCTTTTACATACTAGTATTCATGTAGGGTGAATGTTTGTCATATAATTATCTATTAAGGGAGTAGGGAAGGAGTTAATACAGTGAAACTATTTAGGCAACTTCTTAATAGTCAAACAGAAGTCATCTATGTATACTGAGTGAGATTATTCGGATTACTACAGTGTAATTGAAACCATTTGCGTCATCGAGCACTCATGGACAAACGAGGAATACTAACCACTGTAGTTGTTTATTAGCTAAACTATAAACTGTTTAAACACAGGATTGTGATCTAAGCCAGGACTTAAACGCAACTCATGCCCACAGCCTTCAGCTAAAGCCTGAGTCCAAATAAACACAATCATAAACTTGATCTGAGAGGAGCAGAGACAGAGAGCAGCAGTTTTTAAGGTAGAATGGAGAGTGCTCAAGGCGGAATGATTACCCAGCTTGTCGGAGGAGGTGATAATGTCAGTGGGAACACAAGAGTCGAGATCGGCGTCCATGATGCCCAACGGGTCCAGCTGAGCCACATGGTGCCCGCGGATCTATGGCAGGGGAGGGGGACAAAAACAAAAACATCCACCCACCGGAGAGAGAAGGGGAGGCCAGGAGAAGATAGCGTGTTTGATAGAGTTAGCGATATTTAGATATTTAGAAAAAGAATTAGTGTTAGATTAGAGAAATAGATAAAGTAATGTAGTTACAGAGAAAGCCATTGGTAGTGAAATAGATGAAAGGGGAAAGTGAAGCAAAGCGTGACAAAGAGTGTGAACGCACACATGGAAAGCAAAACATTGAACAGAACCAAAACACAGCACAGAGGAGGAGGTGAAGCAGCCAGAAGCAGCAGCAGTGAGTGAGTAACAGGCGGGCAGGTGGAGGGTGGTGGGTGGAGCAGCACCGTTAGCATCACCGCTACAAATATGGCGTCCACAGCTCACCAACGTCCTGGAAACTTGCAACGGGAGCTTCGTCGAAGTTCACGCAGCTGATGCCAAGGGGGTCTAACTGCGCAGAGTAATGGCCGACCACCTGTTCTCACACAGAACATGTGCACAGGACAGGAAGTACATGCAGAGCTTAAGGCCACAGCAGATGTACGCACGAGGCAAGGGACTCAATTATTTCATGGTGTCATATTTACTAAGGATGGTCCAATACACTTTTCCCACAACCAATACAAGTACAGCACTTGCTGGACTAGAAGTCGCTACATTGCCATGCGGCCAATGTATGTATTTTTGTTTTGTTAGAGCGCCCAGAAAGGACTATGGACTTGTTTTTAAGTGATTAGGGCTATTGTACGTTTATGGACATATTATTTTGACTGCGCATTTATTGTCAAAATAGTATGAATTTACCACAGAGCTTTGAAACTATGACATTTGTCTATCCGTTTTGTATTGTTCCATCAGCTGTTGGTACATTACAACATGAAAACCTGCAGCATATATTCAAGTGCTGCCTTTATGTGGGCAAAATGTACAAATTTACCAGGTGCAGTTTATACACAATAGTCCAGCAAGTACTGTACAATGAGATCCACCCGTCTACCTTAAGGCTTTGGATGTTGTGGGACATGTCTGTTTTGGACGAGCACACCGAGGTGACGGTCCCTGTCTTTAAGAGGGGGATCTCACAGTGTGTTGTCGTGGGATCACACTCCTCAGAGTCCACAACAGGTCTAAAGCAAGGTACTTGAGAAGAGACCTCGAGCAATAATCTCAGAGGGACCAGTGTGGTTTTCATCTGAGACTTAAGTTTTGACAATATAACATTTAGCTGCTGTGGGGGGGAAAAAAGTTTAAAAGGTGCATTGCGCAATGTCAATAAAGCAATACAAAAATAGGTTCCCGTTGCTGCATGCATATTCACCCGTGTCAGGTGATACAGAGTTGCAGCTCTGAGATCACACGCTGCAAGATTAATGTGAGGTTTCAGACCAACGCCCATGAAGATATTTATCTTTAAACCATAAAGCATTTTCTGCAGCTGATCAATAGAGAATGATTCAACAGTATGTTGTAAGGGCCAAATAATGTTATAACAATATTGCAATAACAGTGGATTTACAATGCTCAAGAAAATGTAAAAATCTAACTAAATAACATGAGTCACAGCAGAGGCTTTGGCTCCGTCTCTGCAGAATGCCCACAGCAGTGTCTCAGTATGACTCATGATGATGTATGTTGGACTGCTCTTGTGTGTGAGGTGCGTTTGTTTCCGCACCTGATAGGCCCTGATCAGAGACTGGACGGCCAGATGGTCCTCCACTAGCTTCTCCACGTTGGGCTGAGCGGTCATAGCAGAGCCAAGAGAAGACAGGGCAGGAGTCAGGCCAAGAGGAGACTGGTACGCAGCTCCAGGGGGCGCTCCGGCGTTCGCATTACGAAAAAACACGTCCCACGACTGAAACACAAACAACATGTGAGAAAACATGTCCATAAATCCTTTCCTAATAATAAACAGTTTAGATGTGCTGTGGTCAAAATCTGAGTTACTAGGATTATCTTCTATATCTAGCTGATATCTGACATCTAAATATCTTGACCTCTGGCACATACGCCGACCGACATCAGGACAAGTGAGACAATTTGGGACTAGAGAAAATACAGTGGGGCAAAAAAGTATTTAGTCAGCCACCAATTGTGCAGGTTCTCCCACTGAACTTACAGACAGAGGTCTGTAATTTTCATCATAGGTACACTTCAACTGTGAGAGACAGAATGTGAAAAAAAAATCCAGGAATTCACATTGTAGGATTTTTAAAGAATTTATTTGTAAATGATGGTGGAAAATAAGTATTTGGTCAATAACAAATATTCAACTCAATACTTTGTAATATAACCTTTGACAATAACGGAGGTCAAACGATTACTATAGGTCTTTACCAGGTTTGCACACACAGTAGCTGGTATTTTGGCCCATTCCTCCATGCAGATCTCCTCGAGAGCAGTGATGTTTTGGGGCTGTAGGCGAGCAACACGGACTTTCAACTCCCTCCACAGATTTTCAATGGGGTGGAGGTCTGGAGACTGGCTAGGCCACTCCAGGAATTTCAAATGCTTCTTACGGAGCCACTCCTTCGTTGCCCGGGTGGTGTGTTTGGGATCATTGTCATGCTGGAAGACCCAGCCACGTTTCATCTTCAAAGCTCTCACTGATGGAAGGAGGTTTTGGCTCAAAATCTCACGATACATGGCCCCATTCATTCTTTCCTTAACACGGATCAGTCGTCCTGTCCCTTTAGCAGAAAAACAGCCCCAAAGCATGACGTTTCCACCCCCATGCTTCACAGTAGGTATGGTGTTCTTGGGATGCTAATCAGTATTCTTCTTCCTCCTAACACGACGAGTTGAGTTTATACCAAACAGTTCGACTTTGGTTGCATCTGACCACATTACATTCTCCCAATCCTCTGCTGTATCATCCATGTGCTCTCTGGCAAACTTCAGACAGGCCTGGACATGCACTGGCTTCAGCAAGGGGACACGTCTGGCACTGAAGGATTTGATTCCCTGTTGTCGTAGTTTGTTTCTGATGGTAACCTTTCTTACTTTGGTCCCAGCTCTCTGCAGGTCATTCACCAGGTCCGCCCGTGTGGTTCTGGGATTTTTGATCACCGTTCTCATGATAATTTTCACCCCACGGGATGAGATCTCGCGTGGAGTCCCAGATCGAGGGAGATTATAAACGGTCTTGTATGTCTTCCATTTTCTGATAATTGCTCCCACAGTTGATTTGTTCACACCAAGCTGCTTGCCTATTGTAGATTCACTCTTCCCAGTCTGGTGCAGGTCTACAATTATTTTCCTGGTGTCTTTCGACAGCTCTTTGGTCTTGGCCATAGTGGAGTTTGGAGTCTGACCGTTTGAGGCTGTGGACAGGTGTCTTTTATACAGATAATGAGTTCAAACAGGTGCCATTAATACAGGTAACGAGTGGAGGACAGAAGAGCTTCTTAAAGAAGAAGTTACATGTCTGTGAGAGCCACAGATCTTCCTTGTTTGAAGTGACCAAATACTTATTTTCCACCATAATTTACAAATAAATTCTTTAAAAGTCCTACAATGTCAATTCCTGGATTTTTTTTCACATTCTGTCTCTCACAGTTGAAGTGTACCTATGATGAAAATTACAGACCTCTGTCATTATTTTAAGAGGGAGAACTTGCACAATCGGTGGCTGACTAAATACTTTTTTGCCCCACTGTATATTGTTTTTTTATACAGTAAGGCCCCCTAGTAAAATGATAAGTAAGGAATCCTATTGCAGACAGTACATCTCTGGTTGAATTTTAAATGTAATACAAATTTTAACTTTCCTCTATTGGTACAAATTGGTTATGTACAAAAATGTATTTACTGACTGTTCTGAGGAAGGAAAAAATACATTCTGTTGCTTTCTGGTACAAGTGCTACAGTCTCTGCTGAATAAGCCTTCAGCTACTGCCTGAAATTGCCTATATTGATCAATACCAATTATAAGTATAAATCAAAATAGATTAATAGACCAATTAAAATAGAGGTATGAATTTTTTTTGGATTGATGTCCATTGATCACCACATAATAAGTGCTGAATGCAAAAGTGTTAGCACAAACCTTGTGTACACTCTTTGGGTCCTCCAGCCAGGCGAAGTACATTTCTTCCACATAATTTGAACTTGTTCCATTCAGAAAAGGCTCTGAAGCCACAGGAGCAGCGTAGCACCTGATTGGCTGTAACGTCCTTGCTCCGCCCGCAAAATGGGCTGTGATTGGCCGTTTGGGGCCAGCAGTCTGAGCACTTTGTGTCGCTGTGAGCGGTCGCAATCGCGACGCACAAGTCCTGAGGCGATGCATAGTCCTGATGCAGTCTGTATCTAGTCCTGGTCCGGCCTACAGACCCAGAGAGTCCAGGGTTAGTCCACACTAAGAAACGTTCAACACGAAGTATCCAACAGGTCAGCGTCCTCCTCTTCCTCAATCTGTGGAGACAGAGAAGCGTCAACAACAGAGCTGAGTTTAAGTGATCCAGAGAGATAGTCAGCAGGGTACTGGGGAAGCAAGTATTGGGTTTAGTTCACATTACTGCACTCTTTTGACTTCAATGCGATTTTGAACTGCTTTAAAATAGAGCAGTCCTAATAAACACATTGATCTGAATATACATTTTATGTTGCGACTAAAAAAGATAATTATAAACAAAGCTATGACAACAAATAGTTACCCCTGAATAAATGTGTTTTGATTATTGATTGAATTGTTTTTGGTTTGTTTCTGCCAATGCAACACTGCAACACCAGGACCAAGACAGGACTAAGAAAGTCCAAACCAGGAACCACATACAGGCATGTGGCCGTCTGCACCAAGGTCACGGCAAAGTCTAAAAATAGTCTGAAAAACAAAACTAACCAGAGTCATGCTGAGTCTATAAACTTTGTGTGGACATTTCCACTGCAAATCAAATAATGGAGTTTTTCGACTCTGGGGTTGTTAAGCAAGAACTAAAACTAGGGCTATATATAAAGATCTGCAGAAATAGACCTAATAATTCAAATCCAGTTCTACACACCAACAACAATCGTAATTGTTAAAGTAATAAAGCATGCAAAAGAAGAGACCCTTGTCTCTTTGGTGGATGCATAATTATTTTTATCAAATTTTCCAAAAATCTAAACTTACATTTTTCTAATCTTGAGGATCTTGCGTCACAATGAGTTTACCAAGTATCTTACAACAGTGGGTTTAAAAACTATGAATAAACAATGGAAATAAAACATTAACCCATTAGTTGCCGGGCATCATGTTAAAACCCAACATTGTGAGAACTGTTTGTGACAATAAGCCTTCAGAGCCATCACTGTTCTGTTAATTGTTAGTTCCCTACACATCTCTTCCATCATTAAGATCATTTATTTTAAACTCAATATTTTAATGTACCTGAGCTTTGTCATTAATAAGAGAGTAATCAGTCTTGTTGTCAACATAAAAAAATGGATAGATGCAAGAGGATGGATTTTCTGACAGACTGTATTAAAAGCAGTCTACAGGCTAGAGTACAAAGACTATTTTATATTCAACTACTTCTATTGTATTGAACTAAATGTGATCAACCAGCATGGAACAGTCGGTCGGAGGTGTTTCAAGCCCATTAGATTCAAGATCAAGATTCAAGATTAATTTATTATGTCCCGTAGAAAATTTGTCTTGGACTCACAGGCTGCTACATTGAAAATACACATAAGACAGACATAAAAACACAGAAAAACCGACATAAACCATCACCGCTCTGCTCGATAGATCTATACACTTATAGTATTTCACCATTTTACCTTGTGCTTGAGCGAAAAAAAACTAACGAATAAATTTACATTTTTACTTTTTAACATTACAATCACTTTTTAGTTAATCGTGATGCAATTATGTTTTTATTTAATTCATATCGCATCGTTGGCCACATTTCTCACTCTACAATATACATATATTGTAATGTGAACGTTTTACACTGCTGAAGCAACAGTTTGTAAAGATGTTTGAGGAAAAGTGTAGCTACAAAATCAATAACATATCAAAAGCGTTTAAGGAAATAGTATTTTAGTGTAATATTAGCACATTTTGGCCTCTGTGCTGAGTCTATTCTTGGCTCTGCACCAGCTCCACTTGTGTTTTGACCTTCTACAACATTCCCCTTTTAGCACCCGCCCCAAAAGCCTTCCTATTCGTCAGTTCCGCGTTTCCAGCAACGCTATTGACTGGAAGTGTTGTCAATCAGCGTGTCCTTCCCTACTGCACGAGTCATGAGTTCCCGAAAATTACACCCACATTACTTTGTCACAACAAAGACCAAAACACAGCATTTGGAGGTTTATGCATGTATAATAAAACGTATTACAATTAGTCATCTGTGCTGACATACAGCAGTAAGGGACACTTATGTAATTAGCCGGCTAGCTTGCTCAGAATACTAACTACTTCCAATTAAGCTACACAAATGCTATTAGCACACTTAGCTCCAGATCAAAGCTCCAATTGCGGGATCGGTGAACATATAATCGAATAATACGTAACACATTGGTGTTAATGCAGTTTAATCTAGCTATAATCACAGTAATAACTGTTAAAAGCACTACAACTGTTGGTAAAGTAGCAATAACGAGGGTTAGCTTAGCACGCTAGCTGAGGTTCCGCAACACCGGGGTTGGAGCGGCTGCATGAGCTGATGTCAGGCCGGAGAAGTAGCGCACTAGGACGGACAGTGTAGCCTGTAGCCTCCCGTGTGCAGAGCTCCATACGCGGCAGACTGACCTGGGTAAGGCGAGCTGCTACGGTGCTCTGTGTGGCCGGTTCCCCCGATGCCCTTCGTGGCTCCCGGTGAAAGGTGCAGCGCAGGCGGGCGGTGACAGACAGGAGTGACCACCCGCCCCCAGAGTGACGCACACCGGTGACATCAGCCTGTGGCAGTCACGGATCAGTGGCAGTGATTTGATGTTTGTGATGAGGGTTGCTATTGCTATTGTACGGTCTCTGGTTTGCCCTTACATTAGCTCAGTCAGGTTCACTTACATTGGAGTCACTGGCTTCTTTGTATGTGAGATTTGCTGTAAATATGTGAATAATTATGTTATTATTATATGTATTTTTAATACTGTTCTCTTTTTTTCTTTAAACTTTTCTTTCATTATTCTCAGCTATGGATCCTGTGCGTGCATGTGGTTCTTAATAAAGTCAAATAAATAAAATATATCCCTCAAATAGTAATCACTATAGATATAGACTCTGTGATCCTGTTTTCTTTATATTTGCCTTTGTACTATATATTGCATATTGTCGTTAGCACTTCATACCGTGTTTATGCCATATACTATTAACTTGACATACAAATATGTGTTTTTCAACAATATATCTAAAATAATCCCTTAATGGGCTATGACCTGTGTTGTATTAAATATAGACTAAAAAGCAGATGTGCATTTGACTGACCCTGATTTGAACTCTGTCTCTTTCCTAAGCAAAAAGACCTGGTCTCCCTTTCTCCTTTGTAGTCCAAAAGTGCAGAATATGAGTTAATGATAGTTAATCTGGGGGGGGGCAAGATCTGCATTCCTAGATTTGCTAATCTTTTTAAGTTGTTTGGAGAAGGAGATGGACCCAGAATCTGGAGGGACAGCCTTGAGGTCCTCCTGTCTTATCTCAAGGAAGTAATATTTCTATAGAATTAGGGAGGGGTAGTGTGTGAATGATTTCTGTTTAGGTCTGGCGAGACGGAGGAGAAGACCTGATGGACCCGTGACCCTGGAACTGCCTGATACAACACGCCCCTTCCCCTTGCACATTTACTTATAGTGAATAGCTTGAATGTGTTGAGTTAGTTTTTTTAGACCGGACCAGGGACAGCAGTGTGACTTTGTGTGGAGCGCCCACCCAAAGTTATACTTTATACTTTATATAGAGAATAAGGGATAGTTTGGTCCGGACAGCTGTTTTAGATTCTTTTTGTATTAGGGAAATAAACCTTTTTGAATTTAATTTCCTGAATCTTGGTCATCTTTATAAGGGATTTTGAACACGTCATTTTTTAATACGTTACCTGTAAGAGTTACTGGAGAAAAATAGTTAACCAATAATTCAATTTAATTTTGAAAAAACACATCTGTGCATGCGTCAGCCGGCACGAGCCCCATTCATTTAACGAGTGCCATCAAAAAAATCACAGCGATTAAACTAGACTGGTCCAAAAAAATTCTCTCCCCTCAGCATTGACACACATATGCTACTGTCCTTCTCGCTGGTTCCTAACTGACTCTATCCTAACTTCAATTATTAAGTCATGGCTGATGATGATGCACGTCTGGATCAAAGGTAAAAAAAAAAAAAAAAAAAAACACTGCTCTCAGACTCTGCTATCTCGCTCCTGGAGAGTTCAAAGGGGGCTGCGAAGATTGGCTTATAATAATAACAAATATATAAGTAGAGATGTGTGTTCTCCATCAATCTCCTTTATTCTTGTTCTAACAGCAGTGGACTGTAACCGAATAAAATTTAAAAAAATTGTAGGTGCTTGGTACTATTTTTGGTTCTTTTATGGGTTCAACATTTCCTGTGTTTTTTATGTTTTATGCCCTATGATGGTCAAATGAATTGCCCCAGTATGAATAAAGCAGTCTGAATGTGATTTTCTAGGGCAAACTATGAATGTCATCGGTGCAAAAAAAATCTACGTTGCATTTTTTTAAATACCGGTAAAATACAAATGTTATTAAGCAAAATGATTGGAGGATGCGGGCATCGATCCCGCTACCTCCTACTGCATTCAGATCTTAGAGCAAAGTAAGGCCAAGTAAGCCATATACCCCTGACTGCAGTCCGCAGATCGGGGCGGAGCTCAACGTGGGCGGAGTCAAACGTTTGACTCCGCCCACCGCGGAAGCTTCTTTTTTTTTTCTTTTATTTAACGGAAGCTTTTTTTTTTTTCATTTTACCCTGATTTTAATCTTGATCAAAGGTAAAATCATCAAGTTGATGATTTAAAAAAATAATTAATATTTATCGGTCCCGATATGCTTTTCATTCTTCTACTCCTTTGTATATTATGTATATTTATAAACTATTTTTGGTACCATTATTTATTATTGCACCTGATTCTGACCGATTCTGATGTTACACCTAAGCTTGTAATAATATAAAAAGCTTTTGTATGGGACACCATTCATTGTTATTTATATCAGGATCACATCTGGTGTCAAAATGTAAATCTTTGGTAAAACCTGTTTCTTTTTGTCTCAAATGTAAATACCAGCTTACATAATAGTAAGGTTACATAATATTCTACATGCATTCTTGTCTCATAAAATAAATGATACTAATATAATAGTAATATGATTACATTTCCATGAGCCCTCACAACTTTACACACAACTTTTTAATGAGGTTCAGCTCCCACTGAACTAGAACAGTGAAGTGAAATCAACATTTAATATCAGGCTTCTACTTTCAACTTGTCAAAAGCCTTATTTTTTTACTGTCCATTATTTTTTATCCATGCTGCCTTCATTTAAAAAAAATAAAAATTCTTATATAAATGTATCCACTCAATTATATCAGCTACATTAAGGAGAACAGAGACTGAATTGTGCCACTGACACTTCTGAAAACATGCCGAGGTTTGAGGTGGGGTAGCGAGACAGTGGACCCAAGGATGCAGACTTGATGTTTCAAAAAGGTAAATTTTATAACACAAACAAAAGCCATAACCGGAACACAGGTATAAAAAAAGTACAAACAAAATCACCAAAAACCACACTAGGAGAACCAAAACAAAGTGAAAATGCAAAGAAATGCAGCATGTGTGAGCAGAAAATTATCTCATTTCAAAGCCGGAAAACACCTGCAGCTGCCTTTTGTCCATCATTTCCTTGCAGAACTCCTCATAGTCTGCCTGCAAACTAAACATGAACATGAACGGTTCACTGAGGTCTTCTTTATACTCTTCATCCAGGCCATCACACATGCGCAGCATTTCCACTGCCCTCAAGGAATCTTCCTTGTTCATGGTGATGACCTGGGGAAGGTAAAGTTTTCCCTTGTTGAAGGATCTTGTGCCACACCACCTTGCTGCCGTTAAGGTGTCCATAAGCAGGGAATCCTCCTAATGAAAAATTAAGAAAATTAATATTAAAATAGAGGTTGAAGAAGGCAGCAAACAGTGAAATAAGAAAAGCTCACAACGGGTAACATACTCCGTTCCCAGTTCCCACTTCCGGCAAGCTCTCAGCCTTTGCTAGAAAGGAAACAGATTATGGTTCTTAAAGGTATAATAACAATGCAAGTTCTAAAAAAGATCAGTAGCTTATTTTAAGTATACTGGTTTAATGAAAATTGAGAAATTACAGCAAAACCAGCTACGTCACATCCCATCTCTACAACCTTGGGGGTTGTGTACAATAATACTGTTTTGAACAATACCTGATGCTTCAGAGACAGATTCTGAAAGCCGAATACTTTTTGGAGGGACCACTTCCAGATCCTGAAATAAATGGGGGGGATTATGCTTTAGTCTGCAAGCAATAGTTTGACTACAGGACAAATTAATCAACTCTCACCTGTTTTCCTTTTTGCTTTCTCCGTCTTTTTCTTTCCTGCAATCTGGTTTCCTTAGACCTTGATGATGTAATGACAACATTAATTTACTATGAAAACATTCATGTTGGTCTGTTGACCGTGAGTATTTAAAAGGATCTGATTCAAAAGTGTGATCATGAGGGCACTTACGGCATGGGGAAGTTCTGTAGGAGGACAAGACACCACCATCTCCTAATTTGCAGCATGTTTTCCTTTGAAAAAAGAAAGGAAGATTCAAATATGTGTTCAGGAATGATAAGTTGTATACTAAGCGTAATGTGTCACAATTTTCACATACCTCTCTGAAGTCACAATTGGCCCCCATTACAATGTACAGCGTGTACTGTAAGTCAAGAGGTACTGGTTAATGTACTAATGTCATGCATATTTCCTCAGGATACAATTTTCCAATACATATAATGTGTTTTTAATGTAGCAAGCAAACATTTTACAGATAACAGCAAAGATATAACATACTGAATAGGTCTTACCATCAAAACAAACACGCCACAGTTGTTGGAGCACCCTTGCTTTGTTAGGCCCTGAGGTGTGAACAAGGTCTTTTAATAAAAGAATGGCAAGAAAATAGTAAATGTTAGCAAATACTATGAAGTAACGTCTCACCTGAACATCATTCACGCCAAGCTCCCTCCAGGGGCCAGGAGACAGGCTGTGAGCAATGTGTCTGTGCAAAGAGTAAGCAGAAGTAACTAAAAGTAACTGAACTAAAATCAACTTTTGATTCAAATGCATAAACACTTTGAACAAACCCTCATCAGTGCATTTTGAAAGTGATATTTCACCATTGATCAGTATGCTGATGTGTCTCTATATTAGAGGGGAAAACAATAGACATAAAAGGCACAGCAATTAGAAACACACGAGACAAAATATATGAAATAATTTTTCATTTAAAAAACAAATGTCATGTCATGGATGTTAACATGCAAGGAAGAGCAATATCAATTTCCTGCAGATTACTCAGATGTAAGTGTCAGATTGTCAAATGCTTATGAATGGTACCATTTCAAATATGCTTAAATCACATATTAGCATATTGGCTTTATATTCTTACATTCTACGTCATGGTGCTACGTCCCTTAGGACTTCGCTAGTGGGATATCACGTGACCCCCAGGTCACACGCCAGAGAGATCAAAATAATTTGCTCCAATCACCAGCCACCCTCCTCTATAAATGCCCCTGCACAAGGCCGCACCCCCTCTTTCACTCTGGCGCCGTTTGAGATCTACCACAGTACTTACTTCTAAGAGGGCGGGCGACTCCGCACCGAGGCGCGAGGCCCACCAGCCATTACGGAGCCGGGACAGAGGCAGAGAACGTTGGCCCGGGAGGCATCCTGACCCGTATCCGCGCTCTGTTATCCATCGTCCCCCCTTGACGAGGCCCCCGGGTCCAGACAGACCCATGGGAGGCTCGCGGGAGCAACGCACCCACCGACGACCTCCCTATGGCAGAGGAGGTCGGGGTGGGAAGAATTCTTTCAATAAAAGCCGTGCGGCATTTCATCAGTACTCGCTGTCTGAGTCTCATTTGGGGGTATGTAACATGTCAAATGATTTGAATTCTGATTGTGTTACTTCTCGAGCATATAACGTGGCTCCGCTAGGCCTGCAGCCCCCAGAGAAGGGCGTGCAGCGCGCTATGCGGGCCACGAGCTCCGATTCACGGGTTCATGTTTTTGCCCTCCCGGAGAGAGGGCAGGCGGAGGGATCTGGTGAGTGATATATGTGTGTGCTCCAGCCGAACGCGTGTTAGCATCTCTGAGCTACAAGGCTAACACGGGGTTTCCCACTCCAGGGGCTCGCCCCCCCCTCCATGAGGCAAGAGCCAGGGGGGGGCACAGCAGCCGAGTCACGTGTGATGAGCAGTCCCGTACTTATGACGTCGGGCCTGCAGAACACGTGACCGCCCCCGGCGCTCACGGTGTGACGCAGGGGGCCCTTCGGCCACCCCCCCTCCCTGCTAGGAACACCAGGAGAGGGCGGGGCTGTGACGTCTCGTGTTTCAGCTCCCGTTCCGCCCCTCACAGACTTCTACAGCAGTGTTTTTCAACCACTGTGCCGCGGCACACTAGTGTGCCGTATGATATTGTCTGGTGTGCCGTGAGAAATTCGTCTACTTTGTCTAAAAATAACTGCATTCGCTGTTGACGAGCGGTGACTTGTTTTGAACTGTGGAGTAACCATGTAATACTTTTTCAAATCAGTAGATGGCAGCAGATAGCTAAGTACTTTGAAACTGAAAAATTGGATGCGACCACTGACAGCCAGTGGTCGCATCCAATTTTTCAGTTTCAGGTCAGCATTGTGGCGAGAAAGGTAAAATTGGATGCGACCAACAAATGTGGGAGGGAGCGAGACAAGAGCTTTGTGGCGAGTGAGAAGTGAAAGTGATAGAGACGTTTTTGAAAATGAATTATGCCGTTTCTGAACAGGATTAACATCCTCCGCTCTGCCCCGGGGCAGCTGTGGCCGCGTTGTAGTGGTTTAACTATGAAATGTACCATTTTTGTACAACAGCTCTCGTGAACGCACTTCTGAACTGGGTACCGAGCGCAGACCATAGTCGAGTGGACAGAACCACAGACATGCGGACCGGACAGAACCATGGACTCGCGTTCAGGACCTCCCGTGTCCCTCATCCAAAACTCCTGAATTTAAAGCTCGGATACCTAAATTTTTCCCATGCACTAACAATGCATGTTCTTTGTGTGAGTTATTATTTGACTATGGGCAGAGAGTGGATTTTCTTTTATTTTTCTTTTATTTTTTTCCACACAGTTAGTGCCACTTTATTCCCAAACTCTTGTTAATTGTATCGAGAAATATTAAATAAAGCTTAATGTCAAGGCCTGGACTTAAGCATTTTGATGAGAATAACTGTATATTGTGAATATAGGCTACAGAGTATACTGTATACATTATAAGATAAGATAAGATATACTTTATATATCACACAGAGTATGTACAGTATATATTTTTACATTAGTACTGTATACATTTTTACATTTTCTCCTGGAGGTGTGCCGCAAGATTTTTTTCAGTGAAAAAGTGTGCCTTGGCTCAAAAAAGGTTGAAAAACACTGTTCTACAGCATCTGGAGGGAGCAGGGTTTGGATGACAGTATATGGCTGGAGAAAACATTGCGCAGGGGTTACGCACTGCAATTCTTCCATAAGCCACCACCATTCCAAGGTGTACGGGCAGTGCGCTCTCAGATACGGGGATCAATAGAGGCACTGCAAGCGGAGGTCTCCTCTCTGCTGAGTCGAGGCGCAGCAGTGGAGGTAGACCCGCAGGACGCCACCAGGGGGCTGTACTCCCCTTACTTCTTAGTGCCAAAGAAGTCAGGCGGGGTGCGTCCCATTCTGGATCTGCGCGTGTTGAACGAGTGCTTTTCCAAACGGAAGTTTCGGATGCTGCCCACAAAGCAGCTACTCGAGTGTGTCAGGGAGGGAGACTAGATGTCCTCCATAAACCTGACAGATGCGTACTTCCACGTGCCCATAGTGCCAGAACACAGGAGGTTTCTGCGCTTCGCAGTGGGAGAGAGGAATTACGAGTACTTATGCACTCGCGCCTCGGACTTTTCCAATGCGTGGAAAAGTCCTCAGACGCGCTGGGGTAAGAATTTTAACCTAATTAGACGACTGGTTGATTCTGGCATCATCCAGGGAAGTGTCACACGCACTGGGTCCTGTCCCACATACAGCGCCTGGGCTCTGTGGTGAACAGGGAGAAAATTAATAGTTACCTATTGTAACTTAAGTTCTACGATTAGGTGCACGTGTTCCCACTAGCGAAGTCCGCTAAGGAACGTAGCACCATGACGTAGAAGCAGGCTGCAACCGGCTCAGCGCATGATCTATCTCGGCCTGCAGCTAGACTCTGTGACATTCCGTGCTGCACTGTCCGTGGACAGACGGATGAGCACTACCCGTCTGCCCAGGGAGGTTCTGGCGGGCCCCAGAGTTCCCGCTCGGCGCCTCAGGTCCCTGCTGGGAATGATGGCGGCGGCTCATGCTGTGGTGCGGCTAGGCCTTCTCCACATGAGGAATTTTCAGAGGTGGTTCTCACGCCTCAGGCTTCACCCCTCCCGGGACGGGGGGAGGCTGGTCTGGGTTCCCCAAGTGGCAGCATCGAACATCAGGTTCTGGCTCACTCCGGGTCTATTGCGGGACGGAGTGACTCTGCCCTGCGCCGTGTCTCACGTGGAGGTGTTCACGGACGCGTCGCTCGAAGGATGGGGCAGGGTCCTCGGCCAGAGTTCTGTAGGAGGCTGCTGGTCGGACTCAGCCCGTCACATCAACCTGCTGGAGATGGAGGCAGTGCGCAGAGTACTGCTGCACTTTGCCCCTCAGCTGCAGGGGAGACACGTGATGGTGCGCTCAGACAACACCACAGTGGTCTCCTATCTGAACAGGCAGGGGGGCACCAGGTCCCCCGCTCTCCATTGCATGGCGACGGTGACGCTGCTGTGGGCGGCGCTTCACCTCCTGTCTCTCAGGGCGCGCCACGTCCCGGGGGTCCGGAACGTGGGGGCTGACAGGATGTCCAGGGGGGGGGCCCACTCCAGGACGAGTGGGGCCTGGCCCCACGGGTAGCTGCGGAGATCTGGCGGAGGTTCGGCCGTCCAGTGGTCGACCTTTTCGCCAGTGCAGGAAACGCACAGTGCCCGTCCTGGTTCGCCTCAAGGGCCGCGGACGAGCCGCCCTTAGGCGTGGACGCTCTGGCTCATTACCCCTGGCCAGGGGGCCTGTTGTACGCTTTCCCACCAGTGCGCCTCCTGCCGGTCCTGCTGCGGAGGATCGAACAGGAGAGGAGGTCGGTAATCCGGGTGGCGCCGGACAGTCCGCATGCCCGGTGGTTCCCCTTCCTGAGGGGCATGGCGGTGATGGAGCCCTGGGCCCTCCCGGACGAGCCGGGGGCTCTAGTCCGGGGGGGGGAGGAGCCCTGTTTCACGCCCGATAATCGGCCGCAGGCTCTGGGTTGGAGGCTGAGAGGCGGAACCTCGTAGGCCTGGGTCTTCCCCCTGCGGTGGTGGAGACCACTCAGGGGGCGAGGGCGCCGTCCACATTGAGGGCCTACGCCACGAGGTGGAGGCTCTTCAGCGACTGGTGCGGTTTTCGTTCCTGGGATCCCAGGCGTTGCCCGCTGGAGGGGGTCCTGGGATTCCTACAGGAG